ATCATATCAAAAAATTTCAAATATGATACAATGTTTTTTAAATAATATAACTTCAATTTTAATTTACAACATCTAAGGGTCTTTGTCTAAAATAGCTGTAAACACATTACTTCTTACAAGTTGGAAACGACTCGATGATTGGGCAGTAGAGTGACACAACAGACAGCTAGGAGCCATTTACCTACACAACTACAGAAGGTATCCTCACCAACAATGTCCCAAACTATTTATTTATTTGCACAATTGTATATGTGGATGAATTTCACAGTGATCATCGGCTTAATGAGCAAGTAAAGAGAGGAAACAAACATAAGGTTGGAGCATTTATAAATCTAGAAATAATTGATGAAAATATAATTAATTAAATTGAGAGATTTTATGCCTTACAAGTCTTAAAAATAATAAATTATAAGTAAACACATATGGAAATAGTTATAATTAGTATGTTGAAATCTTTCTACTCTAGTATCCTTTCAATAGTAAATCCAATGGTAAGTATAAAATGAGAAATCTGAAACATAAAAATGTAGAATAACCACTCACCAATGAATACATAAATTTTACTTGCCATGTAAAAACAAAATTCAAGTATTACTTGCCATGTTTAATAAAAATCAATAAGTGAGCATCAACTTCGGGTAGGTCTAGTATAGCCTTTAGGCTTACTCTTTCGTGTCAATAACATCATCACCTACTTGTAGGAACTCCCCACGCCGTCAAATATAAATCAAGACTTTAGGTCCCCTTTTCCCTGCTCGTGGGAATTCCCTATGCCACTAAATATAAGTCGAGGTTTTAAGTTCTCTTTTACCTACTTGTGAGAACTTCTCATGCCACCAAATAAAAGTTGAGGCTTTAGGTCCCCTTTTACTTACTTGTGGGAACTCTCCACACCACCGGAGGCAGAGGGGAAGGGAGGTTAGTAAGGCCCCCCAACAATACCCTTACAAAAATTTTAAAATTTTTCTAACCTATTTTGTTTTTTTTTAATTAATTTTGTCCATACAATAATTTTTTATTTGGTAAGATGTCTCACAACAATTAGTCAACAACTAATTTTAATAAGATTAAAATAAAATCTAGTGCAATAGAATTATTTTCAAAATCCTACTTCTCCAAAACCTCACAAACACCCTATTGTTCTCTTTTTTTTAACCAAATATTATAGAAACAAAAAAAATCCATTTTTTTTACACTTTTTTGCTTGCCAGTATTCTCTATGTAGAAAACTTATAGTCAGTAAGTCAATTTTTATGTCACGATAATTAGTAAATTTGGTTTATTTACTTTTTTTATTTTTAATATTTTCAACTTTAAAATTTTTCATTATTTAATAATTTAGGATTTATTATCTTAGTCATTTTTTGTTGAAAGCAACAAAGCAAGGATTTGATTAAGCACCTAAAGTTAGTTATTACTTATTTATTTAGAGACTTTCTTACTGCTTTCTTACTAATTATTTTTTTTTATTTGCTTAGATTCTTGTGAACAATTAAGTTTTTTATTCGGAATTGCTTCTTCATTAAATTGTTTATTGATGTTATATTTAGTTTTGTGCTTAATTTTAGGGAATTACTTCCCATTGAAGTATTTATTGATAGTCCTTCATATTTTTTAAGGAATTACTTTCCATTGAGAGTTTTGTTATTATATTTGTTAATTTTCGTTTGTTGTTAAGCTTATCTAGTCTAGAAATTGAGATTATTTTCATTATTAAATTATTTATGATTATTAAAAAAATTATTTATGATTATACAAAAAAAATTATTTTTGATTATAGTAGTTAATTCTTTTAAGTAAATTATTAAGATTGATTCTTTCAATAATTTTCATATAAATTTTTTCTATCTAAGTTGCTTTATATTGTCTTTGGCTCTTTACCTCCCAAAGGTGAAATCCTGGCTCTACCACTACATGCCACCAAATATAAATAAGGGCTTCAGGTCTCATCTATATTTACTCATGGGAACTCTTCGCACCATCAAATATAATTCGAGACTTTAGATTCCTTTTTTATTATAAATATCAATAATCAATAATCATTACTTTGTACACAAAGACCACATTAACCTAATGTGGTAGCAAATCTTACCTTCTGAGTGTCTCCATTTTATTAAAAAATATATATATAATTTCAATGCATTCACGAAATGTGATAAAGCAGTATATAGTATAATTATAAACCAAATGTTTATGCACAAATTTATTTTTGAGAGATGGCACTTTAACCAAACAGCAAGCATTGAGGAAAATAGCAAGTAAAATTGTCACTTTCCATGAGTCAAACAATGACTATTGACCAAAGAACCATACAAACCTTGCAAGGCAGATTTGAAGTATAAACTTGTCAAAGTTTTGTTCCATATTTTTAAAAGCATGTAATTATATACATATATCTTATAAAAAAATGGATTTAAAATCTTTATCACAATCACAAACAACTTAGGGCTTTTTACCAACTCATACTTTTCATAATTTCATTTAAATATTAAGTGTAACATATATAATATATTTTTAGAAATATAGTTTTGAAATTTAACATCCACTCACCTCAATTGGTGGGACTTCTCACCAATATTTTGTCCATGCTAAATAAAAGGTTTTAATCAGAAAGTTTCCAGCAACTTGTATTTGGCAGTAAGTGCTTAATTAAGCATCTATTATACCTAGGGGCGCAGCTATCTTAAGCCCAAAATTTTTAAAATTTTTTATATATTTCATTAATAGGCCTCTCAAAATAATTTTTTATTTAATAATTAATATAAATAAATAATTATAAAATAACTTCACATATCTCACCCAACTTTAAATTTTTTTCTTTCAATTTATATTATTATTTTTATTTTTATTTGTTTATTTTTTCATTTCTATTTTATTGGCTTTTACATTCAAAGTTTTTATAAATTTTCTTTCCCAACTTTCTACAAACTATTAACCATATTCTTTTTCTGTTTTTTTTGTTATGTTGTATGTGGTGTCTACCTTCTACTTGTCAAGTTCTTCTTTTTTATATTACGTAAATTTTATTTTTATGATTTTAATTTTTAAAAATTAATAAATTATTATATAATTTTTAAATATAAGTTGTAATGTTATATTTTTACTTAAAATTTTATTAATTTATCTTATTTTATTAATCTTGATTATGTAAGAGAAAATTAACTTGAGTATATTTTTTTATATGCTTTACATTTTATATTTAGTTGAAATGAAATTATTTTGAATATATAGTTTTTAAATAATTCTGATTATATAAACAAAATTATTAATCTTATATGTCATTTTTAACTATTTATATTTTACAAACTATAATTTTATATTTAATTTCATATTTCTATTATCAAAATGTATTTGATTGTTGATTGAATTTAACATACTAATTTTTTAAAAATTTTAACCTTTATTTTTCTATGTTTAGCTCTTCAACAAAAATTGACTAACTCTGCTACTGTTTGTACGCAATTCGCAGCACACAACGTTCATTTCTCAGTACTAGATTCAAACACTACACATTATACAGTTTGGGCAGCAAACACAATAGCAATTATATTTTGATTTGAGCTACTTTCGTACCTTCACAATTCTGCCAATTTCAAATACTAGTCCTCAATAAGTTCCAATTGCTATCTTATTTCTATGTCAGCCTCCTAACAATAAAATGGTTCTAAGAACATTAATGAATTTCATTATCTCCGTTAAATAATTTCAGTAAAAAAGTTCAAACTTAAGTCTTATTTTCAGTCACCGTTCTTACCCCTCCAACTAATCTTCACTAACCTCCCTCAGCCGAGAGTCCCTCATTTCTTTCTTAGAGTGCATGTACATGGGTTCTCCAAGAACCTCTCGGCAGCAGCTTCTTCCTACCAAGTAGATTTGCTTAAGAACTGTTTTACCTCCCGTTTAGTGGAGTTTCTCAGCCCTTTGCTTCATCCCTTGGCTGCATTACAACATTTGAAAATTTAAACTTGGAACTAAGCTTCAAGAAGGGCCGGTTTGAAGGGAACTTCAACTCACCTTAACTAGTAGTACACTTACCATTTCTTCTCCCTCTATACGGCTTCCTCCGCTTTAACTCAAATGTCCAGCTTTTAAGATAAAAATTTTGAAAATTCAAGTGTTCTTGGAACACTAGAGAGAATCTAGTTAGGGCAGAAAATTTCCTCCCTTTTAGTGCTTTATAATTCCATCACTCATCTACTCTTGGAGGACACTTGAATGCTCTGGGGTTTTTCCTTGGTGAATGACGATAGTGGCAGCTTTTGAAAGGACTAAAAATGAAAATGGAAATAAGGTTCTTGAACTTCTTGGAGATGTAGAAATGATGGAGAAACTTGAAGAAATTGGTCGAAGCTCTCGGCTGCCAAAGAATGTGTGGCCGAATGCTGAAATTTTCAAGGGGAGGCGGAATTCTCAAGGCTCAAGGCTTCCTTTTATTATGTTTAATTTGTCTAAGCTTTTCCTTGCCGCCCATGCACCACTCCACATTCTTGCATGCAACATTTCTTCCTTTGACTATGCGGTCAAAACATCATGAAAACTATTACCAGCTTTTTGTTTCCTTACTTGCCATGCGTAAGGACATGTGGCCATGATATAGAATTTTATTCCTTCTTTGCTCCAATTTTTGATACATGACCGCATGGTTTGCAAAACATAGTTTTTCATATTTCTTTATTGAATTCTTTTAATTTCAAATTCAAGTGTAAATACATTTAAATATACTTTTAATTACTTTCACAAAATTCTCCAATTTGTAAGTTCTTTACTCCCCACTTTGATCGAACTTATTAATAAAATTGTATTATTCTATTATTACCTGATGTTTCTCATTGATAAGAGCCATAATTCATTTCTAGTGGCAAAATCTATCTATTAAATGAACACCATGCGATTTTATAACTTTGATGGAGATGTAACGAGAGAACAGTGAAGTTCATATGATGATGAAATTATAGGATATAATAATCTATATATAGCATTAGGCAAATAACATATGTGTATCACAAAGTGAAGCTAATGGACTCAAAGTGCAGGTTCTCTGCCAATCCAGATGCACAAATTTTTGCAACCTCGTGGCGCATCTTCCTTGGTCCGCATGCAAGCACCCCTATGTCTGATTCTTTTAAATCGAATAGTATTTCTGCAATAGTAAGAGAAAAACTGTCAGTTCTGCAAATTTGTCACTTCCAAGCTGGTTTTACTGTCAATGTGAAAGCCGCAATAGCAGTATCAGCTTACTCTTGAGATCAGGTCTTGAACCAAAATGCACCTTGGTTGCTTGGACAAGGGATTGATGCGGAAGGCTTTCCAGCTCTCTGTCTGCACCACAAAACCATGATCCTGATGTTGTTGTTGGTGTTGGTACTTCTGTGTTCTGAATTTGGTTCATTTCCATTGCATTCTGTTTCTTGCGCCAGAAGAATACTAAACTGGAAACGAGGAAAATGCAAGCACAAACAAGGAACATGTCCCAAAGTGCTCTATAAGAGAAATGGTAGATCTTTCCCGTGTTGTGATCTATAGGATATACGTAGTAACGTGTCACGATGCCCAAAAGCAGCAGGAACATAATGAATGATGATGAGACTACGGCGCCAAGCCATAGCCAACTGTTGGGCCCTAGCGTTGCAGAAATGGGTGAGTCTAAGAGGCTTGGCTTGAACCATATTGTTTGGAGAGGTTTCTGGGTGTCAGCGTTTGGCTGATCTTTCTCCCTGGTGATATATGCTTCAATCTGAAATTGTAATTGGGAAATTTGTGCAGGAGTACCAGAGATGGGAAGCAGCAAGTCAAGCATGGCAAGGTCAGCTGAGTTCTTGAAGGCACAAATCATAACAACACGTGGAACCTTGAAATCAGGCTTCTGGCTTTGGAAAATTATCTCTCGGATTATGGATATAAAAGGAGTAATACCACTGCCTCCGCACACCAACACCAAAGACTCATGCCTGTAGAAATAAAAAATAACCAATCTAACTCAATGAACAAAATAATTCAAAGCTTAGTAGGTAATATTCTGTTGCCAACTTCCGACTGACCTTAGAAAATGATCTGAATGAGGTCCATACGGTCCTTCAGTTGATATTTCAAGATGATCCAAATTAGAGGAAGAGATTTCTTGGTACAACTTCTGAGACCAACTTCCTCCATTTTTTATGATCACGCTGAGCTTATCCTGTTCCATGTTGCAATTGGAAGCTATTGTAAAAGGATGCCACTGCAGCTTGGAAATTCTCGGCACATTCACAAATAAGACGCTGGTCGGATTATAATACAACCCTGCAACGTCAAAAAGAAAAAAAAAATCAGTAAAACTAGTATTTAAGCTGAATTTCGGGGGATAAAATCAACAGGTGAGGGGTAATTACCAGGAGCCTTGGAGAAATTCAGTTCAACGACGCCACATGGCAAGACGCGTGCTGACAATAGTCTGGCACGGTGTCCGGATTGCAAGAATCTCAAGAATCGATCAATGAGGAAAAGGAAGATTCCAGGAAGGATCATGCAGAAATGTGCATCGCCAACATGCAACACATAGAAGACCATGTATAAAAGGTAGAGATGGTGGGTGTAGAAGAACACTTCAAACATCTTTCGCCTAAAGCGAGGCAAGCTTGTCACCCACATTGGTATTGCAATTACAATTGCAATCACTCCAGCTACATTTGATACATATGTTTTGCTCCATTCAATCATCTGCACAGCCGATCTTTCACTCAATCTTCATACTACAAATGTACACTCGAGTCTCTACGTAACATTAAATGCTAATAATCATGTTTTCTCACATGCATATCTGAGTCCAGTGCCCCTGCCCTGCTGCTATGGTTCTACCTCACGGGCCTATGATTGTTTCTATGGCCCAATGCCTTTTGAAATGTCACACCCATATACAAAGCCCGATACCATATATTAAATTGGATTTCTTGCATGACTATAAAATCACTAATTACGGTTTATATATCCAAAGAAAAATATGAATTTTATGCTTTAATTTCTTTGCACTTCTTAAAAAGCAGGACGACCTTTTTCTTGGAAACAGTGACACGTGTCACAACTATGAATGTAAACAAATAAGGAAAAGGAAATGTTCTATGATAACAGGATATGCAAAATGCACCACTCATCTCCCCTTTGGAAAGGGGGGAAAAGTCGGTGAGAGCAAAAGGAATCTAAACCCCACCTCCAAATTGCTTGCCAGAGTCCAACAAGAAAGACAACACAATATTCCTCCAACAGAGATGATACACCCAATCAAATATGAAGTGATAAGCACAAGTTTTTAAAAAAGGCATAGGTTTATCAGGATTAAAGGCCAGAATGTTGAATTGAAAAAGTATTTTCTTTTTCTTCTTTTTTTTTTTTTAAAAAAAGAGATGATTTATTGAGTTCAAATTAATTAATACCTCAGCCATTTGATCAGTCATGGCCCAGTAGATAATGAAACCAATAGCATGTGCAACAAAAAGAATGTTTGAGACGTGACCAAGCCAAATATGATACTTGATGCTGGACTCTGAGGTAAGCCCTACTAGAGGCAAAAGTGACGATGCTCTTGTTACAGGGAAGAAGAGAAATGCCCAGCAAATGTTTCCGATGTATCCAAGTGTTAATGATACACTTCGGATTTTAGCTTGCCATCTGCCAAAGTACAAAGTAATAGATGAACAATAATCCTTAAAAACCGTAAAACTTGAGCTCAAGCAGCCAAACCAAGCCAGTTGATTTATATAGCGACCAAATTATTTGGGATTGCATGGGACAAAACGATCAGCAGATTGAAATCAATGGTGTATATGTTGTGATATAAACTGCATTTGTTGTGAATATTGAAAACCATAGAAAGGGATTAATTCAGAAAGAGATATGGAGGCGTGAGAAGGATGCAAGCCTACTAAAGCCATGTAAAGAGATCCATGTTTACAGATGAATTCAAGCTTAATAGAACAAACAAGTTAAAAGGGGTGTTCATACGTACATTTTCTCCCCATCTCCATCCATGTGCAGGTGACCAAAGCTGACATACAAGTAGTTGGCGAGGGACCAGATCATGAGAGCAATAAACATGGCCGAAAAAATGAGATCCAATGCAGAAACGATTCCAAGGGGAGCCATGACGAGCACCGGACGTTTCAAGAAGGCAACAGCACCCGAGCTATTAAAAATCAACATAAGAGATCAGATGAATTCTCTTCATAAATAGTAGAACAAGACAAGAGATGAAAAATGAAGTACTGAAAGACGGTCTAAAGAAAATCCAACGACCTTTTGGAGTTAGACGCTCTCGATTTCTTCTGAAAGTGGAGATAAGCGCAACCAAAAGCAGCTATGAACATCATAGGGAAGGAAAATACCAAAAGATTTGTCCCTGTAAATATGTCATGATGATGAAGTCATGAGAAGAAGGAAAGGGTGCAACGCATGCATGCAAAAATCAAAAAGAAGAAGAATCAAACAGCAGCAGCAGCAACAAACTACAACCTTGTGCTGCAAAATAAGTTGAATTGAGCTTGCTATCTAGCTTGGGTTTCCATGTATTTTTATAAAGTTTTGTTGGCAACATAACCCAAATCATCAACCACCCAAGAAAAACCACAAGGAATATCATCCGCATCATTGCGTGGCTGCTCATCTTCTCGCCTTTAGTTTAAAGTCAGGAAATGAACCCAGGCTGCTTTAACCGTATGTGTGGTAATAAAGAGTGAACTTTGATGTTCTATATATATATATGCACTGGCCCTACCTTATCTTTTCCGAGAAGGATTTAAAGAAAACCTGATATATAGCTCTCTGCGTACTCATAATTAGAGCACCCAAAATAACAGCATGAAACATGCTCACATACACATGCTAGTATTGAGGATGTACATTTTGCACATTGTTACTTCTTTGATATAATAACTTTGATTTGGGATTTCCACAAAGTCAACACTTTCTCCTGCGATTATGACTCTTATAATAAGGAAGAGGCAGTACATAAATATCAAATTAAGCAAAATATGTTATGTTGCCTCTAACTAAAATTCTTTTAGGCCTGAAAGTGATGTTTATATTCATTAAGGTATAAAATGATAACCCAGAGAATTTAAGCTCTGATTTACCAGCAACCAAGCAGATATTTCGATCTTAGAAGAAATATATAAATTAATTATAGGGATCTGTGCTTTCAACGCAAGTACAGTTGACTTTAATTTTTGGGTATGCTAGTACTGATTGTACGAAGAACTACAAAGGACTTTACATTTATAGGAAGGGAACATGCTTCATCTCTTTCAATTTGTTAGCTGTTACGCATGCCAAAGCTAAAATCAAGCAGCTTCTCAATGTATAAAAAATTCTACAAGTTATTGCTATATATTTATCGTATTAGTTTTGACTTCCCCAATTGATTGGAGGCAAAGTCGTCTCAACAAATATTTTGATAACAAGAATGTGGTTTCATCCATGGATAGGCCTTGTCTGCCTTCATCAGGTAGGCCAATAATACAATAATAACTAATGATTTATACGGTAGTGCGTAATAGTAGATGCATAAAAAATCAAGACGCTTTTCAACTCATCAACAATATGAATGCAAGACAGATAGATCTCATCAAACAGGAGTTTCAAATCTTTAACAGAATGGAATTTACCAGTATGTTGGATCAGTACTATTTACAAGTTCCTAAGGACCATTGTTCCAAAACCAATGCCAAGAAAAGTTGCAATGGCGATCCCAAAAATGCCCGCAAGGATTCCTGGGACAACCAAAGAGCCCCATCCTTTGGCTGTGGCCATTCCACATGCAGTCGTAGGGCCCCCAATGTTGGCATTTGAAGCCAGAAGTAATAGCTTTAAATCGAAACGAAGTAGCTTTCCAAGTCCAAGGATCATGACAAGATGGACAGACACTTGAACAAGAGCAAACAAGAAAATACTGGGTGCTGTGTTCATAACATTCCATATGCTCCCATTAGCACCAACCACAGCAAAAAATACCTGCCAAGAAGAATACATGTAAAAACCATTCAGATGGTTTTCACTTTCTTTTTTTATAAAAAATAAATCCCCCAGGGAATTGTTATGCATAAAGTCACGCTACAATTGCATAAAGTTGAAGCAAATCAACTAGAAAATATAATTCAGACCTGCATGAGAGCCAGAGCAAGTGTATCACCAGCAGGTGCAAGATTAGCAAACTGTGTTGGGAATAGAGTTGCTAAAATGACAATAATAGCTGTTACTCCAGGAAGGATGCCCCCTTCAATCTTGAACAAGTTTGTAATATAAGATGCAGTCTTCCATATCAAAAAGGATATAGCAAGAGCTGTAGCTGTCTGAAGCACAGGGATTTTGCCCCCCGAATCATGATCCAAATTCATTTCAACATCTGCCAAAAACAGCAAAAGGTTCTCCTAAAGATGCTAAAATCAATACCATGATAAAGTCTATCCATATTTAATTTCACTCTTGTACAAAAATCAATGACAAGTTTGCAATTAATTACTTTAAAGGACAATCGATAAACAGGAAAGAGAACTAATCTAAATTTTGTTTTCTAGTGCAAATGTAGCTATCCAAAGCTGTTGTGCTGGAGCAGAGAAGTAAACACATAGTTAATTATTCCAAGATGGAGCCAGGAGAAATTGGTGCATGTTTCTCTCTATAGTAGAATCTCATGATAACAAGGAGCCAGGCTATGTACCATTGGTTGATTTTGAAGCCTCAGGATCTACTTTAGAGGCTAATGCAAATAATATCATAAAGTATATTGCACAAATAACATTGTCCACAGCAACTCCGGCAGCCAAAACTGATGGAGAAACACCAAGAGCCTCTGAAATTGCAATGTAGTTAACAGCTACAGTGTTCCAAAAGAAAATGCTCAGTTATGAGGCATGCTTCAAACTGTACTTTGATGAAAGAGAAGCATATTTAAGGAAGGTAATCAGCAGTCAAAGTAGACGTTAAAATAGATGAATAAGATGGCTCTTTATTACACTTTTCCTGTATTGAACAACCATAAATATATCAAAATGTACTAAGAAAATTAAATTTGTACCATACCATTGAAAACAAAAGACAGCAGCACTTCAAGGTAAGGCAGTAATAAGATATTAAAGTACAGGACAGCATTTTATACATATGCTCCTATTTGAACACATTATTTTGCACCAAACATTTTTCAAAGTTCAGGGACAGTGAAGTTTCAGGCCAAACTTTTTAGTGTCAAAGATAAGCTAATATAAGTTCAACATTCAGGGAAACCATTATTAGGATATCAACAGTTTTATATGGTTTTATCTGTAACTTTTGAGCAAAACTACTACTACTTCAACACATGCTTTAGACTTCGATAAGTGTATCAGTCTCTATGTTTATTCACATGTCCATACCAATCAATAGTTTATATCTTTATCTTCATTGCTTCTTCATAATTTCTCAGGGACAAAACTAGACCCAGATATTCTGGTCTTTATTGCTTGCAAGTCCACATGAATATATGTGGGCATAAATAAGCCATATTAATGTGATTTGTATAATTTGTCAAGTTGTCACATTTCCTTGCAATTGTATTGGGGAGCTCTAGGAATAAGAGGCACAAACATTTCCAGGCAACTTACATCCACCAATATAACTACCCATGAGAGCAGAAGCTATTTTCCAATTATCTGGACCAAGTGATCGCATAGGCACCATCAGAAAAGCCACTAGGGTTCCAACTATTGTTGAAACTGTCATCCAGAAGAATAAACAAGGGTTACCAAGAATCATTGAAAAGGTAAATGAACTATGAAATGAAAGAAAAAATCCAGTGACCATTATTATTCATTCACATAATGAACTGGGTAGAATAGAGGCTACAAATTCAAGGATCTACAATTCCCACCCATGGATGAACATTGAATGAAGCACAAGTCTCAATGTATCCTCATTAGGCCAGTATCCAAACGTTTATAGCAGGAGTAAGTTACTAGTAAAAGACTAGTACCTGTTTTTAGGCAGTGGATGTCAAAGAAGCAGAGCCTCAACTAGTAAAGGGTATTAACTACTTGATACCTACAAGTACAAGGCAATGCTCACTGTTTTAGCAGTAAACTCAATTGAATTAAGAGGAGGAAAGCATGAAATTATTATAATATAGAGTAAATCATTATCCTGTAAATATGGATATACGCTGTTTGCTCTGTTGCCTGGTTAAAGTTTTCAGAATAGAAGATTATTAAAATGTCAAAGCTGAGGAGGACTTTGAATTACCATAATCCATGTACTTTGCACTGTTAACAATCCCCTTGCTGGAATCAATCATTATTAGGGTAATGGTTTATTTTCTAATATTCATTTTTTTAAAAAAGCTTTAATATTCAATAACATTCCTGGACATCACTGAACAGGGACAAGTGGGAGGATCATCCTCGAATATCATAGTAAAATAATGGCATTATGATCAAAAGGTGTGAATAATTATACGAAATATGGGATCGTTAACAAGTCATACTAACCTGATCCAAGCAAGAAAACCAGCAACAATGTCCCAGTTGAGCGTATGACGCGACGCAAATCTGCTCTAAACAAGAGCAAAGGAACAGCCAATGGTAGCAAAAACCGCATGAAAAGAGAATAAGCTGGTGCTTCAAAAGGAATTATGCTCAGATTGCTTGCGGCCAGCCCCACCAATGTGCTCACTAATGCCGCACTCACCATACTTCCAATCTGTCTTCTCAGACCTTATAACAAATATTCCATAATTTTTTTTTTTGCATAAATTACACTTAATTTAACAAATCCATTAAGAAACTAAACTAAAAAAGAAAAAAAAAACCCGATAGTGTTAAGAGCAGAGGGATATTACCAGAGACCAAAACAACCGATAACGAACAGAGCAGTCCACGTGCCCCAGTGGTCATCAGGAGAAATAATAGGGTATGGGAATCTAAGCTGTGATTGAACCTCCACATTACCGGTCTTTGGTATTAACAATGGTGAGAGAAGCGGTTTGTTTGAGCTTGTGTTTTGACATGGGAGAGCGAGTTTTGAAACTCGTCGGGCTGTTGAAGCAGTTAGGAGTTCATGGTGGAAAGAGAGAGGTGACAGGCGGAGCGTCGGGGTTGGGGGTGACGTCAACTGGCGGAGAGATGACGATAAGGCGAAAGACGACATTAATGGTGGAGGGTTGACGCTCGTGTGCGCTACTCTCCCTGTCTTTCGGTTTTCTAATTGAGAAGGATCGACCTTTCGCAGGACGATAACGTTGCATGAGCCCACTCGGGATAGCTTCCGAAACAAGCAGTACAATGAGTTTAACACTTTGAACTTACAGCTTCGTTCAATATTTCAGCGTCAAACGACAAAGTAAAATTCCGTTTTCCCAATGCAAATTTAAAGTCATGAAGAACGGAAATGAAGAATAAACCGACTACGGACTGCCAGCCAACTATTTCAATCTTTCTTTGATTCTCATTAATTTAACTGATTTATAAAGTATCCTTCTAGGGAGTTAGAACAATTGGCGACTGAAAAATTTGCAGGTTTACATTGGTTACAGAACAGAGCCAATTCTGGCACTAGGGGATTGAAGGCTTTACATGTATTTCAGGACTGTTACTCCAAAGACAATGCCTAGAAAAGTAGCAATGGCTATGCCGAAAATGCCAGCAAGAATACCAGGAACAACCATAGAACTCCACCCTTTGGCCGTGGCCATTCCACATGCTGTTGTAGGGCCCCCAACGTTGGCATTTGATGCTATAAGCAACAGCTTTAGGTCAAAGCGAAATAGCTTCCCTAGTCCTAGAATTAATGCCAGATGGGTGGCAATCTGAACCAGAGCAAACATGAATACACTGGGTGCTGTATTGATGACATTCCATATGTTTCCACTTGCACCCACCACGGTGAAAAATACCTGCAATGGCCCAAGAAAAAATATATCATTTCCAGAATTATTCATACACCCTCAACAGATGCATATTTAGCAGATAGGGTCATAATTATGATGACAGTTAATATTTGACAAGCCATCTACAGTTAAGGAGATCACTCAAATAAAATGGGAAAGAAATTGAAACTAATGGCTGCTTCCCAATAATGATTAGTCACCTGCATCAGAATTAGAGCCATAGCCTCCCCAGCTGGTGCAAGGCGGCCAAACTGTGTAGGAAACACAGTTGCCAGAATAACAACAATTGCTGTAACTGCTGGCAGACTACCTCCTGGAACGCCAAAATATTTTGCGAGATAAGCGCCAAGTTTGCAGATGCTGAAGGATACTGCAAGAGCAGCAGCTATCTGAAGGACAGGAAGTTTGCTGCCAGATTCAGACCCCTCACCCGTTGCAACATCTGCTGAAGTCTCAACAACTTCAATTAGATTATACAATTTTTGTAACATAACCACATCATCTACAGCAGTCTATTTGATGCAGAATGTGAGGAAAAAATGAGAAAAATCAAAATGTAAAATGTAGAAAAGAAACTTTATGAAATAGACCATTAATCTGGACAACCAATCCATTCATAATGAAGATAATGAAATTAGTCAATCAAATGACACAAAGTGAGGAACTTGGTACACCTTCGGGTGACGTAGAGGTCTCAGGGGGTACTTTTGATGCCAATGCAAATAGTGTTGTAAAATATACAGCACAGATAACATTGTCGGCAGCTAGTCCAGCGGCTAAAACAGATGGAGAAACTCCAAGGGCGTTTGAAATGGCAACATAATTGACAGCTGAACAACATCAAAATAACTTCATCAGTGTTGACAGAAAAGTTTATAGAAACAATGAAACCAATGGAATAAGATTACAAACATCCATTGCGAAGGTAGGAAGTGAAAAAAATAAATTACCTCCGCCGATATGCCTACCCATTAGGGCAGCGGCAATCTTCCAACTATCTTGACCAAGTGCTCTCATCGGCACTATCAGATATGCCAATGCTGTTCCAACCGTTGTCGCCACTGTCTTGCAAGATTTGGAAACCAAATATAAAAAAAACCACTTCCTTGAAAAGAATGCAGGAAAACCAAAAGCAAAAGCTCGCATTAAAGTCATAAATGGTTACAGGCATACCCTAACCCACAATAATGACCCGAAAATTCACCTAAAAAGGGATAATGACTAATTACACTGATGGTCATTCAAATGGTCATTATGACTATGGTGTGGCGGGGAATTACCTGATCCCAGCAAGAAAGCCAGGAGAAGTTTCCCCGTTGACTTAATTACGCGTCGCAAATCTGCTCTAAACAACAACAAGGGAACAGCCAATGGCAGCAAAAACTCCAATACTATTGAGTAGGCTTTAGCTTCAGAAGAAATTATCCCCAAATTACTAGCAGCAAGTCCAATCAAAGTACTGACTAGCGCACCACTCAATGCACTCCCAATCTTTGTCTTCTCTGACCTTCAAGTTCAATTAAGTACATAATTACCAACAATATCAACAACAAATAATTGTGAAGAAAGCAAGAAAAAAAACCATTGCTTCCAGAAATCAAAGAAAATCGGGGAAGAAAGACAGAGAGATTACCAGATACCGAAGGCACCGGTGGCGAAGAGAGCAGTCCAGGTGCCCCATTGGTCGTTGGGAGAAACAAGAGGGAAGTTTAATTGAGATTTGACAGTTACGGGTCGGTTAGCATTAGGGTTTTGATGCAACCAATGAGGAGAGAGAAAAGTTTGACTTCTGTGAAGAGGTAGCGAGCTTGATGATGACGACGATGACGATAAAGAGGAGTCTTGAGGAAATGAATTGATTACGAGTGAGATGGGATGGAGATTTTGGCGAAAAAGTCGAGAATTTAAGGGTTGGAGCTCCGGCGAATGAGGCCGCGCTGGAGTTATGTGTAGAAATGGAAGTTGTGACGCCATTTTCGTTGAGTCCCCGGGGTCGGAGCCTTGACAATTATTGGGGGAGAGAGTTGGCTGCTTGTTTTGGAAGTGGAGTTGACGACGTTGAAATTAGTTGTTGAGGAATCTTTGTAAACCTCCTCTTTTGTCTTTTTGTTTTAAAACTTGCTAGCGTGGAAGGAGAGTTGGTTGCTTGTTTGGCGGTGGATTCGACGTTGCAAAAGCTAGTGAAGCAGTCACCGGACTTAGCATTCAGCTCTCAGATCTACTGTTCTTGTGGAATCTATAGAAACCGGTTTTGGCGTTTCTGTGAAAGAGAAAAAGCATTATTCCAAAGTAGAAGGAAAGATTAAGAAAATGCAAGAACACAACTGAAGTGTCAGCCAGAAACTAAGACTAGACAGGAGAAGCACGAGGAGGGTTAAAACGTGTTAAAAACTACACCGTTTCACGTTACCTAACCAAATTCAAGGCCTTTTGGTGGCGACTGAAATGAACCGAGCAGAGCAGCTCAGGTCAGGCCATTAGAGATGTAATGGGTTAGATTACCGCTATTTTCTTTAAGTACTCAATCCAAACCCATATCCAGATTCTATTAAAATTTGTATAAAATTATAAAATATTGTCCACAACCGCATCTTAATAATAAAAATTTAATCCTTTGAATTTATTAAATACAATTTAAGTTGATAAAATTGTCAAAAACTTGAGTATTTCCAACCCTCCTATGAATTCAATCTCTAATAATAATATTTTACATAAGTAATTAAATTTTACATATTTAAATTTGTATTATAATTCAACTAATATAAATTAATCTTACGTTGCAAAACATGGTCATTTCTCGCAAAGCTGAGAATGTGCACACATTGGGTAGTCAATTTTAAAGTTCCTGTGGAATCTTTCCAAATCTTTTCTTCTGAATTTTTTAGCGAAAAATGTGCAGACATTGGGTAGTCAGTAAACATGTTCATTGGTCGAGACTGGATCAAATTTGGGCTCAAACTTTGACCAAACCCTAACCAAAAATCATCTTGGATCAGTGGAATCTGCTGGATGGATGGTCAACTCCGATGTTACAACTTACCAGAAATGCTGTCAGCTCGGTTTCTGCTTCTTTGCACTACCTCTCTCTTCATCCAAGGCCTTCAATTTGTTCTTAATCGCAGCAATTTTGGCGCTGCGACTCATCTGCCCTGAGGTGCTACCAGCAGTGCCACTTTTGATTGCCTCACCTCCAGCTTTGGAAGAATTGTGTGCTGCTTCCTCCAACAATTTCTCGCTAGCTAGACGGACCACCAAGGGGCGACCACAAGCTAATCTCCCATGCATCTTCTCCTTGGCCAATTTAGCTTCCTGCATACTCACTTTAAATGTGGAAATCAGGAATTGCCTAAAAACAAAGAGAACGTGTAAGCATACAACTTACCTCTTTCGTGCTGTACTGGATAAAGGCAAAACCTCGCGGCTCTCCACGTTTTGGGCCACGAGTGTGCCACAAGAAGTCCTCAGATACAATCTTTCCATATGGAGAAAACATCTTAATAAGGGCACTTCTGGAAAAGAATAATTTAATATTAGTTTCCACAGATATTTTGAAATAAAGGCTTCAGTTTCAAATAATTATATTTATACTCACTCGGTTATTCTTAGATCAAGGTTACCAATGTATAGTCTGCTCTCACTCTTCTCATCTATGAAACTCCTAGGATCCTGCAGTCAGCCAATCAGTCAATTCAAAATCACGAATATGTCCTGATAATGCACCAATCTTTTTGCAAAATCATCCCATGCTAAGCTTCTTCAGACAAAGTGCTCCAACAAGTTCAAAACATCTTGAATCAAGACAATACGAACAAATTTTGGGCACAAAAGCACTACCAACAAGCAATCACAATATGAGACTCAAAATTTTATACATTGCAATATCATATAGAAAAAATGGAGGAAAGAATTAACTCAATTAAGCTACATGGTGGAAATCCATTTGGGAAATGCAGAATGCCGTTTTGTCCCTGGTGGAGCGCATGGTCCCTAGAGATTTAAGAAACCAGATCCTTTTTGTAGTGTGTTTCACACAATATAACAGAAATGAAAATTCATTTTTAAAACAGCCGAGGAACAAGCAAAAGTAAGATCTGAACCAGTAAAATAGTGGCAAACTATGTAGTGGTAGGATCTAGAGACCAACATTCTATAGTTCAAAAGTAGAATGGAATACAATGTAGCAGCGAGAATTTCAAAATGCATTTCAACTCCAATATATATTAATTGATTTAAAAAACTTCACATGTAAATCAAAGCTTTGTATAGTGAATTTACCATAAAATGAATAGGATATTATATGACAATTTTCGTGGCAGGTGCAAGCACGAAACACTTTCAGAAATTCAAAACATCCAGTGTTTGCATCCTCCTGCAAATTCTAAAAGGACAAAAATTCAAATTAACACGAACCATTCTTTGTAATTCCTTTTGCAGTAGATTAAAAGAAAACACCAAAAGCATCATACTATTCAGAATTTCATGTTATGTACAAACACAGACAGAAACCTATATAAAAAACTGCAACATATAAAAAGGCATTGAGTTGGACGTAGCTGTCAAAAGGCCTAAGCCCCTGCCCTTGGCAACCTAGCCTACAGGTACTTCTGTAAGCAAATTAACCAGTAGATTACAAAAAATTAAAAACCTTCAAGATTATGCTAACAGATCCCCAGATCAAGAAAAGCCAATAACTAGTTGTGTACTGTATCTCTACACACCAGAGAAAAGGAGGCTAATCGTATGAATCATCAAAAAAATCAGAAGAAACTTGATTCAAATAGCAACTAAAACCATTAAAACAAGGGGGAAAAGTCATCAGGTAGGCTTAAGAAACATTCAAAGATGAAAAAAGCAATGTAATCCAGAAAGTAATATTGTTCAACAGTACTTCTGATAATTTCAGAAGCATAAAACATTTTACCTCGCTTTGTCAACAACCTGTCTGTCGAATGATCAGGTTTCATTCCAAAACTTTCCTCCAACTATAGTTGCAGATAGAATGAATACAAAGAAGATAGAAAATTGACAGAAAAACTAGGGTCCTAACTAAACCCTTAAACAGACGAAAACAGATTTCATTTTTCTTTTAATTCGGACTGAACTTATCTACTTACCAGAAACTTCCTAATATCCAGTACATAAATAACCAAGGACAGCAAAAAACCTCTAATTTTTCTTCGTCTTTTCCAAACAGAAATTTCATTATCGGCATAAGATTAAAACTACTTGAAATTCCATTGTCTACGTAAAGTACAAAGTATACCACTCAGAAATTCCCAGGAAAGAGCCTGTATAAATATTAAAATAATAAAAATTTTCTAACCAGAAAATGAAAGAAAAACCCTAACTACCTTCATTTAGGAGGGTCGAAACAGGGAATTTCATCGGTGAAAAAATAAAATGAAAAACAATAGTGGATGATTATTTGAATAACTTACGGGATGAAACTTCTCGTTGAGACTTGAGAGAGAGAGAGAGAGAGAGCTTTCTAATACAGAGAACGTAGCAACTTCCCCAATTGGTGGCCCTTTGGGATTCCAATTTTTACAGGTTCACCAGACTAGCCTCCCAATGGCCAAGGGGAAAGGGTAAAAGATTACAGAAGGCCATTCGTATTAAAGCGACACCGTGTATATCCAAGCCAAGGAGGTCATTTGCATAAAAAACGACGTCGTAAAAAGCGACATCCAAGAAGTTTTTATTCTTTAGCGAAGAACAGCCATGCCTTTTTTATATATGAATTTTTTTTGTGTCTATTTTAGCATAATTCAGTTCGAAGGTGGCATGTTGATTGGAAATACATGATCCAATCCTAAAATGTTTAAGACTTTGGGATATTGTTAAATGAGTTTACAGTGGGATTATTTTAATTTTACCAAATTTACTATTACGGATTTGAAATTGAAAGTTTGAATAAATTAAGATGAAAATATTCTTATGAGCAACAATATATTGTTAATTTTAAAAGTTTTCTAAAGGAAACATATTTGTGTTGTTCTATTATAATCAATGAATTTATTAATTCAAATATTGGTAACTTAATAGATATAACTGGATAACTTTTGGATTATAAATATAATTTTTAAAAAATTTTAAAAAAAATAATTTTTTTAAATGAATACAATTTTTAAATAAATAATTTAAAAAAATAAAAAATAGCATTCTCTTATCTTCTATTAAAAACACAATAATTTTTTTAGAAAATATCTATCTCTCAATCAGTCTCTCTTTCCTCTCTTTCATTCTGCAAACCATCATTCTTCAGCGTAAATCGCGATCTCCCTCTCTTCTACTTATCTCTACAAAGACTATTAAAAAAAACAGAAGATTAAGTAATAAAAGAATAAAATCTAAATTTTTTTTAAATACTAAAAAAAACCTAAAATTTAAAGTTATATTCAAATAATATTTAAAATTTTTTTTCTATTCTTCACAAAAAAATATTTTAATGTCCAATATATTGTTTTTTTTCTCCTTTTTTTGAAAATTGAAGTATTATAATTCGATTGTTTACGAAATTAATAAAAATTTAATAATATTATTATTATACAAGTTTGAGAGTTATTTTGTTTCTTGATTGATTTATTTGATTTTAACATTTAAAATTATATATAAACTTGAAATAGACTCATTTCACTGTAGTTTATTAGGTGATTGAATATGATATGAATACCGTTTATGATCATTTTAATCAAAATTTGAATTTATATAATTTATTTTGTTACATAATTTATTAAATAGTTTTAATTTAATTTTAAATTTTTTTTTATGAAAATTTTAGAATAATTTTTAAATTAATCAAAATAAGTCAAACAGGCTTTAAATTCACATTAATGTGAAAAGTATTGACACTATTCAAAACCTTAAACCGCTTGATTGGTTAGGTGTTGTGAAAACAAATTGCAGACTTTCAGAGCATCACGAACCAACAGTAGAGAGTGGAGAACCGTAGTAAAAAGAGTCATATTTGTCGGCAATCAATATTAGTAAGCCTGAATACTGCGATGCGTCACATTCACGCACTACCTATGCCTTGTACACACAGTTCATATAAACACCCTTTAATTCAATGATTGAGGTTAACAACATCGGTTTAATATTCTGTCGAGGGCAAATTTCATGACATGTTTTGCACAGAGACTAGCTAGGCACGGGAGAAAGTGATACTTCCACCAACCTCCTTAAAATTTCAACGAATTTGGCCCACCACCACCATTCTTACAATTTCTACCTGCATTTTCATACAATGAAAGAGCGACGCTGGATTTTGCAAGCTGCAAGGCAGTAGTAGTTAGATTAGGACATCTGGAGGCATGAAGAGAATAAAATCAAAGGTTACTATATTGTTAAAAGCAGAGCATGATTGTTTAGGAGGATCAAAATCGCTATCTTGGAGCTCTTTAGTTGATGCCACCCGGCAACCCTGGGTACCGTAGCTTAGGTGTCCATAAACTTTTTAAGGATGTCGGTGGAAAAAGTTGCTTTGGCGCTGCATTTATCGCTGGCCTGGCAAGCACACAGCCGCTGTCCAGGTGACGACCTCGTGTCGTGTTAAAGCGATCGATGTCGACGACCTCCTTTTGTTATTTGCCAGCTGTTTTTTCTGATTTTTTTAACAATCACTTCTATTATATAAGTTTTTTTATTAATAATTTATAATTAATATTAAACATTTAACTTATTAATTAATTAATGTATAGTTTCTATTTTTAAAAATAAAATTCGAATTCTATTTTTTCAGTTCTAAAATAAAAATTTACAACTGATAAAATCCATATTTTTAGTTTTAGAAAAATGAGTATTTGAGTCAAGTAGTAGTGTTATATCAAACAGAGTTCTACAGTCTGTTATAGGTTAGAATAATATGAAGATCATACAATGTGACCTGAGAGACTCCCCTAACCAAGTATGATACTTCACTCAAGCAACCATCCAAGTACAAATGCTACGTATTCATATTTATTTTTCTTTGGAAAGATTTCCCAACAAACTTAAACATCGGATCAATGCGCTCAGCCAACCAACCGTCAGTGCAAAATTTATTCTTAAAGTTGACATGATACGTATCCGATTATTCAAACCAGGTTTATTGTCTCGGAAGAGTGAAAGAGAGAAGGCTTGTCCCTTTCTCCCGCGTCAGTTGGATAGCTCAAGTTTTGTACAATACTAGAAAGAATACAACAACGACGCCTATAAAACTTCTTCCCAAAACTGGACAGCTGTTCTCAAAAGACAATAATGCTGAACCTGCAAAGCTTAGCAGCAGGTGCCATAGTTGGTTCTAAAGCCAGTGAGTAAAAACAAAATACAGTATTAAATGTCGATGTCTGGTAAACTCATCCTCGTGAATTTGAAAAAACGACAAAGGGAAAGGGGCAACACCATCTCTTTTCTCTTCCATTTTAAAGTTGAAGGAGTCTAGATTGAATTAATGCTATAAATTTCTAGGCATGTGATGCATAAATGCAAAAACGAAACGGAAACACACGCAGCCCTACTGAAACATAACTGTGCTGCCAAATGTCAGGAAAGAGTTAAATAATCTGTAATGCAGCCATTACTGCATTGAAGAAAAGGTGAGTTAAAAAGTTAAAATGATTTTGGATATTCTCCGATACTTGAAGTAAAAACTTAATTGGTAAATTGTATGTATACCAAAATTTGAATGTGTTTGGAAAGGGAGAAGATTGATTTTGTTCATGTAAATCCACAAAGAAGAAATAAGAAAAAAAAAGGAAGTTGAACTTGATAAAATGAGAGTTTTTTCTTGTGAATGCCTCCAGCGAGTGAAATCAGCAAGAATACAGTGGACAGGCAGAAAAAGTCAATTCATTTGGCTTCTACATGTTTCTGTCCTTGGTTCTTGGCATGAGCCGAAAAGGATTTGGGTGGTGATTTGCCCATGCTCCGCTGGACCATACTTGGAAAAAAGCCATCGTTTCTCCTATTTGTTATCCAGTACCGCATGAAGAGCACTTTGCACGAATGTGAACGGTCCTAAAAATTGCTTTGAAATATTCCAGAAAATCCATCAACTTCAATAGCCAAGCCTAGCGTCTTACACTTCTCAAAACTTCAATTCAAAACTCTAGCGACCCAGTTTCTTCAAAAGCAGTCTTTCTTCTTCACCACTTTAACATTAGATATTCCAATGTCTTAGATTTTCTCTCTTTCCCTTGAAGAACCCAAAAGAAATCTTTTTAACCCACCTTCCATGGATGCCAAAAGGATTCAACTTTTCTCTCTTACTTTCCTTTCACTCCTTTATTTCTCTGCATCTTTCCTTCCCACAAACAATTTTCTCCTCAACTGTGGATCAAACGCCAACACTTCATTCTATAACCGCATCTTTCTAGCTGATTCTGTCAAACCAGGTTCACTTTTCCTCTCAGCAGAGCGATCTGTTTCACTCACTGACCGAAGCCCACCTCCTAATACACCCATTTTGTACCATACGGCCCGAGTTTTCACCACGGACTCAAGCTATAAGTTCGACATCAAGAAAAATGGGACAGGGATCCACTTGGTACGTCTCCATTTTTCCCCATTTCAAGCTCAAAATTTTAACTTAGCATCTGCCAAATTCAATGTCGTGGCTAATGGCTTCTTGTTATTGAGTGGTTTTAGTGCTAACAGTGTGCTGCTTAAAGAGTATATATTGAAAATAGATGGCAACGTTCTTGAAATTATGTTTAGTCCTGTGGGTGATTCTGGTTTTGCATTTGTTAATGGAATTGAGGTATTTTCAGTTCCTAAAGACTTTATAATTGATGATGGAGCTAGGTCGGTTATTGCTAACGGAATTGAAGAGTACAAGAACTTAACATCACGAGTTTTAGAGACCGTTCATAGGATTAATGTTGGCGGTTCAAAATTGACACCTTTTAATGATACTTTGTGGAGAACTTGGATCCCTGATGATGGCTTTCTTGTGTTTAAACCTGCTGCAAAACGAGCAGTCACCACTCATTTACCAAATTATCAGAGTGGTGGTGCAACCCGTGAAATTGCACCAGACAATATTTATATGTCAGCACAGCAGATGAACAGGGATAATTCAACATTGAATGGTAGATTCAATATCACTTGGGATTTTCCAGTAGGTTCACAAGGTGCTCCACACTTAGTTAGGTTGCATTTTTGTGATATTGTCAGTCCTGCACTTAATCAGCTATACTTTGATGTATATATCAACGATTACTCTGCTTATCGGGATCTGGATTTGTCGATGCTTACATATCATGCACTTTCATCTCCAGTCTACATAGATTTTGTTGCGGATTCGGATGATTCAGGGGTTATACGTATAAGTGTTGGACCTTCAGATTTGAGCAATCCTTCGAAAATTAATGCTATTCTAAACGGGGCGGAGATCATGCGGTTGGTAAATCTTAAAGGTTCACATGCTGGGTCTAACAAGAAAAACGTTTGGCTTTTGGTGGGTTCTATTGTTGGAGGCGTTGTTATCTTTTGTTTGGTTGCAGTTGCAATTGCGCTTGCATTTAAATGCAAGAAGAAGAAACCAAAACCACCAAGACGTGCAGAAAGTGCTGGCTGGACACCGCTACGTGTATATGGGGGCAGTTCATATAGTAGAATGTCTGAAGGGACTGTTACTACATCTCCAGGCCCTAATGGATATCACAGCTTGAGAATCCCTTTTGTTGACATACAAACGGCAACTAACAATTTTGACAAGAGTTTGATTATTGGAATGGGTGGATTTGGTATGGTTTACAAAGGGGTCCTTAGAGAGAATACTAAGGTTGCTGTAAAGAGAGGTGTCTCCGGGTCAAGGCAGGGCCTCCCAGAATTCCAGACTGAGATAACTGTTTTGTCAAAGATTCGTCACCGCCATCTTGTTTCACTTGTTGGATATTGTGAAGAACAGTCAGAAATGATACTGGTCTATGAGTACATGGAAAAAGGGCAATTGAAGAATCATTTATATGGTTCAAAACATCTTCCTTTGTCATGGAAGCAAAGGCTTGAAATATGCATTGGCTCAGCAAGAGGTCTTCACTACCTCCATACTGGTTCAGCACAAGGTATCATTCATCGTGACATTAAATCTACCAATATATTGCTTGATGAAAATTATGTGGCCAAGGTTGCTGACTTTGGTCTCTCGAGATCTGGCCCATGTCTCAATGAAACCCATGTAAGTACTGGGGTGAAGGGTAGCTTTGGGTATCTTGATCCTGAGTATTTCCGGAGACAGCAGCTTACTGATAAATCAGATGTTTATTCATTTGGGGTTGTGCTTTTTGAGGTACTTTGTGCTAGGCCTGCTGTTGATCCATTGCTTGCTAGGGAGCAGGTGAACTTGGCAGAATGGGCTATGCAGTGGCAGAAAAAAGGCATGCTTGGGAAAATAATTGATCCGCACCTTGTGGGACAAATAAAGCCTAGCTGTTTGAAGAAATATGGAGAAACAGCTGAGAAATGTTTGGCTGAGTATGGTGTTGATAGGCCAACTATGGGTGATGTCTTATGGAATTTGGAGTATGCACTTCAGCTTCAAGAATCAGGGCCAGAAGAACCACGTGAAGGCAGCAACATGAATGTGGTGGATTGTCCAACAACTAGTATTACTCCATCTAGCAATGCTAGGACAGAGAAAGATGACGGTATTGGTGGTTCAGACTTAACAACAAGCCAAGTGTTCTCGCAATTGATGACAAATGAAGGCAGATAGTTTAAACTGTCAATCCTGCATAGACACAGTCAAGGTCACTTCTCATTCTCAAAAACTTCTACTAGAATCTATACATTTTGGAAGTTTTAATTGAAGTTTAACCTTCTTTCTTTCCTTCAATATTTTCTCGTATTGTATCAAAGCTGCATCTTGGCTGTACGTTTATTATCATTCTTATGTAGTAAAAGTAATGGGTTTAAAATAGTCGTTCTTTTCAGTTCCTTTCAAATTGTAAATTCCTTTCAAAAGTAATGGGTTTAAAATATTCAGGATATAGACAAGTGTTGTGATCCTAAAGAAAATGTAAATTTCTCTCCTCTCCTTGCTTTTGTTGGTTGAGTTGTTAAGTTGAAGCATAATTATGTTGATGTTGGAAATGGATGCTTGCACGGAAATCACAGCAGTAGTCAGTACTGGTTAAGTGTGTAATTGTTTGAACTTTTTCGTGCTGGAATTTGAATTGAAACCAGCATTAGGTTACTAAAAGTGAAAAAATAAACTGAGAAAAATAAGTTTTGAAAGCCTGTCTAGTATTTATATGTAGATACATTCAGATCATTTGGTGACAAACTAAGGCAACACCTCAACATAATGTTTTCTTGCCCATGTGACTTGCATGTGCCCGATTTCATGATAAATCCAAGTCCTGCAAGAAATTCATAATACTTGCTTAGGATAAATGTTGCCCCCTCTTGTGATACCGATCAACTGTTTAGGATAGAGCGTGAACGTGAATTTTGTATCTTTCTCTTATCTGCTGGGGGCCTGGGGCCTATTACTGAAGTTGTCAGCAAAAGTTTAGCTATGTAGAGACTTCCTCTGGCTGATCTCAACTGTGAAGTCAAGACTTATTCCACTAGGGAACTGGCTTTAGTTACATCATTGTCACCTAGGGACACCTTTGACATCATGTACCGAAACAAAGCACATGCCAATGGAAATTACGTTTTCGTTTTCTTTATGTTTTCCGTTTCCTTTTATAAGAAAAAAAAAATAGGGGTTTCAATTCAACTTCAACGTTTTGAGTTCTGAACTATTGATTTCTAATTTGAGCTCTAAGCCTCTTTTATCGGTCAAGTTATGCCTTATTTATCATCATGCTGTTATTTTATTTCAAGCTTGAAATGGTCTGTGCATGCTGCTACTATAATAAAGTTATGTAATGTTCTTACGGTTCTTTGATTTTTGCCATATTAAGTAAGATGAATGGAAATTTCAAAACGAATTGGGTGACAGACAAGTTTAAGGTTCTTAGAGCAGAGGGTTTGTTTGGTTTAATTGAATGTACGTGTGCGTGCACGCTTGTTTATGTATGAAGAGACCCTAAGATCACTGTTCTTAGAGAGCAAGCTCACTGTGAAAGGGTTTGATATGACTGGCAACAATCTCAATCTGTAGCATTCTTGATCTACTAGGACTTTTTAATGTTCTTTAATTTTCAGAGTACCAATCAACTGCACAGGGCCCATGGGCCCTAGTCCAACTGTTCCTACATTCTCTGTAGCAAATCCACTCTGGATGGAGCAGCAAGGTAGGCCAGCCTTGACCCTTGCTAGTGCTAGTCCCCACCATTTTTTTCTTTTTTTGGTTAAAGTAGTCGCCGCTTGCACTAGGCGCAACTTCATGCCTTAATAATTCTCAATATAATTAACTTTTATCTACTTTTCCACTTTTGGTTTAAAAAATTATTCTGTAGCTTTGGCCCACTTCCAGGTTCCAATTTACAAATGCACATGCAATCCTCCTTTTCCCTTCTTAGTATTAGTATTTTTTTTTTTCAATTTACCGAAAAACCCGCACTACCATTCTCTTTGCAAGAAAATCAACAAAAAGAAAGGTTAATAAGCGTTTTGACTTATAATGAATTGTTTTTAATTTTATGATAATAATAAAATCAAATGTAAAATTTTTTATTAATGTTTATAGGCACCCCAATCCATCAACAAAATATAATGAAATTTAATTACAAAAAATAATATACTTGTAGGTTTGGATATGGTAGCAGAAAAAAGATAAACGAAGTTGGATAAGAATCTTTTTCATTATTAAAGAATAAAGAAGATATTCATTATTTCATTTTAAGATAAGTTAATATATATTGAAAACTAAAATTTTAATATTTTAAATTAAATAAAAACTAAATAAAAAGTACGTGGATCATGAGTAAAATTTATGAAAAAAAATAATAGATAACTCTTCTTTTTTTGAATAGGATATAGTATACTTTCCGAGGCGGGTTATTTCTTCAAAGTTCAAATGCGGGGAGGTTCAGGACAGAAAAGGGCATAAAGGTGATTTCAGAAAAGATGTCGGTGTCTGGGAGTTAATAATTGCGTAACGTGACGACGTGGGGCATCTTATCTAATTCGGGGTTTCTAATCAGCAATCACTCACAAACTCAGTGCCCGACAGTTGTATTAAAATGGGGGAGACGTAGCAAGCCGCCTGCCCGTTTAGTAATTTTCATCATCTCCCAAGGGCCATTTCAAAATTCCCGTCATTTTCCTCTATAACTATCCTCTTATCGCATAATAACCGAAATAGCCGTACACTTAGACAGTTTTCGGTCCAAATTTTAAAAACTTTGGAAATCATTTAAAAAGAAAAAAAAAAAAGAAATCTGTATCTCTCTCTAATCTAAACCTTTTGGGAATTAGAATTAGAATTAGAAAGAGATTCCGGGATTTGAGCATTTCGAGGCAAAAAGATTACTCCTCACTGTTACGTAAAAAATATTGTACATTAAATTCCAAAAGAGAGCGAGAAGGCGAAGTGCGATGGAGTGAGCATGTATTGAATCGGAATTCAATCGCCAGATATTGAAGCTGAAAGAGTGAGAAAAGAGAGTAGGGGTTAGGGTTTTCTGGTGTGTAAAAAGATTCGAATCCAGAAGAAGAGAGAGAGTAGGGTTTTGGCGGTGAAGATGACGGAGGTCGTATTACATATATACGATGTGACGAACAGTGGATCGGATAAAACGAACAGCACGATCGTTCAAATCAACAAGATCTTCAAGGACGGAATCGGCCTCGGCGGCATCTTTCACAGCGCCGTTCAGGTCCCTTCTTTCTCACTATCTTTTCTTAATTTTGCATTTCTATTGCATTCTTTCGCGTTGTGTTAAATGAGATCTAGGGTTCCTGGTTGGGAAATTCTGACTTTGTTTTTGAGTTTCTAGCGTTTAACCTTGTTCAATTAAATAATGCAAATGTTTCGATGATGATTGTAAATACGATCTGTCGTTCTGGTTGGTGCATTCAAGTATAATGTAGGTAAAGATTTATGTCAGAAAGGACGGCTTTAAATCTTTTAAATAACTCTTTATTTTGATTAAAATTAGTTTCAAGGTAGCTGGGAAAGGAAAAGACATTGCTACAAAGGAATAATTGATAGTTACTCTGCGGAGTAATGGCTTATATCATCACTGTTTCTTTTGTGGCCTGAGAATCCTATTATTATTATCTGACATTGAAATATTGTTAGTGTATTTATTATTATAGTAAATTCGCCTAAAGAAATGCTGAGATTAGGGAGTATCCTCGTGTGTGGCCAAAGTTCTATAGAGCAGATGATTATGGTAGCCTTTACAAAGTTTTAACTGAAAGGTTCTGCAGCTGTTTTACCATAGAGGATGTTGCAACTAGATGTTAGGTCTTGGTGAATTACTTGTATCTATTTCTAGTATTATTTTTGAAAGAATTTATAGAATATTTGCCACTGTATTACTTTATCTTGGAGAATCTTGCAACTGAACCATGTTAGTGGGAAAAGACAAAGAGAACAGTTTCTCTTCTGATTTCTTGTAGTTATTGGTACTGCAATGGTTGTCTTCATTTTTGACCAATTTAGGTTCAGTTTTTTCAGTAATCTTGTTGTTCATCATTGTTTTCTATAGTCTAATTTTGTTAATATCAGTAACACATTGGATCAAGATACCTTTGTGTATATGTAAAATATTCCTTTTGTGGATATCAGTTCTTCAAAGGAACATTTTGAAATGGTATTTATGCTGTTTGGTTTTTGGCATCGAATGGGTATTCATTTTGGTTGTCAACTTCTCATGATTCTTTCATTGTTGTAAATTGTTATTAATGCCATTCTTTTTGTCAAGCATTGTTGAGCGGTGTGCATTTGATGGTAAGATGATAATAACTTTATTTGCTCTATTGACAGGTATATGGAGATGAAGAATGGTCTTTTGGCTTCTGTGAGCAAGGTTCTGGGGTTTTTAGTTGTCCTTCTGGCAAAAATCCAATGTATACATATCGTGAGTCCATGGTCCTTGGAAGAACTAACTTTTCAATATTTAAGGTAAACCAGATCTTGCGGGAACTTAGTAGAGAATGGCCTGGAAGTTCCTATGACTTGTTATCCAAAAATTGCAACCACTTCTGTGATGAGTTCTGTGAAAGGCTTGGTGTCCAAAAGCTTCCAGGTAAACTTAATTTGAGATTTGTTGTATTCTTGTAAATGGGTTGAGCGGCTGTAGTGTCCCTATTGATTACTGCTTCTATCCATATAACTTTGTAGCCCACCGCCTGATGGCCAAGTTCCTTAATAAGCTTAGTTGAAATTTGGAGGAAATTTATCTTTTTTTGCACAATGTTCCTTTTTGAAAACCACTATTCTGCTGTTGGATTCAATTGTTCAATGAAAATTAAGGATATTTAAACAAAATTATGTGCCTGACCTCATGAAACTTAGGTCTGGCGTTGCTTGATGTCAAGTGGTGGAGAATGTTGTGTTTCATGTCAACTATTAGCTTATGAGTGCAAAATATGAGCTGAATGCTTTGCTGCTCCTGTTCTATCATCTATGTGCTTTAGTGATAAACCTGAATATCTGACAGGAAACTATTTTAGGGTCTGGCTTGGGTACCTACCTTTTTCTTAGTTAGGGTGTGAAGGCTAGGGGCAATCATATTACTTTCATTTAACTTTGTATGGAGGATGATGGCTGGCTCTGGCTGTATTTGAGGAGATTAAATGTGGTCACTGGTCATTAAGAATGAATATGGCATGTCTTTTGTCAGTGTCATTGCAACTTACGGTAGCTTGCTTGTTCTCACAATTTTTTGTAACAGGTTGGGTTAATCGTTTTGCCAATGCTGGTGATGCTGCTATAGAAATAGCAGAAAACACTGCTGTACGGGTGAGATTCCTTCCTTTAGTTTGTGATTGTAAATCTCTACCTTTCTAGGACTAAACGAGCGATGCCTGCAAACGTATACTCATCTGACCCTTACAAGATTTTGTGTGCTTTTGTTGTAGATGTATGCACTATTCAGCTTTATGCCTTACATCACTTGGTCTTCTTTCAATATGTCACTTGACTTGAGTATGAGCATTGTTTGATGTGTTCAGTTGTTATTAGGACTGGTTGTCTGTTTTAAAGGCTTCTTGTTTTCATAACGTGTTGAAAGGTGTTTGCCTTGAAACTTTGTGAACATTGAAAAAGGTGGTTATTAGCATCTTCTGATTGTGAACTACATTATTATCCTGACATTGCAAGGATAGAAGATACTTACAAACAAATTTGTGGTAATGCTCTTTTCTGCCTTTTTCTCACCATCCCTGCTGTTTAGTCTTTTGTGAATTTAAACTGCTGTCTACATTTTTATCCTGAAATGCTAACTACGTTGTTATTGAGATTGTGAATTCTCAAGCATAGATAAATTGCAGTAAAGTTCTTTCCCACTTCTTCCCTCCTCTGTACATTTTAGTTTTTGGTGCATGTTGTGTTCAAGTTTGCAGTAAAAATTGCCCTGAAACTCAAACTAATTATTAGGCAGAGATATGAAATGTCCTAAAGGTTAATGCTTAGAAGTTTAGACCGCTGCTATGGTTAGTGCTTCAATTTGTTGTAATGTTAATTATTGCAGTTGAGACAAGCCAAGACTGAGATAGTATCAGCCAGCAAAGTGGCATATCGATTCCTTGTGGGTGTTACCTCTGGTTCTAGTGGTAGTAGCGATTCCCCTGGCAATTCAAACAGAGGAACTCCCAGATTCCAAGCGGCTTGGTTTAAAAACCTCATCACTACTGGTGCCAAACCATCGAGCAGTTCTGAAATTGAGACTCAGGATGGCAATGTTCTTCAACAGCACCGGCAACAAAATTCTACACGGACAGTGCGACAAAATTCTCAAGATTCAGAAAGACCACTACGGCAGAGTTTTCAAGATTCGGAACAACCATTGCAACAGAATTCACAAGATTCAGAACAACCACTGCGACAGAATTCATGGCATGAAATCTGACGGAAATGTTTCGTGTAAGCATCTTCTTATGTGTACTAGTTGAAACTCTGCAAAGCCAATCGAGTAGCTATTCATTGTGTATGAATGTAAACTGTTCATTTGTTGCCCCATTTGAAATTTTCAAAATTATGCCACGTGGACTGAAGTGCATGGAAAAGGCTCAATCGAATGGTCTTTCTGAAAACTCTCATCTCGTGCGTGGGGCTGGGGCAGTGTTCATTTGTTCCCACTAGAGATAGCCAATGTGTAGTAGGTAACTTTGAAACCTTTCTATGCTACAAGCTTTTTTATAAAGTGATTCTGATTCCAAATTACTTGTGTGCAACAAATTGTTGGAGGAAACCCAACTACTATCAAAAGGGCAATCCGGGCAGCGCAAGCACACCGACACTTAGCAATAACCAAGAGTCAAATTTGTTTGAAGAGGAGTAGAAGGGTTTTCAGCTTGTTAAACGTGATGGTGGGTTAACGCACATCCTGCAAGTTGTAATAACAGTGCAGTAACGCAACCATCTAATGTGGGATAAGCAGCGAGCAGCAACTCAATACGACCACAGCATAACCAGAGGTGGGGAGTAGAAATATTTAGGAGAGACTGAAAATTGAACTATTAGTATTCCTACTATATAAACATGGGTTACCGGGTTTATCTACAGAGCTCTAGTTACAGCTAGCAATTTATGTAATTAAATAATTTTATTTAGGCTCGTCTGATTGATATTTTGATTATTTGCTCTTGGCTTTTTGGGTTTTTTTTTTACAAAAAAACAAAAAACAAAAGCATCAACCAAAGGCAAACCTTATTTATTGAAATCCTATCCTTGTTAACCTTAAATTTTGGAGAGTTCAGATAACGAATAATCCCCTTGTACAAAGAAGAAGAAAAGTTGGATGAAATTCTCTCCAGTTATATTTAAAGAAGGGATCGATACTCTGTCAATTGCACTATGGGTTCAGGAGTGGACAGTGGTGTTCTAGTGACAGAATGCATTCAGGGGATGGTAGGAAAGGCCCTGAATTTCTGATATATAGCAGCACGGAAAGAAATTGTTCTAGCAGATGCCAGTCTTGTAGCATTCAAGCATCGTTGTCTTATACTTTTAGTCTAATTTCTTCAAGGCCAGTCTTGTAGCAACGTCGCCTTCGGTCTCATTGATACTACCTTCCCACCCACCCCTACTACAGGGGCGTAGAACAATAAAAGAAAAATGAATGGTGATACTTGAAAGTAATGGAAATGGTATTGAGAACATTCAAAATTACAAATTTAATAAAAGAACGACAGGCAAGATTAACCTGAATAAACAACAACAAATCATTATATTCATAAATAAATCAACAACACACTAAATCAATTGTCCAATACATAAGACTCTTAACTTCTGTGTTAATGCATTGAGATGGTGAGAGCAAGGCCAGTCATGCCTCAAAAGTTTAGTCAAAATCATTCATGTTGGGGAAAACGAAGAAGGTCAACAAAAGAACACCATGAAGAAACAGACCATTTGATAAAATGGTAAACATGAGAGCAGGATAGTGCAACAATGTTCAATACTGAAGAAGCAATAAGAACAGATGACTGACAGAGTCAAGACAAATATATACAGAGCCATTATTCATAGCTATGAGCAAAGACTCCAAGCAACATGGCAACATAACAACAAAACACTTGTCTAGCCTCTCAACATCCCATTCAGGACAATCGTGTCTACCTCTGCATCCTCTGTGATCTGAAGCGCTGAAACAGCCTGCGCTGCAATAAGACCAGCTGAAAGTCCTGCACTACCCCAGCCTCCATCCTCAAGATATGGTGCATGTAGATCCCTTCCATAAGCTCCATATGAGAAGGACCAATCATTGTTTCCCAACTCAGCCCACTCGCATCCAGCTCTATATGATTTAGAGACCCACCCTTCACAGTTTGTGTGAGCCTCATGCGGTAGGCAAGCACTCCCTCTACCCATAAATAGATCAAAATTGCCAGCATAATCCCAACGGTTGAATCCCTCTTCCTTGTTTAGCATAATCTTACACGAATCATCAGAGTCTTCACCAAGTAGGACATGCAAAGCAACAGCTTCAGCAATTGCAGCACCTTCCTCATCAAGCCTCTGCTGTTCTTCCTTCTTTTTCTGTTTCTTTTTTTCTAGTTCAGAGCGGATGGCTGCAGAAGTAGCAAGGGCTTTCTCCAAGCGCCTCTTTTTCTTCTCAGCCTGTTTAATACGATCCAACTCATCTTTCACCTGCTTCTTTTTCACTTTTCTCACTACCGGTTGCACTTTATTGCATGCCTTGTTATCCATGAAAATTAAAAAGCTTTAAACACAGACTTCTGTTTGCTCAGGATTTTTTTTCTTTAATAAGGTTCCTCTAAATTGTATACATTTCCCTATAAAGCTGTCTTTTTTCCTCTTTCACCTTTTTCTTTCAAAAAAACTTTTGATACTACCTATTTCTAAATAATTCTCTTATTGAGAACTAATATAATCCTATAACACCAAGACTACACCCACTCAGGTCTGTAGGAATATCTCATCTTACGTACAATGCAATCCCAAACAGAAACAACAGGAGAACACAGCAGAGCAGAATGGTATGTATTCACAGGCCCATCCCTTGGCAGCATCCTTCCTAATTTCCCACAACCCTTGCATTTACCCATCTTGTGCACACTGCGAGAACCAATAAGCTTACCCCTGTTGACAAATCAATAACTCTAGTCCAGTTCAAACAACTCACATGGCCTTCCCCACTGCAGCGAAAGAGGAACAACATTTAGGTCATCAAAACATGAAAGCAAACTTCATTGCAAATTACACCGACACACATGCACAGGCAAAGCAGCAGATAATATGGACAAAAATACTAAGACAATCATAAATTGCACTCTTTGACAGTTCAACAATAATTAGGAGCTCAAGTGCTCCACCACAAAACTTCCATGGAAAGAACTAATACATTGAACTCAAAAATAACACACTCAATAAAATTATCCAGCACCATTAATTAAACAGAGAGACATTGAAATGAACTACTACATGTGGGTCATGGACTCATGCTGACTTAAGTGTAAAATCACAGGAACTACAGGATAACCAACACATAAATGTCCAGGTAACGGAGACACAATTATTACTATAAGCATATAACTATTACGGAAACAGTTAAATTCCACATGCAGTTAACATGTGAAGCCTCAATGTGTAAATATAAAGTAAATTAGAGTAGACAATTATCCATGACGAAATTAAAACAGAGAAGCAAGAGCACCATCAATAGATACATAGTACAACCAAGAGATATGAAGTCAATTCCAAAAACGACATAGTTTAAAAGTTCTTTTCCAGATTGACAACATTGATTAAGAGCAGTAAGACAAATAATCCCCAACATATAAGATTGCTTAATTCTACAAGAAGTGAATGTGTAAAAACAAAAACCCACTTGCCAAAACATCAGATATTTGAACCCCAACTCGATCTAACCCAACGCCAAAAAAGGGCTGAAGAGGATAAGACAGCTTTATTTGGTTAATAAAGTTTATTATGTTTACCATGTTATATCCAATCTCAATTTCATATTCCTCTCTTTTTCCTCAACCTTCTCGCGAGCCAAACAGACGCGCCAACTGGATCTGTCCTATTAGTAGTAATGAAACCCTAAATTTAACTGAAATTAGCACAGTACCATTATTGAAATTACATGATCCACTCGACCGAGATGCACAACAACCATACTCTATCAAAATAAATCACTGCAAAACCACAATTAGCATCAGATCCAAATATCCATTAATCAAAACTACGCAAATCTTGACCCCAAAAGACAGAAAATTCAAACAATAGTTAAAACAAAAATCCACCATCCAAAACCAAGAGGCAAGATTTAGATGAATCTAACCTTGTCAAGAATGTTAGGAGGGAAACATAAGTCTCCACCACTCCTTTTAGTATTGACAAAAATGGAAGGGAAAAGAGAAAGAGTATTAACTTAAGGTAGGTGTTTGGATCTACAGAGACTGAGAGAGAGAGTGAAAATGAGCGAAAAAGAGGGATAAAATAACTGATCGGACATAAGGGAGTGGCGAAGAAGGGAATGGTAATGGCTGTCTTGCGCCAATTGAATTGTGACACGTGACAGATGAATTCTGAGGGTAAATCTAGAATATCTGACTTTTCCCTTCGGCTGTTTAGTTATCAGGGTTGGGAAACTGTGGAGTCTGCGCTGTCACGGCTGCTGTCCTGCCACTTGGCAAGTATATGTTGATGGATAGGCCTCGATCGTTGGGGGCCCACTAGGCCCAGATGATAGCAATCGTCCGATGAGATTTGTCACATTTCCACGGTTGGGATTGTAGATCTGAACGGAATTGTGACGCGAAAAGGGGGAAGTGTCGTAATGAACAACTCTAAGGGTAAAATCGTAAGAGAGACAATAAGATTAAAAATAATATTCCCTGGCAAAGTCCACTGAAGCCTGAAGCCGGCGTCAGCTTGTTGGGGTTTAAAGCCCATAAAATTCAAGACTGAACCCAAAAGGCCCAAATACCAGCCGTAACTCTGGTGCTTTCTCACTTTCCCTGCAAGTCTGCTCCTATCAAATGAGTTTCTTCTTCCTTCTCCTAAAACCCTAGCAATGGCCTCTCTGCAACTCTGCTCCGCGAACCCTAGACTGGCGTTGCTAAATCCTTCATTTAAACCCTTTTTAAATCCAAGAACCCTAAAACCCCCAAAACCCTACCAAAAACGAAAGCCCACCGCCATTTCTTCAGTCCTTCAATGGAATAGAAAGCCTGAGCTGGCAGGCGAGACCCCGCGCGTGGTGGTTATAACATCCGGGAAAGGCGGGGTCGGCAAGACCACAACCACTGCCAACGTTGGACTTTCCTTGGCCCGCCTCGGATTCTCCGTAGTAGCCATCGACGCAGACGTTGGCCTCCGGAACCTAGACCTCCTCTTAGGTCTCGAGAACCGCGTGAACTACACGGTCGTCGAGGTCCTCAACGGGGATTGCCGACTGGATCAGGCATTGGTTCGAGACAAGCGCTGGTCAAACTTCGAATTGCTTTGCATTTCTAAACCCAGATCGAAACTCCCCATCGGATTCGGTGGGAAAGCGTTGGTTTGGCTGGTCGACGCGCTGAAAGCGCGCGAAGAAGGTTCTCCGGATTTTATATTAATAGATTGCCCGGCGGGGATTGATGCAGGTTTTATAACGGCCATAACGCCAGCAAACGAGGCGGTTTTGGTGACGACGCCGGATATAACTAGCTTAAGAGACGCGGACAGAGTGACGGGGCTTTTAGAATGTGATGGTATAAGGGACATAAAAATGATAGTAAACAGAGTGAGGACGGATATGATAAAGGGCGAAGATATGATGTCGGTTTTGGATGTGCAAGAGATGTTGGGGTTGGCATTGTTAGGAGTGATTCCCGAGGACTCCGAGGTTATCAGAAGCACCAATAGAGGGTATCCGCTTGTTCTGAATAAGCCACCTACGCTTGCTGGATTGGCGTTCGAGCAGGCCGCTTGGAGGCTTGTTGAGCAGGACAGTATGAAGGCTGTTATGGTTGAGGAGGAGCCCAAAAAGCGTGGATTTTTCTCATTTTTTGGAGGGTAGCCACAAGGGGCAGTTTGTTTCGGGTGGGGTTGATCTTGGTGAGGTCTGAGGAGCTATGTACAGTGAGTAAAGGTTGGTTGCCTTTTGATTCTTGCTAGTGATTTTGAAGTTTCTTTTGTTAGATAGCGAGGCTTGTAATTGTAGGGTTCTGATATCTAGGGAAGGTGTCTGTTTGTTGCATTTGGATGAGCTTCACTCAATTGTATTCTTGGGGCCTGCTTGAAAATTTTGTTGGTGTGAATATGTTGTTGTTTCAAGATTTTAATCTTCTGTATTTATTGAATTGAAACATTTAATTGCTCAATCAATCTATTGAATCTGATGAATCAAAATCATTAACTTTTAAGATTACAATGTTTCTCGAATTTGGTGAATTCATGGCTGTTGGTTTATCTTATCCAGTATCATAGCTTGCGCTTATCTGTTGCGGTGAGATATGGGTGATTCGAATACAAGTCGACCAATGACAGGCAGTGTACAATATGATTACAGTGTAATGCCCGGGAGGATAACTCAAAGAAAATAAATGAATTTTCTTTCAGAATACTGATACAGCCCTTGCATTTGCCCTCAAAACTCATATCTTCTCTAAACTTCTGGTATTGCAGACTTTTTAAAGTGTGTTGCACGATAAGCAGTTACAACATTGGAGCTTTTGCCTGCCTCATGACATTTTCATGGTCTCCAAAGCTTCACCCTAAGAAGCGGAATCGGTTTTTTTTTTCTTTTGGATTTGGGCTACTAGAGAACTTTACAACAAAACTTTTTACCTATCATCATCAAGAGCATCAGATATAATATGCAATAGGCAGTGACTTCGTCACTGACTTATTCCTTACTAGCAAATCCAGCAATCCTCCAGATTTTACATTATGCAGTTAAATCTGTCAGTGTGGTAACTGTGCTTTCCATCCAGATCTCAAGAATCAAATGATGCCATCAAAGGATGGCTGCTAGTGCTTAGATTTTGCTTTGCATAATCTCTCTTGCAATTCATGCAGTAATTTAGGGCCCACTGCGTTGACATCACCTGTTCATAGAAAAACTTCTCAATTAAAATAAAATCTCCCATTTAAAACTGTTCAAATGGAAATCATAATGACATTCAGTGTCTTAGGGATTCATTACCTGCTCCAAGGGTTAAAATGACAATTTCACGCAGAGGATCCTTGGATATCTCAAGTGCTAGTTTATCAACCACATCCTCCTTCAAGCCACCATGTAACATTAGAGTTAGACCTTTTAGAAACAAATTTAGACAAGGAAACAAATTGTTCTCTGATCAGTTAAGAATCTAGAAGTGCCGCATTTCTGACAGAGTAGCTCTCAATTTTAATAGTTAGAACCAGTTTGTCAACATTAAGATAGCATTAGCTAACATCTTTGTCTGTCATTCTTTTACAATACATATATACTACTTTTCATGTTTAGAAATTTGGGGAACAGATCCATACTGACAAATTTGTGGAGCAGTTCTACGAAAAGAGAAAAAAAAAAGAATAGACCAAACATCCACCATATCCTACTATATGTATGATGATAAATTTCATGAATATCAGAAACTGAAAGGCTAAAGTTTTTTTACTACCAGAGCTGGGATGTATTCAGTTGGGGGGCCAATGATGGAAGCAGCTAAATCCTTTCCAGAAACATTCCAAGCACCTGATTCTCTGACAGAATAAACCTGACATAACAAATCATTATGTTAGTAGTCCCTTGTGACAGAAAATTGCAACTACAGTGGATGAGGTACTTGTACCGCTGTTACCACAATGTAATCTGCATAACTTAATGCAACAGCAAAATCATCCTTAAACACTGCTAGACGACTGCAAAAGTCACCAAAAGTCAGTCTGGCATGATGTATAAAAATTAGTAAATTCACAAACACATATTGCACAAGTGAATGCCTGTAAGTATGAGGCTGGAATACCACCAGCAGTCTCTTGCATGGGAATCTCTGACGTGCTGCTTGAAGAACCATGTAAACTTCTGTTGGATGGTGGGCATAATCATCATATATATGGCATCCATGTATTTCTCCGATCAACTCAAATCGTCTAGAAAGGCCTATGAAATTGGGCAAATGTAACTTCAAAGAGTTGATTAGTTCACGTGTTTGTCTTTGGTCCTGTAAGAGTGCCATCACCGTGGCAATTACCTGCACAATGGGTGATAGTAAACTATACTGAGACTAGCAATGCTGCATGGGATACCTAAAACAGGCAGTGAAGGAATCTTATTTACACAGAATCTAACTTGGCTAATTTCAGCTAGAGATGAAAAACTCAAGATACTGGCTGAAAAAGTCCAGAAATTAACATAAGCTTATATAATCCTATTGAGAATGTGACGAAAATGGTCACTACACGGAGAAAAGAAATTTGAAATCAGCAGGTGTTTTCACTCACTGCTACTGAATTGAGGACATTATGAACTCCTGGAATTTGTAGACTAATCTCTGCTAATGGCTGTTCTCTATGGCACTGCAAGTAATCAAAATTTTCTGTAGCATGAGCAACAATTTAAAAAGTAGAATACAGGTGAGTTTCATATAACATTTATGAAGTACAAATGCATAATCACACACGGATGAAGGGTCACTGCCAATTTACATTAGCAAGCTAGAAATAATACCTATCTATGTAACAATAAGAATCTACCTCTAACTTTCAGTGTATTCTTGAACAATCTAGGTCAGTGGCAAACTACAAAATACCAAATTAATTGGCCAACTCTTGTACCAGCTAAATTAACTGTATTCAGTTTCCTTAAGTCCTTCTTAGAAGTTAAAGCAAACAGTTCAAGTTCTCAAAGAAAAAATTGTTTTTCATTTGCACCAAGTTCTCAAAATAAATTTTAATATAAACAAATAGTATAAACTACTATTAAATATGCAATTAACTTTTCTTAAAGGACTTCTGAAGAAAATGAGTTACAACATCTCCATAAGCAAACAGATAACATTTGATATAAATCTAGCTTTCTATGATTAGGTTGTCAAAGCACTCAAATATCGAAAACAAAGAAATGCTGACACTTACAAGTACATAATCACTGCCACCCTGTGAGTTGGGACAAATTGATGAAGCATGCCATTCATTAGTACTTGAAATTCCGTAGGTTGTTACATTGTAACCATCTATATCTGAACTTGGAATTGACATCATACCAATCGAATGCTCAGGTTTAGTTCCTTCTCTTGTGTAATCTAGCAAGGAATATGCTCCTAAACTGTTGTTTCCCTTCCAAAGGAATTTCTTCAATTAGTATAACCAGAACATCTGACTTCTGATTGCTGATTGTGGTATATGTGCATCTGGAAATTCTTTTAGCAGATGTTCACTATCTCTAATTGATAAGAAAAAAGTACTACAGATAAACAACAGAAAACACAAAACAATATGCTGCAAGAGACTTGGAAGAACATTCTAAGTGGTCATAATTCAGTATATATGACAATGGTTGAGCAAAGCATACCTATCCCCACATATAACGAGATGTCCACCCATTCTAATTTTTTTAAGGAACCTCCTGTAAAGAGTTTTAACGGCTTCCTAATTGACAAGAAAGGATGATCTTTAGTTCAAACTAGGTACAGCTACCAATAGTTTCACAGCAAAATCGTTATTGCACATGCATTATTAGACAATGAGTAACAAACCTCATCTTGAAAGATATCCACATGCTCCCACTCCACATTTGTTATGACAGCTATGTAAGGTGCTAACCCCAAGAAGCAGCCATCATATTCATCAGCCTACTCGTATGTCAAAGATGGAATGTTAAAATGAGAGTATTAACATGCACAGACACATATCTAAGAGAATGGAAAACCAACCAACATCCTTATGCCTTATTATAGGGTAGAAAAAGACAAGGACAACAAAAATGAAATATCAATCATTCTGATTGATTTGAAGAAATATCTCAATAAACATTACTCCACAAGAAAGATATTCAAGTCCCAAATTGCTACCTCAGATTTTCAAGGCATATACAATGAAATCAACTACTATTTATGTTCAAGGTCCATAAAGCACTCCTTGATTATTTTATTGGAAGAGAAATCGTCCTTATATGTACAGGAAATGTTCATCCTACTCATCCTACAAGGATTAATATATCACAAAAACTAGAACCAAAAAGAAAGAATACCTCAAGCACAAAATGCTGACCATCACCCCATATTATATTTCCTCCAGGAAACTGCAAAAAAAACAGTTTGCATCCAATTGAGAAATGATATAGATGGGACGTAAAGAGGGAAGAGAGGTTTATGGTGTAAGGAAAATAAAATTAGCTAATCCAATCCAACTTTTGTCCCAAGTTGCACTGTAAAACGTTACCTGTGGCACATGTGCTCCAACTACAGCTGTGAGATCATCTCCCATAGACTTCAAAACATAAGCTAGTAAACCAGCTGTTGTGCTCTTCCCTGAAATATGTTACAGGAACTATATATTTCTAGAAAAATGAAGAATATGAATGACAGAAAGATAACTTAACTACATATATGAACACAAATTGGTCAAAGTTTTGATTACATATCTAATGAAATGTCAAGGGTGAAACTTAAGCAACAAAGAAAACTTAATGTTAGACGGTATAAAGAAGCAGCATAGCATTACAAAAGCAGAGCTAATGCACTTCACCAATTTGAAATGCTCCCGACTTTCATAAATTACAGCCAACAAGACAAGATCATATACCATGGCTTCCACTGACTGCGATTAATTTGTGATGCTCAGTGAGCTTCGCCAACCAATAATCTCGTTTGTAACTGTGACAAAAAGAACACAATAAACACCAATTACACTAAACAAGTCATTACAATGAACATAAGGGCCCAACTACCACTTTATCAACGTAACAAATAGCTGTAAATTAGATGTATTTCCCAGGATTTCAAGAGGATAAAAGTAAGCTAATTTAAGCTTAATACTCACACAGGTACTCCAATGGACTTGGCATGTAAGATTTCTACATTATCTTGTGGGATGGCACTAGAAACAACAACCGCATTGGGGAATCTTGAACCATTTTTGCTTTGAATATTTGAGACCGAATGACCAACATGCAAGCGTACTCCAGCTTGTTGCAGGCCATCCATGAAGCTGGTCCATGTTATATCTGACCCACTAACCTCAAAACCCTAAAGATCAATGCAAACAAATCAAACCTTTCCTCGCATATAGCCGTACTATTTCTGTTACTACCAGAACTCTGCAAAAGCTTACGTGTTTGACAGCGAGCAAAGCCAGAGCCGACAACCCACTACCTCCAACACCTACGAAGTGAATCCACTCTTTCTGCTTTTCATACTTGAGATTTAACTTGCATTCTTGTTCCCTTTTCCTCGCACGCGTTGCTAGAAGTGAGATACGACGTTTCTCTTCCCAGGCTAAGATGCATTTCTGAAATAAAATGTTTTGACGCCGTAAAGGGCTCTTGCTTTTAAGTAAATGGAAGTGGGTTTTGACTTTGTAGTGAAAATTCGCCCGAAAACAACACGAATCGGCCACCGACATCGCCGGAGTTTCAATCGTGTGCAGTACTGTATTGGTTTTCCCCGGGAAACACTTCAAGGAACTGATTTGATTATTTTTCCCTTGGGCACCAAAATCTGGGGCTAATGGGCTAAAGTTGAGCCCATGTTCTATTTGAAAATCATGATTCTGACAGCGGACAGAAGTAACTTAAATTTTGGGCTCCTAATGGCCCAGGGTAACCGTAAACTAATCGGGCCAAAACTAGCCCATGATTGAGAGGGAAAATTCAAGGAAGTGACAAAACGGCCCAGGCCAAAATATTTGGTGAGCTCTTGCAATCTAAAACATTTGATGTCGTGACACCCTAGTCATTAACCAAATATTCATCCAAAGTGAAAATTTTTTTCACAAACTAGCAAGAAGTGACATTTACCCAAACATTACTAGCTGATTTAATATTTAAAGTTGAATTACTTTACCTTTTTTTTCAGAACAAAATTCAGCAAAAAATACTTTAATAAGAACAGATCAATGATTCGACGTTTCAAGTTCAAAATCCAACCTGCAAAAGGGGTAAAAAAGAAATTGATGTTTATCCAACTTTAGAAGGCATAGTGGACTTCCCACAGGCCGAAGGCAACAAGGGGAAAAAATTGCAGGTTAAAATGGGAGACCAATTGATAGAAATGGGTCCAAAGCCCCACTTTGGTGGGGTGAGATGTTGGGTAGGGGCGGTGGGGAGAGTCCACTATCAATAGTCCGCGTTCATCCAATTGACCACAGAGACAGAACTAAAAGTGCCAAACAAATTAAACAACAAATAAAACGAACCAACCAATCACATAGAGCCACCTCCATCAACAAATAAATAAATAAATAAATAAATCACAGGGCTGGATATTATTTTCCAATAGAGAGCCTATCCATCTCTTATAACCGACTGGAGTGGCCATCTCTTGCGTCAAATCAACGTAGTTATGTATGCAGTAGCAACCAATACTATTTCTGAGTCTAATAACATTTGGGAAGGAAATGGAAAGTCTGACGCGAGCTTGCATGAACGCGTTTTTGCCACGACAAGGAAAAGATGGGTTTTCTCGTTCAATGGATAACCTCGATCGTTGACAGTACGTAGACCAATAAAGTCCGTTATTTGGCAGTTTTAGGTTATGGTCAGATGTCAGATGCAGACATAATTGCACCAACCCATGTAGTTTGACGTTGTTCCCAGTATTTTATATTTGAAGGCGGCCAAACTCAGAAGATTGCTTTTTGTTGATCTATTAAATTAATGAATTAAAACGACGTGGGGTGTTTTGCTAGCTTGTTTAATTTTGACGGGTAATGGATCTGGAGGGGATGGTTATTGGTCTTCGATGCAAAACCCAACACACTGATTAATTATTAACCGTAATCAATCACATTGGTAGTCCTAATCCTTTTTGGCCTGCTTTATTAAAAGTGAGTGCAAAGGCCACTAAGCTTACGTTTCTCTGCATTAGAATACTTTTTGAGGGTCCTGAAGTCGGAGAAATGATGCAGAGTTTACACGTAGCCCATGAACTGAAAATGATGGGAGGAAGTTTTCAGAAGGGAAAATCATGATGCACTGGCAGTCACCCCCACCCAAAACTTTGCATATGCTATCCTGCAGGTTGCGGACTCTAATTTTGGACTATTAGGTCTACGCCTCTAGCTAGGCTCATCGACCAGTCTTTCTGGTTTGGCTGTCCCAAAGTTCCATTTCGACTTCCTCTCCATCTGCATGAGATTTTAGCTTTGAACTAAAGAATTTCCAGTGGCCTAAAGTGAGTGTTGGTCACGTATGTGTGTATGTGCACGTCCCATCCCCTTTTTATCCTGAATTAGTATCTGCTTTCGTCTTTGTTCTTCTGATACAACAATTGTCTGTTTCTGTCAACAAAGTGGAATAAAAGGGGCAAAGGGTAGGGGCCATACATTATTGATTCCATTTTCTGGTAACAGTCTTAAGCACCAAGCTGACAACGTCCACGAGGATTCAAATTCGTGGATGGCTGTCTCAGGAATAGCTAAGTTTTGGCTCCGTTAAAAATGGCTATCCGTATAGAAGCTATTAACATAATGCAACCACAGAAAGTCAATTCCATCAATGGGTACACTTCTATAATTATGGAGAGCAGAATTTGGTAAATTCCACGAAATGACAAAATACTTCTTCTTCCTTTTTTTTTTTCCAAATTAAATGGTAGTTTCCTACCAAAGCACACAGTAGAATTGTTGGAACAAAATGAACTGATTCTAATTTCAATGACAAAGAGCTTTTAAGGGAAAGAACTAGTCAGAGTTTCATCCTTAAATAATTGGCCAATGTTTCGTGTATGTAAAACAAGGCTCATATCCTTAAATCCCCACAGACTAATTGATTCGTATATGTTTGCTTTCTTACACCTCTGGTGTTTTGTTTAGGGTTACAGATTTATTTCTTAAAGCAACATGGCGTCCCTTTGTTCATTGTCGGGGACATGTACAGTCCTATGCTTCAACGAACCAACAATACCAAACTATTTTTGGGGTCGACTCAAATAAAGAGAATTTGAACTCCTAAAGTAGGATTTGATCATTTATAGAAGTTCATTTGGAATGATTCTTTCATTTTAATCAGTTTCTTGCCCGTCCTTGCTCTGTAACACGCTTGCTAGTCTCAATGCCTTTCACATGAATTGTGTTTCTGAAATAATGGTTCATGCATCAACTAATTAATCTTTTGTACCTTGATTGAAAGTGACTTTCATAGCCTTACCAACCTACAAAACAATAATGTCCATAGAATGGTCGGCAGAGTGGCCCCTGTGTAAAATTCAGAGTGTATCTTGTTCATTATATTGGCAATGTTATTTTCAATCATTAAATGATCATGCCCATTTTATTATTAAAGCAGGAAAATTTAAGAGGAACTAAGAGTAAATTTTTAAATAGGAAATAAAATCGTCTATGTAAGTTACTTTTATTTATATATCCTCCATAATTAATTTAGCAGAATAAAAGAATGTGATAAGATCCATTAAAAAAAATTATGATAAGAAGTCTTGTGTAAGTATAATTTTAAATATATGTAAACAATTATATTTGATGAATATTGTTTGTCACAATTATTAATATATGTAGATCGTAATTAGTGTCATTTCACCGTAACTAATGTTCTCAATGGAATAGACAAATCTTGTTGTGTTAACAGAGTACATAATTTTGTACAGAAAGGATAGTGACTAGAATTATTAACGATATATCAAATGTAGCTCATTTCTAAAAGGTGAATGGCATCTAGATATAATCAGCTAGGTAAGGTTGCCACATTTATGATTTTGAGCAAGAGCTAGCTTCGGTTATAGGTCCTTGGGTAATTCGAAATTGGCGAGAATAACTTTGACACATTGTTGATAGCTTGGGCCTACCCTTGCCAGTTTGGTCGAGGACATAAAGTTCATCTTGATGATTCAGAGATCGGCAGGTTCAGGATATGCCTAAACCTATCTTGGAAAAAGGAAAATCTCCTGATGATAAGATTTCAAATGAAAAGTTGTTTTGGTCTATTTGCTTACTCGTGTAAACCAATGCTGTGGGCTCGGCTTAACCAAAAAGTAATTTGCCAGCGACTTTAGAGTGTTCGAGCAAAGACGAGGTGCCTACCCATACAGGACAAGGGGACAGCACATGGGCAGAAAACAGTGAAAAGTTGAGTTTACACATTCCAATTGGTAGAAATTAAGATTCATGTATCAGTTTGTATTACGTTAGAAGATATATAAAAGTTCATGAGAATCTTGATCATCACAAAAAAAAGAGATTGTATGCTTTTCCTTTTCCATCTCCTATTAGAAAAAGATGAGATGAGAAAGTAATACTTTAAAACCATGGAAGTCGTAATGAATAAACAAATAACCGTTCTGGAAAGAACATGCTAATGCTATGTTTTTTTTTTTGGGCGTGGGTTTTGGGGGTGTTACGTATCCCTTTGAAAAGATTCTCTTGTAAGTTTTAACTAAGAGGGTTTGGCTGCTTTGGTGGCTACAGGGCCAAGGGAAAGCAAAGTAGGTGTGAGAGTTGGCTCATTCTTGAATTCATTATTATCGTCGTCAATGAACCCAACAGATCATGGACTTATCTTTCACCCCAAAAAAACAAAACTAAAAGTAATTACCATTAACAATTTCTTGTATTTCTCTTTTGTAAGTATGAGATTTTTACACGTCACTAGACACATATTCTCACGCGAAGCTTGAGTTACAAATTACAATGCTGATTTGAGGGGTTCATTTTCAGTGGGAAAACCATAATCCATACACTGTATATTTCTTTCATTCTGAACTCTTAAACAGTATTGGTAAATTGAGATTGAGGGCTTTCCGTTCCCAAGTCATTGTCTCTAATTCTCCTCCTTTGAACCATGTTTTTCTTTAAAGAGAAAAAACAATCCATGTCTTTCGCCTGATAGGAAAACAACAGTGATTAACTCAAAATCATTTTCCACTTATAATAATGACAGTATTGTATCTATACACTGGCAATTGCTCAAAAATGGGTCCCTTTAAACAGTAGAATTATCACGAACCCATGCCTGATTTGATTCTCCTATTGATCTCTTTCTCCAATTCTTCTAGACCTCCCACTTCCTCAACCTCCTGCTCCATAAAACAAAGAAAAATCTAAGGAAACCAAACAAATGAAAAATAAAGACAATATGAAAGAGTAGATAAGGATGTTTAAGACAAGCACCTATTGATCTCTTTCTCCAATTCTTCTAGACCTCCCACTTCCTCAACCTCCTGCTCCATAAAACAAAGAAAAATCTAAGGAAACCAAACAAATGAAAAATAAAGACAATATGAAAGAGTAGATAAGGATGTTTAAGACAAGCACCTTAGGCCCTAGAAACAGACCATATGGGACACCATTGAATTTGTCTGAATGATGGAGCTGAAACATAAACATCATATCCGAAGAAGATCATGGCCGTTAGATTTGGTTATAAGAAAAGCCCGTATAAATATTGATAAAAAAAAAAAATTTAAGCTTGTCTTCTTATGTAAGATGTTTGGTGTGGTGCATATTAACCTGGTGGGCTGCAGCAACCTTCCTGAAATAGGGCACGTTAGCAATGGGGCCCACGGGGAATCTCTTATGGACGAGACCATCGTGGACGAACATGTAGGCCATTCCGAACACCGTAATTCCAAGCCCCTGTGACCAAGTCATATAAAAAATATTAGAATAAAGGAGGGGTCATTTTAGAACATGCAGAAAAAGTTTCCAATCCCAAGTTATTAAGTAGGATTAAACCGTTAATTAAGGAAGACTGCCAAGATTCATAAAGATTATGAGAGAGAAAAAGAACAATTAAAGAATTACTAACCAAAAGCAGATAGGAGAAGACTTACAGCACCAAAGCATAGACCAGGAACGAGGCCTCTGTTGAAGAAACCATAAGAAAGGAGAGCAATAGCTGGGACCGCGTTGATAATGGCGAACACATCGTTTAGCTCGAACGGACCTTCTCTAGGTCGATGGTGAGACTGCGAAATCAGAATTCATTAATTCGGTTTTAGCAATCTTATTCGAGAGATTTCAATCTCAGCTGCTTAGCTTATTTTAAAAGGAAACGGAAAGAAGGGAAATGAAAGAAGAGGAAATACCTCGTGCATATGCCACAAAGAAGCGTGCCAAAGCGCTCTGTGAGCCCATCTAGCCCAAAACTCCATGCCTACCTGAAAATCGAAACGACCCAGTTTCCGATTCAACACTCAAATCATACTCCAAATGCCGATTATATTAGAGTATTAGTCCGTAGTAAAAATCTTGATGAAGGAGATATATAGAACTTACCGCAGCACCAACCGATAAAGCAAATGTACCAAACATTTCGGAAAGAGGTACCTCCCCACCCTTAAAATAGAAAACAACCGAATTCCAGAGTTTGACCATACTGTTAGAAGGAAAAAAAAAAACAAAGAGAACGGGAAATAAAAAGAGACAAAGAGAGGAAACTAACCTCCATTTGCCAATAAAACCTATAATAAACAGCCATAACAGCCATGGACGTGATCCCAAAACTAGACATTACAGCAGCAACTAGGTAAGTAAATCTCTCTGATCTCTTCCTAGCTAACTTGTCCGCCACACGTGCTTGTATTAAGATCTGAGAACCTCTAACATCCTCGGATCCTTCTTCTACAAGATTTACGATCTGGGGAGCACTTTGTTTCTGTTCCTCCAGCACAAAACAAACAGCAAAGCTTGTCTTCCTTCGAACTCCATATACTGTTTTCTGGAGGCGACGTAAAGGATGAAAAAGCGGAGTTGGCTTCGGCTCGAGGTGTGAGGATAGATATGGACGGAAAGGTTTAGGGGTTAAGGCGGAGAGGCCTGCCGCCATGGAAACTACTGCGAGAAGCTAAACTTGATTACGGGCTAAAATTCTAAAACCTTAAACACAAGCTCCCACAGAGGATACAAAGACAGAGGAAGAGGCAGAAGCAGACGAAAAGAAATGGGGCGGTGCGAGGCAGAGGAGAAATGTCTGGGTTTTAGAGAGTGAGAGAGGTTAAATGCACGGAGACCACAACTTTCCTGGCGTGGCAAAGTTTATGGAATTTAAACACAATCTCTATTAGTTAATGCATATGGTACACATGGTAATAGAAAAACCCTTGTTTCATCTTTAATTTACCAAGTTGCCACCACCGGCCATTTCCAAATATAACACGTGGAAAATTCATATTATGTGTTATTGGAAATTATCTCTAGCTTTTCCCTTTTGCTTATTTTTCTTTTTTCTATTGAGCGTTTTGCTTTTCTTCTCAGTTCTTGGGATCTAAAAGGGCTGATTATTTGTGGTAGTATACCAGTATATGCTAAAATGGTTTGATTTTCCTTTGGTCTTACGCATCATGTGAAAAGAAATCACGTATGGAGACCCATTGAATGCTATACTCCTAAATGGGAGATGACAGATTATCTTTCTCCCATTCCCATTTATACAATATACTTATTTACTGTCATCATGATTAAGAGCATGATAATAAGTTTTTTTTTTTTCAAAAGCTTGTCAACTTCTTTGAAGTAGTTGTAGTCTTAATTGACTTCAGAGACACATTCAATTAGGTTTACAAAAGCAATTAACATCAATATCACAATAAATCACAATAAATTACAATTCATGTCATCTTCCCCCCAACATTAGATATATTTTATTTGTTCTCAATTACTTTTAAATTTAAAGTTGGCAATTAAAAAAATTAAAATAGATTCATATTAGCTTTTTTCAAATTTTTTATCACTGACGGATTTAGATTTTTTTATAATTATTTTAATAAGCTTTAATTAAAATTGAATCGTTGATTTTTAAACCACATTCCAAATATGATTTTGAACAAGATAAACAAAGTCTTTGAAATCAAATCAAACTCTTATTAGCGAATATTGATACTAATTACTTGGTTTAAATTAGAGTCTGATTTTGTTATACTACTTTAGTTTTAACCAACAAACTAAGCTACCATATAAAAACATGGGAGCTGGGAAGACCCTTCGGAAAAGGACGTTGGCAATTCGGTAATTCGGGTGAAAAGCAAGTGTAAAGTAATGGGAAAGTGGAGGTCGACGAGTGAACATGAGTCAGGAGTACAGGAGGACAAATGGCAGGCAGGCAGAGGAAAATATGAGGCTGACGTCCGCGGTAGGATTTGCCAAATTTGCAGGGCAGCGGACAGCCAATCAAATTGTAGTTTCGAAAATAATTGACCGCAGGAAAGGATATTAAGGTCTCCCTCCTTTCCAACAAACAAGGCCTTGCCCTTTCTATCGTGCCACGTAATCTCCAGTATAATCGCTACCAACCTATCAGCACCTTTTGGGATGTTGTTATTGCCACATGGGATTGCCTCATTGGGTATTCTCGGGACACGCGTTCTCCTTTTCGCCGTGGAGTTCGCCACCTGGCGAACAGCTCGTGCAACCAGAGATTTCGTTTGGATCAGAGTACAGTTCTAGGTTTTTCTTCGAGTAAAGTGCTTTAAGCCTTTAACAACCGATGGCCGGAGCCAACAAGCATATGGTTTTGGCATTATCTTTGACAATGAGGTGTTTCAAGTTGTTACTGTTTTTGTTTTTATCTTGTTCTTTTTATAAAAAAAAAATTAATCTTGTAAGGAAAAGAAAGTGCGCTAAATGTAATATATGATTAATATTTAATTGTTGAAATAGCCCAATGCTAAATGTTTAGATAGTTTATTTTGGTCAAAAGTGGATATATGTACATTTTCTGAAGTCTTAACTTATTTTTTAAATCTCAATTATATATCTTTGATTAAACTTCATACTTCACACTTAATTGGAGGTAGGTAGGCCAGCGCATATCTAAATTACACCCTTAGAAAGAAAGGGAGAATTGATTTAATAAAACAACTCTTATTTCTAAGAATAAAATTTCAGTGCCTTCTTTTCCTGTTGAACTTTCTCATAAATGCCCAATGAAGAAAACAAATATTTTCCCCAGCACCGTATTATTGCATGATATGGTCATGGAATGAACTGATTAAAAGGAAGTCCGATTCACAGCGTGTACTTCGTAAAATGTCCCAGCTACCTTGAACCCACAAATTCTGAAAAATGACATTTTGATTTTTTCTAGAAACAATGGACAGGCGATGTTCGAATGCACCCAGACTGAATGAATAGACATTAACCTAGAATCGAAGCAGGCAAGATCTGCAGCAGCAGAACAGCCCAAAATAATGAAATTCCAACTCAAAATTGTCGCATGATCACAAGCTTAAATAAATAATACTAGTGTATCTTAAAATATCATGCATTCACTAAATCGGCCCAACGCCTGCATAGCCTTGAACCAATATTTGTCAACAGTGTCTCAAACATCCAGTTCCACGGTCCCGGGACCATGTTGGATGCAAGAAGGATGGATTTGCCTATCAAGCCAGTGTTTCACAAAGCTTGGCCCAAAATGGGCAAAGAGGTTGGGCCAGAGTTTAATATTGTTTTCAGGAAATTTAGTACGAAGAAATTGAAGAAAGAAAAAGGGAATATATGTTAAGATAACATGTGAGCTCACTGTCAACTAATATAACACTACTTCCTATTGATGATTGTTGGTGGCAATCAGCGAAGTCATAAAGTTCTTTCAACGAAAGCATAGGCATGGGAAATACGAAATAGTGTCACATATAAAGAAACTTACATCTCCCAAAAAGAACATAATTAGATGTGTTATACAAGGACAGACCTCTCCTGGGGTTATGTCTTCGCTGTTACTTGGATATACCAAGTCATTATATCGGATTCTTGATACTTAATAAAATCTTTATCTTTGATTGAGAAAAAAAAATATAAAGTTTGTTTATCTGTTTATTTATTTTTCGTGTGGGATCAAGGTTACTCTACTAACTAAGTTGTATTGGCATACAAACATGAATATAATTATCATTAAGAATTAATTGCTTAATATCAATTAAGAGGTGAGAAAACCCATGAAAATCCAAAGAATTCAGTCCCTCCTTTTGAATATCTACTAATGAAGTTGATGATTGACATATTTGTTTACTAATACATAATTTAAATAAATCGAGCATTTATCAATAACAAGAACACATAATTCATCAAATGACGATGGGGTTTAATCAATTAATCTCTAGGGACATTCAACGTATCAACTTCAACTTGCAGATCTAACGCTGCCAAATTAATATGGATCATTCATATCTTTCTTCTTTAACCATGGATGGGAAAGAGTTGTCACGATTCACAAAGCCGAGTTCTTAGCGTTATGTTTTATCACAGCATTATCAGGGATTTGGCGTCTTTTGCTTTTAGATCTGTTAGATTCTTTTGGCATCATGCGCAGAGAGCTCAACCATCATTCATTGCCGAAAGTTTTAAAGGTCTACGTATATAATTATCATAGCACGACAGAACTGGTTTCATCGTTTTCATTGAAGCTCATCATCATTTTTGGTCTGCAAAATCATGGCTTAACCACCACCTTAACTAATTATGTACAAAAAAATTGAACCACCACCTTGATTGTCAAAACTATACTGTTGCTCGTTGTTCGTTGTTGTTGCAAAAAATGAATTAATCATCCCTTTTCTTGAATAACATCAATTCATCTTTTCAAAAATTACTATATATATATATAAATATAACATTAATTCCCACATTGCAAAGGATTGGATTCATTAACATTTAACTTGAGCGGGCACTATGATATTGTATTGCAGCTGAATCAACGTTGTTTCTCATTGATTTGTAAGGAATATTTCTCAACCTAGCGTACAAAGTTCATGGGTTTAGAACTAGGAAAAGGTACCAACCTACCTAGGCCAACTTTTTTTCTTACCAGGGAAGAAACCTAAGACGGATTTGAGGTTGCTAAATGATCATGTCTTGTCTAAGAAAGAAGCTTAAAGAACAAAAGCAGAAATGTCCTGTCTTGGTGGGGGATGTCTCTGGCTTGCAAGAATCTTTCATTTTTATGCCTCCTATAATAATTAGCTGAATTGTGCGGGTATATATATGTATATTTATTATGGCTCACAAACCATGCTCTTCCATAGCTTCTAGAATTGGGAAATTGATTGAAAATATAAATGCAAATTGAAGTGTGTTATCATTAGATTAATTGGTGCTTGATCCTTGTTAATTATTATTATCAAATAAGGTTATATCCATGTATAGATTGACAGAAAAAGCCCTCTATGGCGGTAAACGATAAATTTTCAACAACCATACATATGCATCTTATTATAAACATTTCTTGATAAATGTTGGTGGTGGAAGTCCATATACAATTCACCTAAAGTTAGACATAAAACATCAAATCATGTTATGAATAATAATTTGTAACTGCTTTAGTTATAACATTAATGGCTTGTTGAGCCCACATGATATCGATGTTTAAACCAAACTATATTTTTCCAAAATATTGAGAGGTCGTAGTCACTTTGAGAAAATTCATAATTTTGTATAGATTGGATCTTGTTTCTGTTTAAGCACATTCTTACAGCCAGTTAGACTCATCTTCTGTTAGAATCTCCATGCTCGGGCCGCAGCTAGTTGCCAAATAGCACGAGATTTTTCCTAGTGCGCAACCTTGTCTATATTTCCTCACAAGGAAAACCATGCATTAAGCAAGTCGCAAAAAATTTTTAATCAAGAACTGGATGGTGGAAGCTTTGATGCATGCAACAGTTGTTAAGAACGTGAGACCTTCTAAGTAACACACAGTAATCAAGTTATGGAATTTACTTGGATACATTTAAATCTTTTTTTTTTTTTGGTGGTAGATTACTACATTGAAGGGCTCCGAAGTATCAAGATGACAAATTCTAACCTTAAACTTTAGTTATATTATATTTAAAGAGTAACATTGTTAGGTTAAAGTCTTAATTGTTTAGACATTTGAAAACCTTGCCAACTGCCAGTCAAACCTAGGTAAATAGAGTTCTTTTTCCTCTTTTTTTTAATTATATGAATAAAAAGCAATGTATCTTTAGATGCCATTGAATTTATTCTCTTTTGAAATGTCTTTAGAGAAATAAATTATTGTACTGATATTCTTGTAAAATTTGAATCGAATTAGAAGTGAAATGTCTGTAAGTTGGTGTTAGTTGGGTGATAGCGTTTGATATGAGTGGATGACAGGAACTATAAAGTAGGGTGTATTTTTATCTCATTAATTTATTCAAACTCAAATCAATCCTCAAAATAATTATTATCCCATAATTGAAGGAGGTTTTCATTGTTAATTATAGGTATATATCCTTTCAAATATCACTGGTGCAATTCAAAGAAAATGCATTTGCCAAAAAAGGAAATAACTTAAGATAATTATTCTGAAATAAGAAAGGATTAAAAAAAGTGTCAACATTTTAAATTTTTAATCCTCTCAAAAATCTGATTTATTAACCAACTTGAACCGCTTAACCAGATCATGAATGATATAAAACCTACAAAACGTCCATATGGTGCTCTCGACTACAACTAATTAGATTGAAAAACAGATGTCTAATTAAATGAAAATCGCTTGATCAGTTCAAGGGTTGAGATACATATCCGGATAATTCTTCTTCTTTGCATATATAAATTTTCTTTTTTTTTTTAAATATTACAATAAATTTAGATTTTAATTATACTTTCTCAGTCAATATACTTTTTATGTAGTTAAAAATTAAAAGCTGTAATTATTTAAACTTTTAATTATATTTTTTAATAGTAATATTAAAAGTGTAATCTTTATTAGTGTATACAATCTTTATAACTACATTTTATTTATAATGTTGTTAAAATTTTATATAGTGCAGTAAAATTTATAAAAATATTGTAAAATAATATAAAAAATATATTATTATAGTAAAATATTTAAATCAAATTTATTATAGTAAAAAATCTCAAATGAATCTATTGGAAATATGAATCAATTCAAGTAAACCATACTTATTAGAACATCAATACGCAAGGGCGGAGGGTAGTGTCATCATGGGTGTCATGTTTTAAAATTATTTATTTATTATATATATTTTTAATGACTTCTCAAAATAATTTTTTTATTTAATAATTATTTTTATTCCATCAACCTTTTGATGAAATTAGAGTTATTATAGTTAGCCTATTGCTAGTTATCATATAAATTTTAATCCAATGTGCTAAGCTTATCAAATTAAAAAAAAATAAGAGTAAGTCTACTAATCTAAACCTACTAAATCTTAATGTAAATCTAAACCTATCATAACATATTATATCTAAAAATTCAACCCAATAGTTTATCATAATATATTATATATAAACAATTCAATCTAATAATCTAATATATTAATTAATAATTCAAGAAGCAAATAGAAAATAAAGAGGGCTTCTTCAAAAAAACTATCCATTTCATACAGAACACACAAAAAAAAATCATTTAAATTTAAAAAATTATTCTTTTTCACTCTTGTGTGCAGATAATGAGAAAGATTCTTTTCATAGTTCTATTAGGTCATATATATATATATATAATATGTTTTTTTATATATCTAATATTTTGTAAATTTATTTAATCTTTTAAATGAATAAAAATTAAATTATATATAAAATTCTTTTTAACTGTTAAATATCTTTTTTCTATTTGATATTCTTTAAAAATGCTTTAACGTCGCCCCTGTTGCCCCTGTCAATACGAACACAACTTGGCTACAAATATATATACTAGCTTATATCCTTTGAACTGATGACATAGGTTAATTAAGAGAGAAACTAAAACTAGCTAGAGCAAACATGAGAAGAGGTGAAAGCTACGGTGGCGGTCCGAGTTCACTTGGATACTTGTTTGGTTCTGATCAGCAGGCAAGCAAAACTCTAGCACCCTCAACTCCCATCAAAGCCCCTTGGGATGATGATAACACCACTAAGAAACCACCAAATAATTCCTCCAAGAAGTCAAGTGTCACCAACAATTATCACAGAGCTCAAGGGCAAAACTCAGGCAACTTCATTACTGTGAGTGATCTAGCTTGGACGATTTCAACATGTGAACTTTTTCATTTCTTCAACAAATTTTTCCTCTTTCTTCAATTTACTTTCTTTTCAGGACCGCCCGACGACGAAGGTTCAGTCAGCGCCGGGAGGGGACTCATCTCTTGGATACTTGTTTGGAGACAAGTAACGGTTCCTGCAGCCGAATTATTGTTCCACTCTATGTATAGACGAGGATTCAGTTTGGTTGTGATTTGGGTTTCTTACAAATAAGGGCACAGCAGCAGGTGCTTTAAAGTTTGTACTCGTTCAGTAAAATTGTGAACTTCGGTGTGTGTTTGTGGATAGGGTTGTCGATCACTAGACATCAGATATATTACATGCTGTATCCTTTTGTAAGTTCTGAATAAATCATATTATATTAGTGATAGCGATTGGTTTGGGTGAAGTAAAGTCAGCTGTAAGAATCTTTGTTGCTGTACTTCTCAATTAGTTATCTTATTACAGTATTAAATTAAGCTTCTTTTCAAGTTTTTTCTTTTTTTTTAAGCTTTGATGATGGATTGTATCTCTTTTCTGTCTCCTTTTGACAGGGGATTTCTCTGTTCTAGTATTCCTCATCCCAACAATTCCTTTGACCTCATCATTTTTGTATACTCAGATGCATCTATTATTTAAAAAATTCAAGCCAGTCAGTGCACTGTGTTTTTGTGTTGATCTAACATAAAAGAATTGATGTTTTTTTATCTTGATAAGGGAATACCATAACTTTCAATTGTGAGGAGAGTTTTGATCCCACTTAGACTTAACTTCATGAGAGTTATCACAAAATGTTGACTTGGTTTAATTAAAGTTTCAAAATTTCAATTCATAATAAATTGATAAAAATTATTTTAAATATTTCAATTGAATAAATCAAATTTTCCTTAATAAATCTGATTCCAGTTGGAATTTTGTAACTGTGGTTAAATAATGTGAAGATTTCGTAATAATTCCCATACATTCTCATAAAGATGACATTTAAAAAATATATTTTTACATAATTCTCAATTGTTATGACTGGTCAGAAATGAAATGATTTAAAAGATAAGCAGCTCCATCATTTGCAGCTTTTCTTATATCATCAAAGTTTGCCTCTCTTATTGGTCGTATCCCTCAGTGGGTTCTATGATATTTAAATGTTAACAAGTCTGCAATAGGGAAGCTGGATCTTGCAACATTTGGTTGTGTTCTGCAGCATCATACAGGAGTCATCAAAGGAATATTTCGTAAGTCGATTGTAGTGGACGACTCAAACTTTTCTACGCTTATGACAATTATGGAAAGTTCTATTTTTATCACTTCCACGTCGCTTATCATTTTCTCATTATTTAAAATAATTCTAGTAATGTTATTTTTTAAACTAATAATCACTCTAATGTTTTGATGAATGAAACGTATTTCAAATCATATTGAGAGTTTTGAACTATCAATTCATCATTCTAGTATATATTTAAAGAAGAAAATTTTATTATGGACGAGTTAGTTAAAGAAGGATCCTACCTATTACGAATAATTTTTTCCATTATGTAATTCTCTTTATATAGGACACTATTTTTTCTTTGGTGTTGCTGTTGTTTTATCTATCTTTGTTTCTTCTTAACTTTGACTCACCGAAACTATAATAAAAATTCTTGTCTTTCAAAAAAAAAAAAACAACAATAACAAACACATCCATACTGCCACAGACTTACATCAATTTCTTGTTTATCCCCTGAAATTCTAGCAATTCCAGAACATAAAGTAGCTAGTCGTTCATCACTCTCTTCCTTTTCAATTCACAGGCATGGGCCTTGCCTACCACTTATTTCTCTCCCAAGTAGTAGCTAATTAGAACAAGGCTTCCGCAGTTCGTTCATTGAGCCCATATACATGCTCTAGTATACTTGATCTTGAACATGAAATCCCAAGCAATTTCTGTATAAAAACGAGAGATCATTTTATCTCACAAACAAAAGGAAAGTATACAAGTGGAAAGCTCGATCGGCACGACTTTGCTAAGAAAGTATACAAGCAATTCCAGAGACATGCATGCTTGGTTAAGGTTTGTCAATAGCGATCAATAAGATAGAAGGAAACGGCTGCCTTATTTCGTTAGGAGATAAGCAATCCGCTGCATTTATCTTCTACAAGATGGAATAAAGCTAAGATCTTAACGCTGGTAAAGGCACCCTAGCTATGATCTCCTTTTCCACCTAACTTTAGGACTATCTTTTTCTAACTTACACGGCTGTGCAATGCATGGGAGTGGGCTGAGTTTGCGTTGTGGAGAAGTTATATATACCCAGGCGGATGATTCTGTTATAAGAATAAATAAATTTATGCACTAATAAAACTGAAAATAAATTTTTACAATTAATTAAAACTGATTTATTCGAAAATCTGTAGTGTTGTAAATTAGCAAGCAGGAATTATACGAAGTGGCTGGTTTTATCTTTTCTAGGTCTACCACAAACATCACTCTTTCCCCTTGTGATTAATGCTATTTTTGGCAGACCAAATTAGTCTAAGAATTTTGTTCTTTAAACATAGAAGCAGACGAAGATAATTTTATTATTAGAACAAATCTAAGATTTAGCGGGCACCATTAGAACCGGACCAGGCTTTCCTTGGTCAATCCGCAGGACACTTGATGCATGCCACCTCAATGTTTTGGATCCAACGGCTAAAGAAATGTACAAATCAAGTTTAAAAGTTGGAACTCTTATCCATACAAGCATGATACAACCGTCGATCAAAAATATCCAAAAAGGAGATGCACGTACACAGTTTTTGCATTCTAGTTTCCTTGCACGTCGTCTTTTATGGCCATGACATATTTCAGTTACCGTTACATATTTGGCATCCTCATAATTTTTGCTCTATTTAGTTAATTCTCACTGCCATGCCAAATAATCAATGATTTTGTCATAATTGTTTACCTTAATTGTACATTACAACCTCTTCTTTATAAATTCTGTTTCGCAAAGAAGACATGTATACCTTCAATTTTCAGCAATGGAGTTAAGGAAATCCCAAGTAATGTATCTCTATGCCGTTTGCTCTTCTTCTCTTTCAGTTATTTTCTGGGTCAAATCACATAATTATAAGTTTATATGATTCATGTTTCTTATTTGCAACATGTTTCGATTGTTTTTTTTTTTTGGAGAGAAAATATTGATGTTTTCCTTGTTTTTCGAATCGTTTTGTTCTGATTGATCGATTGAAAATAGAGGAATAGCTTACAAGGACACAAACTTGTCTCTTTTTCTTTAGGTGATTGAGACATTAATCTCAGCCATAATTCTATTGGGCTTACTGAGTTCGAGTGTAGCAGCACACTGTGCGGTCCGATATGCGGAGAGCATCGAGTTCCCCGCTCTAAATTGTCGTAAGCACAGTGCGGTTTTGACAGATTTTGGTGGGGTCGGTGATGGCAAAACATCCAACACGCAGGCGTTTAAAGCTGCAATTGCGAATCTCAGCCAGCTTGCGGCGGATGGTGGTGCACAGCTTATCGTGCCGCCAGGTAAATGGCTAACAGGGAGCTTCAATCTCACCAGCCATTTCACCCTCTTTGTCCATAAGGATGCTGTTATTCTTGGGGTTCAGGTACAATTTTTAGCCATCAAATTCTCGTTTACCCGTCAGAACTTGCCGGTATGTTGCAGCATTAGTTAGACTTTTAAGAGCTGATATTCTCACCCCCTAAGTTATCTAGCTCTTTATTTATTTCTGCCATTTGTCTTCAATTTTACTTTGAGTTTTGACATATGAAAGGATTTTTCAACTCACCTCGACAAAATTTTTTCTTTCAGGTTGAAGATACCATCTACATTTTTGAATTTTTTTCTGCTCTTGAAACTTTATGATGGTCTTTTCTTTTTTTGGTGAAAAATAAAATTCTACGATTTTTTTTTAAAAATTCTATGATGTTATACATACGATATGCCATCAATTTTACTTTCATTTAGGTCATAAAATTACCGGCCTCCTCTTTTAGTCAAAGATCTTCAGGTCGTTGCTACCTAACATTACAAAAGTGTGGAGTTGGAGAACAGACATTAGACTAACTCAAATGCCTGAGGACCAGAACACCCTCGTTCTGCTAAGACTTTCATGATCTTTATAGTTTTTCCTGAAGACAAATTTCAAGAATATTAAAGGAGATGCATAATCTAGTTTTTATCTTGTTTAAAAGTAAAGTGATTACCATTTATCTTGTTTGATTTTACTTCGAATAATCTTTCAATATAATAAACAGGACGAATCAGAGTGGCCTCTTCTTCCTGTTCTGCCTTCTTATGGGAGGGGGCGAGATGCCCCTGATGGAAGGTTCAGCAGTCTTATTTTCGGCACCAACCTCACAGATGTTGTCATTACAGGTACCTAAAAATTAAGACCTATCAACTTATAGCAATTAAATTTTAGCATCGAGCCTTGAGCAAATCTGACCCAATTAATAGGGAAATTTTTCGGCTTGTAACAAAAGGTAACAATGGCACCATCGATGGCCAAGGGGCATATTGGTGGAAGAAGTTCAAGGAGGATAAACTGAATGAAACCAGACCCTACCTGATTGAAATCATGTATTCCAATCAGCTCCAGATATCGAATCTGACATTGATCAACTCCCCATCATGGAACGTCCATCCCATATACAGCAGGTATATTTTGTCTATATAAACACTTAATTGCCATTGAAACCACATTATCACAATTGATTTTTCTGATATTTGTTTTGGTTTTGATCGAATTTGAAATTGCAGTGATGTGATCATCCAACACTTAACCATTCTTGCACCAGTTGATTCTCCTAATACAGATGGAATAAACCCAGGTTTGTTTGCACTCACAGGTTCTTTGTTCTTAATAAAGGAATGAAATTTTACAACTTTGTAAAAGTTGATATGAGCCACAATGCTATTTCTTATCTTTCTAGATTCATGCATAAACACCAGAATCGAAGATAGTTTTGTAGTCTCAGGAGATGACTGCATAGCTGTTAAAAGTGGCTGGGACCAATACGGAATCAAATTCAACATGTCAACCAAGCACCTAGTAATTAGAAGGTTCACCTGCATTTCTCCTGACAGTGCCACCATTGCTCTTGGAAGTGAGATGTCTGGAGGAATCGAAGATGTAAGAGCTGAAGACATTACAGCAATTAATACCCAATCTGGAGTGAGGATTAAAACAGCCGTGGGAAGAGGAGCTTATGTTAAAGACATTTATGTTAGAAGAATGACATTGAATACAATGAAGTATGTGTTCTGGATGACAGGCTCTTATAGCTCACATCCAGACCCCGGCTTTGACCCAAATGCATTTCCTGTAATCAAAGGAATCAATTACAGAGACGTTGTGGCCCATAATGTCACCTATTCGGCAAGACTGGAAGGAATCGAAAAGGATCCTTTCACTGCTATTTGCATTTCAAATGTCAATATCAAACTCACTAATAAGCCAAAGGAGTTGCAATGGAATTGCACTAATGTTCAGGGAGTTACCAACCGTGTGACTCCTGAACCATGTAATTTGTTGCCTGTGAAGGAAATAGATTGTCCCTTCCCAGACGATAGGCTGCCCATTGAAGATGTCATGTTGAAGACTTGTTTTGTGAGCGGCAAGTTCTGAGAATTGTTATAATTTACTTCACTCTTAATGCTTATAATCTCATGCCCTTTATATCCTTACCATCTTTTCTACTATAGTATCGAACTTGATATGGAGATTGTAAGAATGCTCTAACCAATAAGACAAAAGTATGAGGAAGTTCATATTTGGTGATTGGCAAAAAAGTTGATTACATTTCTTTAAGCTCAAACGAGTTAAGTTGAATTTTCTCACATCATCACATCTCGAAAAATCTTTGGAAAATGTACAACCATACAAACGTTGTACTAAAGTTTGCATTCTACTTCAAAAGGGAAGGAAGATCTCTCCGGAAGATCAAATGTTGTATGGATGAGCTTTTATCGGATAGAAGGAAAATCTGAAAAGAGCCTTTGCGTCGGATTGTCAATGGTGAATCATTTTTATGCATGTTATATCGATATCCTTTTCTCGTAATGATTGTAGCCTCTTTTGCCTGCGTACATGTCAGAGGCAACCACGTCCTGTTCAGACGTCTGGCTATCTTGCGTGTGATTTCGAGGGGAAGCCTCTCTTCTGGGGCGACGTTCCTGCATTATGACATACGAGGGAAACTGAATAGATAGGCAGCCAGAAGGACAAGACAGCAATAGGTGCAGAATGTGACATCTCAACTTCTGGAAGATAAAAGTTTGTTCTTACATCATTGAGCAACAGATCACGCGGCTCAAGCATATGAACCACTTGTCCCATTCGAGGCCTATGATCTAAATCTGGATCAACACATCGTAGGGCGACCAATGAAACCCGTTTCAGTTCCTTTATAGAAGGAATTTCTGGCATCCTAGGATCCAGTACATGTGCAATTTTCTTGTTTGCGACCATGGACTTTAACCAGTCAATTAAGTAAACCTGCAATTAGGAAATTCCATTTTTCAAAATTAGGGACAGAAGCTTCATATAATGCTCACAAAATGCTAAGAGTAGAGATTGGTACTTGGGGTTGGTTATGATCCACAGGGGTCCTTCCGGTTACGATCTCCATGATAAGTATTCCGAAGCTATAAATATCGTTCTTCTTATCCCATAGTCTGATAGAGTCATGCTCTTGAGCGGCATACCTAGAGATTCAGGCAAATTAAAACATGGCCGTCCACATAAAAATTGCTCAATTATATCACATTTCACAAGTTCATTTCAGAATGTATAGTCTCAAAGAATATGAGTAAGACAAGTTTGAATTCAAATAAGCTGACCCTAGCTTGATCATTGAATGAGTGGTTACATGGCTGTGCTCTGGACCCAGCAGCCTAGAAAGTGAGATATCGGAGATCTTAGGATTCCATTGATGATCCAATAATATGTTGCTAGCCTTAACGTTTTGGTGCACAATCTGTGGTTCAATATCCTCATGGAGGTATGCCAATCTGCAAAAACATAATCTCATCAAGTATATGAATATAATTTGATCCTCTGCCTCATCAGGCTCATAATCATTAGTATTAAAACAGAGTAGCTAACCTAGTTTCAGATAGTAGAACTCACCCTTTTGCTATTCCATGGATAATTTTCATACGTATTGTCCAGGTAAGGGGCCTGGTTTGTCCTAGGGACCCATGGAGCCACTGGTGCAGATTACTATTATTAACATATTCATATACAAGCATCCTAATGAAACAGAAAACCAAAACAAGGGGTCTGAGGCATCACCATTACCAAATTGGGTGAGATAACAACTTCAAATTCGTTGAATCACATGATAGAAAAATACCTGTAACCTTCTTCCACGCAGTATCCTAGCAGCTTGACAAGATTTTTGTGTCGAACATTACCGATTGCCTCTGCCTCTGTTAAGAAGTGCTCGGTTTGGCAACTGATGGTCACATGATCAGTACGCTTAATTGATATACACCATTAAAAAATAGCAATGATTAGAATCGATCAAGAACTAGCTACCTGTTACTTAGTAGCCTCTTCACTGCCACTCGCGTATGATCTAACAAAACGCCGCGGTAGACAACACCATAATCTCCATGTCCGATTAAATTCTCATACGCGAAACCATTTGTGACAATCTCAGCCTCCCTCAAACTGAAGTGGTTACCCGTCCAGGTTTCTGATACCGGAGGCGAGCACTTGGCAAAGTGCTCCGAATCAGGCAGACTCTCTTGCGTTGTCATGCTAGCACGAGTAGACAACTGGTCAGATAGCATTACCTCAAGCTCTGGCTTTGTCATGTTCGTCTCGATCTTCGAAACTTTAAGCGGAAGGAGCCTCCTATTGAGTGAGGAAGTGCTGTAAGGACTGTGATAATTGTGCTTGGGAGCAATGGGGTTTGGTAGGCAGAAGGGGGCCTGCTTGTAGGATCTTCGACGACGATAATGGATAACACAAAGAGAGATGATAAAGAAAACCAGAAGAATGAATAATATCAGGAATGCAACTATCACCATCCATAATCGCAGACCAAGAAACGAGGTATGCTTCAAGAGCTTTTCCTTGAGATATGAAACCTCTGATGACATGCTGTCTAATGAGAAAGAAAGAGATGTGGGATCACTGTATTGTTAGCTCGGGATTTTAGTTGCGGGAGGAGAGAGAAGAGGTTGATCTTAGCTAGAGTCTAGGGTGTAGTTTAAAAATCCTGATATGCCACCTTTTTTGAAAATCTTGATATGTCAACTAACTAGCGGGAGCTGTGGGATTATCTCGGGTCTGTTTGTTCTTAGAAAAAACAATTTTGGACTTATATTTGTTTAAAGGATGAAAAATTTATTTTAAATGTAAAATATTTTATGGATGAATCAAAAAAATAATCATTGATTACAAAAATATCTTACGCTGTAAAAATATTTAATTTAAAATATTAAAAACTTTAAAATATTAATATTTAAATTTGTCAATATTATTAAAATAAAAAAATATTTTTTAAATGAAATCATTCAATGTAATTAAATTTTTTATTTATAAATTAAAGAAATCTTACTAATAATTATGATAAAAAATATTTTAATGATTCATTAATTTCATAAATACATATAAGTATAGGTTTTGGATGTCTTATCTAATTGATAAATATTGATATCTTCATAGTGAATTCACATTTAGATGTCTTACATAATTATGGTAAAAAAGTAATGAGATAGAAATTTTTTTAAAAATTAGTGCTTACTTTTAACTATGAATTAGCATCGTATGAAAGATTGTATAGCACTAATCATTAAATAAAATACTTAGATAAGAACATGCTTAATTGATATCTATAAACACTTGTTAATTGGATCCAAACAATTTAACTGCTGTGAACTATTTTTCATCAAAAAGAATAATTTATTCAAGAAAACCATTGGGTTTTATATGAAGAAGATGATGAAAGTATTATGGCAATAAGGGAGAAAAATGATCCACACCCACATGGATGCAAAAGAGCTGTGAGGCAATTAACAAGATTTGTCACAAAGTTGACAAGCCATGCATCTATCTAGTTTTCACTATTTAAATCTTGGTCAACTTCAATGTGGAGCTCATCCCTCAAAGCTTATAACTTAACAAGTTTCACAACTTAAAAAAAGTATCCATTGTTTGAAACCTCATAATTGAAAATAAGATAAAAGAATTGATAGAGAAATTTATAAATTTAAATGAGATAGAAGAATTGATAAAAGAAATAAAGATGATAATAAAAATTATATTGAAAAATAAAAAAATTTTAAAATATAAAACACATACATGAAAACCTCAAACCCACACATTTAAAGTGGAAGTTCAAAAATACCAATCCCAAGACTGAATGTCTCTAAACTCAATAAGCTCTCACATCAAAAAGACCAATCTTATTACTGAAAGCCTTCAAACTTAACCAACTCACATATAGATTAATTAGAACTTTACACAAAACTATTACTCCTCCTGACACAAAGATAAGATGGCTAAATATTTTTAAAAATGTCATTATTGATTTTATTATTTTCTTGTATATTTTTTATTTTAATCCAAATTAAAGAAAACCAAATAACACCAACTTTTATAATAATTCATATTTATTATCTTTTAACACTCAAGTGAGGTATGCATCAAGAGCTTTTCTTTTCGACACGAAACCTTTGATGACATGCTGCTTAGCGAGAAAGAAAGAGATGTCGAATTAGTGCACTGTCGGCTTCATGGAGGAGGACAAGGATTAAAAGCGAGTTAAAAATCAGGACTTTAGGCGCTGGAGGAGCTGTTATAAGAGGAGAGGTTGATTCAATTTAATATTTTAAAAATCTTGAACTAGCGGGAATATCGTGATTCATTCCATATATGGATATGGTGTGAAAATCACTAATGCTTCCCCACAACTTTAACCAGTAGTTATTTGCCAACTCACATTGACCTCCATTTTCTTATGGACGCCATTGATTCCGTAAACAACCCACCTTGTTCAACATGTTGAGGTTATCACATGTATCCCAAATAACCCCATCCTTTTCCACAGGTTGAAGTTATCTAATGTAGTTTTTCGTAGCAACCTGAAAGTAGTATGAGAGATGGCAGAGCAAGGCAATAGATGATTGCTCTAGCATCGGCACCAAAATGGAGAATCACTAGGAAGAAGATCACTCATTCACTCTGGCATTATTTAACTACGTTGCGTCACCCCTTGAATCGCCGTGCTCTGAACTTGATTGCTCAGAAGTCAGAAGGGACCCGATTTGTTTACTCTCTCGTTTGGCATTGCAAAGACGTACGTCTTGCATTTGTAAAAGAAACGATGTTATTTATGATTTGATTAATTAATGGGCACTATGTGCATAACCTAAACCCTAAAATTAAATCTACTGATAATAATGATGATGAAGCCAGCGAGGAAACGCAAGCAAAGTCTGAAGAATGGTGAATCCAAACAGAAAATCATTTTATTTGTGATGTGATGACCTATTAAACTGTTCTGTACATATTTAATACCCCATATTTCTTCTCAACCAAACAGGACAAACAAATTCTACGAGATTTGTAAAGACTCTAGCAATCAGGTATGTATATATCTGAAATTTCCAATCAACCTGTTCTGAAATGGAAAATTTTTAATTCTTGTTTCATGTATTGAACCCAGCCTTCAAGGGTGTAGGTAGCTTTTCAAGGCAAGCAAAGCTGCTCAATGACATCATTATTATACTGTTTCTTAGCAGGATGCAGCTCGATCTCATAAAGCTTTGGCCAGAGTTTTCCAGTAACTAGAAGAAAACAAAAAACAAAAAAAAAAGCTTCAATATATATGTAAATGGTCATGCAAAATGGATAGATCACACGCATAAGCTGTATAAAACAGGGGAGTTAATGATATTCTGTTGGCCAAATCTAGTTCAAACTTACCAAAAATCCGATTATTGTTGCTATCCCAAGCAATGCCATTTAAAACATCAATACCCTAAACACAGTGAAATTTTGAAATACATGAGTTAGGCTGCTATGGGGTAAGCATTGATGAATTGATGTAACCATTTGGTGATAAAATTAAAATAAGTAGAAAGCCTAGCCTAAAGTGTATAATTTTTCCTCTCCCTGTCTATTATCTTGAAAGAAAGTATGCAGAGACTTCCTTGTACCACAAGCAGCATTAAAAAAATATTTCTGATTAAATGCTTACATTGTAACCGGCTGCTATTAATCCTTGCCTGCAAAAGGGAACAAACAAACAGCACAAAGATCTAATTAGTAATTATTTGATTAGAGACAAAACTTAGCCAAATAAACAGGAAAACTATACCTTAAAGTCTGAAGAAGAATCCATCCAAGTATTGTACCATTATTAGGTGAGATTCGTACAATGCAGTCAGTCTACACAGGGAGAAAGTAGACTTCAGGAAGTAATCTCAAGTCAACAGCTAATCTTTTCTTCTCCAGATATACAAATCATCATGCAAAGACAACCACTAAGCAAACAAACCAAGTTCCAGACAATAATGAAATCCCAACAAAATTAATTACAAATTCCACGCTACATGAACCCCAAACATAAAGTCTGAAAATTACAAAACCATACCTGCCAAACATTTGCCCATATTTCACCATTTATATATTCCAATTCATTCAGGTAGCGTACACTCTGACCATTAAATTTGATGAAGTGTTTTCTTATGACTGCAACATATTGTAACGAAGAGAATGCAGTTATTAAAAGAGGGTAAATAATGAAGGGTACCAATATTTACTGCTAGAAAATGACACTCATATCTACTCGTGAAATGCTCCAACAATACCAAAGTCGAAAACTGTAAATGGAGGGGAATTTAGAATCAATACTGAAAGTGTGTGCAAAAGAAACCTTTTAGTGTCTGGGGATCCATCTGATACAGTGTTGAAGTCCCATCACTTCCATATAAGATTTTGCCATCAGTGGCCAGTCCCCAACCATCATCCATCTCATGTGTAAATTGCTCTGACTGCAGTGAGTATTACACAGTAAAACCATTATGAACACAGAAATAACATAATGCAAGCATTTAATGCAGTTTAGTTCAAATTAATAAGCAAGTAAAATGTGATTGGATAATGAGATGGCAAAGAATGATGTAAGCCATTTGTAATGAGATACAAACACAATGATGATTTTTATTGTATCATACACAAAAAGTCAGTGTTAACATCCAGAGAAACGTGGAAAGGAAAGAAAAAACAAAAAAACAAGAGGCAACATTGCTCAAGATGACATTTGGACAAGCAAGAGCAAGAACAAAGGTCAATTAGGAAGCTACTGACCCTGATTAAGTCAGTGAAAGTAGATACCTGATAGGAGTTGTATTAAAATTCATGACAGCGTATATTAGATAGGCTGAGAATTCAATGTAATAATAGTACAGAAATGGGCTACCCAAAACATAGTCCAGAAACACTTTAGGTTCAATACCTATGTTGTAAAATGAAAAAAAGGAAAAAAAAAAAAATCCTCCAAGCAGATAAGTGACTTCCCAAGAGTGATATTTGTACAGAAATGGAATACTTAATAAAAATGTATTATAACACTAAACCATGCATGCTCAGATGCTCACAATATACTTATTTCAGATCATGATATACAAATTAAACAACCAAAACAAAGAGGGTGGTGTAGAAACTGGAAGCACAAACTTTCTTCAAATTTTTTCTGTCATATATGAAACCAATTTTCGTCAACCAAGTTACTTGGAACAGCCTACAAAAAGACAAGAGAACCATTACATTAGGCTTACATACACGCAAAAAGTCATATGTAAAATCCAAAAATGCAGAGACTATATGAACAAATACCATGCTAATTATCAAGCAGAAAATCAAAGTAGATGAAGAGTATAAACATCAATTCAATGCATATAAGGCACAACAATCTACTAAGTATGAATAAAATACCCAACTGAAAAAATGATCTTTAAGTACATTAAACTTCAGAAATATTCAAAAACCAATTTGGAGGCAGAAGGATGTTCTTAAATAATAGGGAGAAACATGGCTGGAAGAAGAGGAAGAAAAAGGAGAAAGGAGCTCATTGTTTTGGATAAACACAAGTGCCAAAGTGTAACAGCAGAATTCCTTCAAACAAACCTTTCACCAAGAAGAGTTAAACCCTCTCCAAAATATGAATCAGCCATCTGCTGAAGAATTTGAACCTGTACATATAAAAAAACCCAATAAACAAATAAACTCTGAATTGGAAAATATGGTTTGTTTCAGTTTAAGATCCAGGATTTATTAAATATTTTTCACTTGGATTTAATCGAACTGCTCTTTAAAGTTCTTAACCAATCTTAGTTAACAGAACACGGCACATCTAGTAATGTTTTTGGTAGCATACTGTAATGTTTTTGGTAGCATACTGTATCCCTTTATAACTAGCTTTCAAATAAATATAACTCCATTTTTTGTTACAATTCTCAATAAATCTTATTGTATACAAGTTTCACTTCCAAAGTACTAATATTTGTTGATTTCATGATGCAAATGGATGACCAAACGAGTGTCGACAAGCTTGTATGAAAATCGAAAGACAAGGATCTATTCTGTACCTTTCCAGTCCGAAGAGCCACTTTCCGAACCGATGACTGAACCAGTGAGAAGAAATAGGAGGTTAGGTAATAATTTACACATATCACTCAAATTCAACCATAAACAAAACTAAAGGCACCAGGCAGAACAATGCAACGTAATCTATAAAACTGCTAATCCATAATTCCACCACGAGCAACAATGTATATGTATAGCAAAAAACTCACGTGCCGGTAAAGACCAGTAGACTCAAATAAGGTATCATTTCCTGCATAAACAAGGCCCTGAAAAGCAAATAACCAAATATTTTCAATTCAAAAAATTGTGGGCAAAACTAAAAGAAGGAAAACAATTCCTCCGTTAGGGATTTACCTGAGTGAAGGCGTTGGGATCGTGAGGGAATTCATTGACTACATAGCCGTAAGAGTGAAAGGAGTGATTAACGGACGATAACTTGTTCCAAGTGTTTGACGAAACTCCCAAAACAACAATTACACAAACAAGCAAAATAATCGATATTACAAAGAAGATTCTTCTGAGATACAAGTGCTTGGAAAAGGCCATCGAGGCGGCCGACTTGGAGCTAGATCGCTTGCTGTTAGTCTTCTTCTTAAACGATTTGGAGGCCATGGCAGTTCATTGGATCGAGCCCTGAAAATCGGAATGTTTTGCGGGTTCCCAATTTGTTAAGAGAGTGGCGGAGGAACTCGTTGTAGAGAGCGGACGGAGGCGGCTGCAGCTGCACGGTTGATTCTTTGAGATTATGCCAAAGTTGCGCAGTTGCTGTATGGTCAACTAACGTTGGTTCACTTGAGATCCTATGTGTGTGAACCAGGTAGTTGAATCACTCAATCTGGACAGAATCTCACCAATAATTTTGCACCGCGTTGCATCAGACAATTTCCTTCCTATTTTGCCTTTTCTTTTTTTCATTTTCAAAGTATTTTCCCTAAAAAATATCTTACAGAACGGAGCTGTACTATACTACTATAAAAAAAATTTATAAACCGAAAAAAGAAAATACACTAATTAGTTATTGCTTTTCTGTTTTAAGATTTAGGATGGCATTTTTTAATGAGATATATTGGAACATTAATACTAACTTTTATTGACACCCATTAAATAAAAAAAAATTAAGTATATACTTTGTAAGGGAAAACACAATAAAAGTTTGTACGAAACAATAAATAAATAAATTTAATAAGTAGTATAAACAAAAACAATAAAAGTACGACTTGCGGATAACTATGTGAAGGATTCTCATTTTATGCTATAATCAGCCTGGCAAACTTGTCGATGCGGGGAAAAAACGGTTTTAAGGTGTTGCGTTAGCTCAGGAATCGAGATAGAGTAAGGAAAGGCTTGATCCTTTTTTATTTTTGGAAACAAAGATTCTGGCTAATAAATTTTGATTTCAAATGATATAAGAATTAATTTTAAATTTATCTTTTCATCTAAGTAACTGAAATTCTCTTTTCAATCAAAATATAATAAACCATTAAATTAATTATACTTATAATTGAAAAGTAATATTTTTATAAGTACTTTACAATCACTAAATTAATTTTGAAATCTAAATCTTTTTCTCACAAATCTCTTTTCTTAAAACACAACAACAATTAATAAATTTTACTTATATAATAAAATTTTTCACTAATGTGTAATATTATTAAGATATATTATTTTGTATTTTCTTCTCATACGTGCACATACATATAAATAATATAACAATCCGTAAAGTTTAATATTTTTAAAAAATTCAACAATATAGTTTCGCATATATACAATTCTACTCTTATTCACATTTAAAACATTGTACAAGTAAATATTTTTCAACACGCTTGTAAATGTAAATATACGTGATTACGAGTTAACAGCACACCCTGATATGTTACAAGGAATTTCAAATATTATGATTATATTATATATATATATTAGCAATAATAATAAGGATTTCCCACCAATATCCTCTCTCTCATCGTGTATAATAATCAGGATAATAATTATAATGTGATTTTGAATAAATCATGTCATTCATCGAAATATTTTTTGAACCAAGAAAAATTGATTCAATGTATACATAATTATTTATCTTGTTTAAGAAATGTATAAGTTTATAACCCAATAAGTTGCAACCGACGAGGGAACAAAGTCTGACTACTTCTAGTGGGGGAGGGAAAGGGGTGGATAAGACTGTTGATACAAATTTAGTTATTGATGAATTTGAAAACATAAAAACATATCGAGTACAACTTATGATACTTAATATAAAATTTTAATATTAATTTTTTATTTTTTATTTATTTATATTAGTGAATTTTAAAAATTATATTTAAATTGTTATTGAAATTTCATGTAATAATTTAATTTTATTCAAAAAGTGATTAATTTTTTATTTTAAATCGAATATTGACTTGATCTATGACTTTATATGATTACAAAATTATGAATCTACCACTTCTAATTATATTTGTAGACATGTGTCTTAGTAAAATGATAAGCACACAAATCTTAATTAATAATATTTAATGTCATGTCATTTGTCATATGACAATGACATAATCAAAATGTCATATTAACTTGCTATGTGGCAGATGATGTGGTATAAAAATACCACATATTAACAAAAGTTAATCAAATTTAAAGAAAAATGGCTTATTTGACATAAAATTAAAATAAAAATTTTTATTTAAACGTAATAAAAAAATTGAATTTACTTTTTTGACGTAATTCAGGGACTTATTTAAGTATTTAGCTTTTCTTTTTCTTATTAAACAAAAGATTAAGACTTTGAATGTCAAATCACAAGCAAGGAAATAGGGGATTTAATATGTTCTATCTTCCCAAAAGAAAAATTCAATTATCTCTCATTATTATATCACAGTCTCATACTCATGAATTTTACATTGATTGTATACAATAGTGAAATTGTGTATTTAAGTATTCATATTATCTTCAACTTGTGAGGTACCTTTTATGAAACAAACTAGTAAGGCTTAATGAGTTGAAACAAACAATATCTCAAGTTGGTATAAAATATGATAATTATTATGTATCTAAGGCAATTCTAAGGTATTAGCAACATAATGTAATTAAAAAAAAAGGAAAAACTCTTGGGTATTAGAAAAAGATGTCACTATGTCAGAGTGACGGAGAATCGTGAGATTAGATATTTAAGTGTTCATATAGCTTTTTATGAGATAAAATCTTTAAGTTAACAAAATTAAATCGAAGTCAAAACATATAATATTTTATAGATTAGTGTAAAGATTAGAAAACCAAATTATCTAATTAATGTTGTGTACCTATTTAAAACTTTGAAGTAGCCATTACTCCCAATGAAACAATAAAAAATTTATGTTTAAAGCTAAGTCTTCCTCTTTGCACTTCTCATTTATGACGCCTCCCAATGGTTAGAGATACCATGCGTTAAAAGGGAAGAGGAGGCTTAATTAGATACATAGTAAAATAAACCTTAACAAAAGCCTTGGGTTAGGACCTATACAACCGTTAAACAACATTGATCTAATTAGACACACAAAGCTCATCATTCTGATCACTTTAATATTAATTAGGCTCTTATGTTTTATCTCATAATAAAACTAAATCATCAATTTGTTTTATTAAATTAAAATTATCAATTAATAATAAGCCACATAATAAAAAATTTTAACATCCATATAATCTTTATTTTATGAAAGTATTCACATCATTTTTAATTTATTAAATACTTTTTGTGAGATAAAATCATAAAATTTAACAAGATTAAACCGAAGTTAAAATAGACAATTTGTTACGTATTAGTGTAAATCATAACACATTGCATAACTCGTATATTTGTTTTGCTTACAATTATTATTCTTAGCACGAGTGTACCGTGCGAGGACTTGGTCAGCCTAGACGGTTACCTGATTGGAACATTCCAGATTGTCATAGCTGGTCGAATGTTCTGGAATCCCAAATCAAATGACGCAATTCCTAAACCCCGCCTTCCGCCACGCCTCAGATTCAAAGAAATTACATACTAAACGACACCGTTGACACTGTTGACTCGCAAAATAAACAAAATAACCGAGCCAATTCCTAGAACAATCCAGAACCCCACTCTTCTATATTTTTTCTCGCTAACTTGATGGAGAAGAAGGGACCAGAAGGCCGCTTTACTATAAAAACTTTCAGGTGTAATTTCTCATATTCATATTGTTCATTCTCTTTAAGCAAAGTATCAGTTGATCAAATCTCTACTTTTCTTTTCTCTCCCTTTCCCTTCGCTTTCTCTGTTTGGCTTCGTTGGTGTGCGAGGAAATGGCGGACGTGCAGATGGCTGATGCAGAGACCTTTGCCTTCCAGGCCGAGATCAACCAACTTTTGAGTTTGATCATCAACACTTTTTACAGTAACAAGGAGATTTTCCTTCGTGAGCTTGTTAGCAATGCATCTGATGTACGTATTCTTCGTCTCTCTTCTTATCCAGTTAATTAATTTTCATGCTTATGTTCTTATATATGTTGTAATGGTTTGTTTGGTTGGAAGGAAACTCTATACGCTGAGTTTTTCTCGATAGATTGCATTCTGAATGTTTAGAAAGAAAATTTCCTAGTAGGCCTATTGCTTTGTTCTTTAACGATTCCCTATTACTGGTGTATAATTGTCTTTTGTACTAAAGGACAAATTTATTTATCGAATATTTTCTTATTGAGAATTTTCAGAATCAATATTACGTGAGATGCGTTTTTTTTTTCTTATTTGGAAGTGTGAAAAGTTCAATGTACGTCTATGTATGTGGATTAAGAATTATGATCCTTGGATGAGGCTTGATGGTCGTGATTATGGATCTTGGTACAGGCATTGGACAAAATTCGATTTGAGAGCCTGACTGATAAGAGCAAGCTCGATGCTCAACCAGAGCTTTTCATTAGGCTTGTACCAGACAAGGTTAACAAGACCCTCTCCATTGTTGACAGTGGTATCGGCATGACCAAAGCAGGTGACGTCGATACGTATTCTCCTTTTATTTTTGATTCAATTGAGGTTATATTCTGAAATAATGTTTCGTTTGTTTCGTAATTATACTGCCAGTGATTTTTCATTTGACCCGTAATTAGCTGTTTGTATGCAGATTTGGTGAACAACTTGGGTACGATCGCAAGGTCTGGAACCAAGGAGTTCATGGAGGCATTGCAGGCTGGAGCTGATGTGAGCATGATTGGTCAATTCGGTGTTGGGTTCTACTCTGCCTACCTTGTCGCTGAGAAAGTTATAGTGACCTCAAAACACAATGATGACGAGCAGTACATTTGGGAGTCCCAAGCTGGTGGCTCCTTCACTGTCACCAGGGATGTGAATGGAGAGCCACTTGGTAGGGGTACTAAGATGACCCTTTACCTCAAGGAGGATCAGGTAAATATTATTGCCCATTAGAAGTTTACAAGTTCAATGTTTGGACTTTGTAAGTTTTACTAAGTGTGGATTCTATATACAGCTGGAGTACTTGGAGGAGAGGACGATCAAGGACCTTGTGAAGAAGCACTCTGAGTTCATTAGCTATCCAATTTATCTCTGGACTGAGAAGACAACTGAGAAAGAGATTAGTGATGACGAAGATGATGAACCCAAGAAAGAGGAGGAAGGAGACATTGAGGATGTTGACGAGGAGAAGGAGACTAAATCAAAAAAGAAGAAGATTAAGGAGGTGTCTCATGAGTGGCAACTCATTAACAAGCAGAAGCCAATCTGGTTGCGTAAGCCAGAGGAGATAACCAAGGAGGAGTATGCCTCTTTCTACAAGAGCTTGACTAATGATTGGGAGGACCACCTGGCTGTCAAGCACTTTTCTGTTGAAGGTCAGCTTGAGTTCAAGGCTATTTTGTTTGTTCCGAAGAGGGCTCCATTTGATCTCTTTGACACTAGGAAGAAGATGAACAACATCAAGCTCTATGTTAGGAGGGTGTTCATTATGGACAACTGCGAGGAGCTTATCCCCGAGTACCTGGGATTCGTGAAAGGTGTTGTTGACTCTGATGACTTGCCACTCAACATTTCTCGTGAGACGCTACAACAGAACAAGATTTTGAAAGTGATTAGGAAGAACCTTGTCAAGAAGTGCATTGAGATGTTCAGTGAGATTGCTGAGAACAAGGAGGACTACAACAAGTTCTATGAAGCTTTTTCAAAGAACCTGAAGTTGGGTATTCATGAAGATAGCCAAAACAGGGCTAAGCTGGCTGACCTTCTCCGATACCACTCAACCAAGAGTGGTGATGAATTGACAAGCTTGAAGGACTACGTCACCAGAATGAAGGAGGGCCAGAAAGACATTTATTACATCATTGGTGAGAGCAAGAAGGCAGTGGAGAACTCGCCATTCTTGGAGAAACTCAAGAAGAAGGGATATGAAGTTCTTTTCATGGTTGACGCCATTGATGAATATGCTGTTGGACAGATGAAGGAATATGATGGTAAGAAACTTGTATCAGTCACAAAGGAAGGTTTGAAGCTTGAAGATGAGAGCGAGGAAGAGAAAAAGAAAAAGGAGGAGACAAAGAAGTCTTTTGAGGATCTCTGCAAGACTATGAAGGATATCTTGGGAGACAAGGTGGAGAAGGTTGTTGTCTCTGACAGGATTGTGGACTCTCCTTGTTGTCTGGTTACTGGAGAGTATGGCTGGAGCGCTAACATGGAAAGGATCATGAAAGCCCAGGCCCTGAGGGAGAGCAGCGTGAGCTCTTACATGTCTAGCAAGAAGACTATGGAGATCAACCCTGACAATGGAATCATGGAAGAGCTAAGGAAGAGAGCTGAGGCCGATAAGAATGATAAGTCGGTGAAGGATCTTGTGCTGTTGCTCTTTGAGACTGCTCTCTTGACCTCTGGGTTCAGCCTTGATGATCCAAACACATTCGGGGCACGTATCCACAGAATGCTCAAGCTGGGTCTGAGCATCGATGAGGATGAGACCGGTCGTGACGATGCTGACATGCCTGCACTGGAGGAGTGTGATGCCGAAGCAAGCAAGATGGAGGAAGTAGATTAATTTTTCTGTTTTCTTCAAAATTTGGGTAATGTTGTTGGTTGGGTGGTGGATATAGACGTCTTTTCCCGTTATGATAAATCTTTATATCGAGGGGTCTGGTCTGGTCTGGTCCGGGGTAGCATTATCCTCGTATTATATTTTTCTTTCAAGTATAAAACACGTCTACCCGTTTCTTGTTTGGTTATATCGAAGGGTTCTTCACATCTGTTTTCTATTAAAACCGACAAGTTTGCCGAGCATATTTAATTTCAAAAATGTTAAGTTTGCCGAGAATATTTAATTTCAAAAATGTTCTCTTATCCTGGGGCATGAGGATGGTAACCTTGCCTGCAGAATTAAGACAAATAATTCGACATGTAATCCTTTGATCATATTCAAAGTTAAACAAAACTAAATCAAACCTGAACCTGAGTAAAATTACCACTACTACAAATTAAAATGGTAATATAAAATAAACCCAACTGAAATTGGAAGTCCTGCACCGACCTAACCAAAACATTGACTCGAGGCCTGATTTAAGATCAGCCTGCCACCATTGCCTCTTAGCAACTTATCTGTTTCTGGAGACGAGGCTATTAAACAACTGTAACTGGCATGGTTAAGTGTAACAGTTTTCAGTATTTCTCAATTCATATGACATCTTCAAAATACAATTCCGTTTTACTCAGTAACGCAGGCATCAATTTCCAATAGCTTTTATTGGGACAAGCAAATTTGTTATAAAGATTAACTATGATGTTCCCGATCAGACTGTAGATGCTTTCCAGAATAAACCATGGAGCAAGACATTGCAACAATGTTATGTCATAATACAAAGGTAAGTAATAAATGACCAGAGTTCCATTTCCAATAAAAGGCCAAACTAAACGAAAATACAAAATTGTAGATCTCATAACAAGCTCAATATTGAAATGAGGCTACAGCATACTAGAGGAACAAAGGCATAAAATTTTAGTTCTATGATTTTGAGTACAACCCACTTCAACTAAAACCTGAACCTGATGGCGCAGCACCATAGCCTCCACCGCCACGACCAAAGGCAGGCCTTCCACCAGAACCCTTCACAGTCAAAGAAAAATGTATCATAAATGTAAGCAGCCATTAGTTACCCATACCAAGCATAAGTGAAAATTTGATCTCTAGTTAAAAACAAAGCACATTGCTTGAAGTTCTAATAACAAGGGCGAATAGAGTTCCCTATGAACAAGGAAAGCTTGAACTCCACTTCAAACAGCTTACTGCCAATAAGTAAATAATGCATAAGATGCAGTCAGCACATGTCAATTTGCTAATCTTTAACAAATCTGAACAAATTCCACGTTGAAGTTGCTCTTAACCTGGGCTAAACCCTTGTATCTAAAACATCAGCCTAAATTCCTCACTCAATTAATTCTGACCAACGGAAGAAATTTCAGTCAGTACAAAGCCAAACAACATCAATGAAGAAAAATATAACTTTAAATTAACAGATTATCTTTATACTCTTGCCCAGATGCAAAAAATAACTAAAGCAGCAAGCTTGATGCATGCTAACATCAGGCATAAACTCTAACTACACTAAAAAACACTTAAAACCAAATCAATAATTACATAGAAATAAATTGAATCCATTTAAACACTTAGGCCAAATTTTGAATTTTGAATTTTGAATTTACCCTGAAGGATGGCTGGAAATCTGCCGGGGCACCTCCCTTGTCACCACCAAAGTCACCACCACGTGGACCTCCACGGTATCCATCTCTGTCACCAAATCTTGGACGGTCTCCTTCAAAGCGAGGTGGACCCCTAAAATTCAGACAAAGTAAAAGATATCACTTACAATTCACAAAAACAAACCAAGAGAAAAAATAGATCGAATTTGAAACAAAATCCACGAAGCAATAGAAATAACACTGTGACAATCATGAGATGCATTACCGGGGGCGATCACCAGGTGGGCCACCTAGCCTACCAGGGGGCTTTGTAGATTTCTTCAAAGTAGCAGGTACAATTTCTGATGGAAGATTGAGATAAGTTCTGAGAAACTCAATCCCATCATTAGTAAGGTACCAATAGTAGTGCATCCAAGCAAATGTCTCACGGACATATTCCTTGGACTTGAAGCTCTGCATCAGCTTAATCACCTGCAAATTGGGAACATCGATCTCGGGGTGCTTTGCAAGATTGAAATCCTTCTTTGCATAGCAAACTCCCTCTACAAAATCACAACAAATTGTCAATGAGAAACATGAAACAGCCATCTACTGAGATCTGCTAGGTTGTTAAGGTATCGACAGAAACATGGACACAACAAAAGCTTAAAATCCCAGCTTTTCTGAGAGCGGCTTCTAAACAAAATAAATAAAAGCTCACTCATTTCCTCATCAACAAAAATGGACATGAGATTAGACACAATAAAAACAAATTAAAAGATTCAAAACTAACCTCAATTTTCTAATCCATAATCAAGCAATTAAAAGAAGAGGAAGCCAATAAAGTTTAGTGGATAAATTACAAGAAAAATGAAGAGAAATATGCACCTTGAAAGAGGTATTTGCAGATTTCTCTACGGTTCTTCTCTGGAATAATCTAACCATAGGAAAAAAAGAACAACTTCAGTCACGTATATACGTCTCCGCATACGCATAGAAATGGTTAAGAGAGACAGAATATACGTACCATGGTTGCGCAGCGAAAAGCAAAAGCAAGGCGAGCGCTTTTTTCGGTTTTTCTTCCAGTTGCAGCAGAAAGCAGAGAAGCAACACTTCGAAACCCTAGCTAACTGGTAGTATCTTATATTGGTACCGGATTCGGGCAACACGAGTATTACCCGATCCAATTTATGTGGGTTTGGGTGCCCTAGTATGTGGGCTTTAACTAGGCAAGTAAGGTGGGCCACATACAAACATTGATTGGGCAGGCGTTTAGCGTCCTAGGCCGTAGCCGTCTCAGAGTTTATTTGTGGAAATGCAAATTAATAAATACTCAACTGATAAAAAAACAAAAGGTAGGAGCAGCACTAATTTTATGGAGCAATAGTTTTTAATTATTATTATAAATTATTAATTTCACCTCACCTCCGTATTTATAGGCTGCCAATTCTGCCCCTTTGGCTCCAGAATCTTGTGACAACGCAATACAAAAGCGGTCCTTGCTCGCTTCCTGCTCCCTACTCTCTTCCAGCTATAAAAACACCATTTTTGTTTCCTATTGATTCATGTTTTCTTCGCTTCCAAACACACATTCCACGCAAAATCCCAACAATTTTCTCGCCAACTCTCTCTAGAAAGTTTTCTCATGCAAATATACCCCTTGTCGTTTTCCAGTCCTAGACTCACATTTCATCTCTGCTGTTCTCTTCATCATATATAGTAAAACTTTAGAGTGTTTATATCTGTGGGAAAAAACCACAAAAAATAAAATTATTGTCGTCGTAAAGTTCTAGATATTTTGGCTTTTGATATAATCATACATAAACTTGATATAAATGTAACATTTTATATGTAGGGGTTTTTTAATAGGAATTATTTTCCATAGTTTCTTTTTTTTTTCTCTGTCGAGAAGATGAGATCAGAAAACGAGGATCGGCGTTTAGTGCCACAGTCAAAACCGGAGGAACCAACTCCTGAATTTCAGAAGTAATATTTAACTCTGCCTTTTCTCCATCTTTCTTTTGTTTAATGTTTATACAGTAATAATTTATAGCCTTTTTTTAAAAGTAAAATACGACTAGAAAGCGGAAAATATTAGTGATACGGTTAAGCACGTGTTTGGCTGCTGAGAAGAGTGCCAGGAAAATTTTCTTACACGACTATTGCCTTTTTTTACTTGAATGGAAACTCTTAGAGGATTTCGTTTTTATATGCCAATGGTGCAAACAGAGGAGGATCATACTTTTCTAAATATCTCCATTACTACTTAGCAAAAAAAAAAAGCATCACAACTCTGTTTTTCAGAGATAATAATATATATATATATATTTTGCGCAGAACATTAAAATTTGCATATACGAGGGATTTTCTCTTTTCCTTAGCTGAATTCGATACATGCAAAAAGTTACCTACTGGATTTGACAGTTCAATATTAAGGTAATATCACTACTTTCTTTTCTTTGTTGCTTACAATTGCCTTTTGTTGCATCCTTGGTAGTGATATTTATGTTCTTAAGATAATTATTTTCCAGAGAACTTGGAAATCAATCAACTAGTGTGCTGCATTCTTATCATGATTCAAGTAAGAAGCTTCTACCCTACTTCCTCTTCCCCACTCATATTTTGGAAAAAAAAAAAAAAGAGTATAGTTAACATCCTTTAATTTAAAGGTAATCTGGATTATGATTTGTATTTATTATCAATTCCTAGTTCAGTAATGATACTGGTGTTTGATTGATTGTGAATCCTTGTAAATCTGGTTACTAATGTCAGCGGTGGAGTTAATCATTTGTTCATGCAATGGGCTATGAGCTAATGTAGATGAAATCAATCCCATTATTATTGTTTTTTCTTATACAATAGGCAGTTTATCAATGTTTTTCATCTTCATGCATCTGTGGATCCTGGCCGTGCGGGTATCAACCTATTGGTTGTTGAAACTGCATTCAATTTCTGGCTTGTTAAACCATATATGTTATTGTACAGATGCTGGCAGATGTCAAAGCAGCCCATCTCATTGCGCATGGCGAAATGCTGAGCAAGGACTTCTGGGAAGTGGTGTCTTTGCAAGAGTTCATAGAGGTGTAGCTGAGACTTCTGATCCTGTACTTCAAGGCAGTGGCTTCCATATACTCAACCGGAGTACTGAACCTTATCGGCCTCCACATCTATGTAAGGTATGTGAAAATACTTTATGATTTATCTAGTGCTAATAATAAGAAATTTCGACTGATTCATTTTGTGGCTATGATCGTAGTATGTGATGCTTGTTTTTTGTCAAAAAGTATTTTATCGTGTTTTTAACTATTTAAAAATAGTCTGTCAAAGCATTTGGTTGAATCTCATTTTTTTTTCTTCTATTTCAGGCAAAAAATTATTCAGTGAGAGAAAGTAAGGACCATTATAATGATGAAACATTTGGTTCTGATAGTCTGAGTCAAGAGAGAGCAGAGGAGGAGCAAAGGAGAAGAGGTAAAATCTTCTCTTTCTCCTTTGGTTTCTTTTCTGGTGGTTTTATGTTTCTATTGTCTTCGGTATTCATGGTTTCTGCCAGTTCAGGTTTAAATATAGGCAACTCTCCTCTTGTTTAATGAACAACCCCCTCTGCTCAGATTCATTTGAATTGATGAGGAAGGAAAAAGAAATGGCTAATCAAGAAAAGCAAAAGATAATCTGTGATGAGCATAAAGAAACTTTGAACCTAGATATTGCTATAATCGTGGAGGATTCTGGAGTTGATAAGAAGGTTGAAAACAAGTACAGTAAATCCAGGGGAGCTAAGGTGTATTTCCCTCTCAACAGTGATTCAGAGTGAAATTTCTACGTTTAAAAACTTCAAGTTTCTGGCTGAAATTTTGTACAACATCTGACAACATTTTGTTTTATTGTCTGACCAGCCGTATGATGTTAAAGAAGGTCACCCTGAGAATCCTGTATTCTGTTCCTCTGACTTAGTTCATCAGTTTCGTGAAGGAGGTGTGCTCAAAAACAGAAATTTGTTCATTTTCTTTTAACTTTTCAAAAATCTTTCTTAAGTGGAACTGTGGATTATGTTTCATAAGCTTAAACTTTCTGAACCAATTAGTTATATTAGCAAAGAGAACCTAAAATTTTTGTTTCCTGACATTCTCTAGAGAAGAAGACTGCTGCTGATCTAAAGCTCAATGACCATGACTCTACAAAATTTTCTTTTGGAACAAATGGAATTGCTCACAATCTTATGAAATCTGCCTCCACTCCTGTTTCAAAGGAAAGCTCTATGCAATTATATGGTTGTTGTAATCCAGGAGCTCATTCTAGTCAATGCTTGGAAGAATCCATTCTGTCAGAGATCAGTGGACATAATTTAACCCAGCATCACTCGATCAATGGAAGGAGCAGTTATGATATAGAGGACTCACAATCAAGTTGCTCCAATTATGATGAAGCACATCAGCACTTTCTTTCATTGTTACAAAAGGGAGCAGGCTTGACTGATTTGGCAGAATCCTCAAAGCTAAGCATGTGGTCCTTATATAAACCCAATGTTTCTGAAACTGGAAATGACAACAACCAGCTAAACAAATCAGGCAGAGTATTTATAAACAATTTTGAGAAGAATCTTTGTGAACATATCTCTGGAACATTTGTAAAGGATTCACAATCAACTGCATTATCAGGCACCCAAAAAGACTTGACAAGCAGGTACAAAGGGGATGATGCAGTTGAGTCTCAGGTCCCACTTCCAGTTGGGGAAAATTGTATCATTCCTTTGACTGTCAATGGGACTGAACCCATTGGAGATGCTGAAGGTATCATGCTCTCGGGCTTTGTTAAGCAAACTGGTGTAAATAAAAGAAATGGTAATCTTTGGTTCTCCAATATTCAGGCTAAAGTAGGACTTAATCTTCAGGGAGGGCCAGAGTTGAAGCACAGTTCTCTCAGTAGTTTTGATAAACTTGACATTTGTCTGCCTGATGAGGACAGCCTGATAACTGCTGATGACTACGTATTGCAGCAAGACTCCATGTTTATGGCTGCTGGGGATACCTCAAGTACACCGGTTAATACTTTTGGGAGGCTAGCAGATTGTGGTGTTGCTGTTGGTGAGAAAAGATTTGATCTAGCAGGTTTTCTAAGGCCTACGTCCTTTGGTGGTTCTCATGGTCTAGTGAGCTTGGAGACTTCTTTTGAGAGTCTGCGCACACAGCAATCTTACCCACAGCTCCAGCATTCTCAGCTGAAGCAACCAAAGGAACAAGGGAGTTGTTCCAAGTCTCAAGAAAGTCTAAAGGGTTTAAGAATCAAGCCTAAAAATTTAAAAGCCTGTCCGTGTAATCTAGAACCTCTTCAGTATTTTCCTACAAACGTGCATCTCACTTCCTCCCTGCATCTCCGAGCTGCTGAAACAGGGTTTGATCATTCTGGTAACAATCAGTTGCCACAGGAGTTACCCATTCCAGGCTATTTCCCTCCCCACCAATTGTATGGACTGCCAAGAGTTGCATTTCCTCAACACACTTCCGATGAAATGGTTTGTTTTGCACAGGACCAAAATGCCATGCTTAATTCTTCCTTGAGTTTTAAGCGACAATGCTACAGGGACCTTGAAAATGCCAGTTCCAGGTATAAAATACACAAATGTTTCTAAAATCTTATCAGCTTCACAACTTTTGGATAAATAATTCCAGGTTTTGATCAATTATCTGAATCTGATCGATTCAATATTTGAAACTGAAAAAGTGCTAATTTCTTGCTGTTTCGTTTTTTTTTTTTTGGATAAATAACTTCATGTTGTTAGTCACTTTGTTGGTGGAAACATTAATCAAGGTATCCTTTACAGGCATTTTGAGATGGGAATTGAGAGCAAAGCTGATGCATCCTCCTACCATGCTTGGCCATGAGCAGGAAGTGTTTGCCAAACAGGTTGAAACAGGCTATAGACATATCGGCGGCTAGAAAATGAAATTTCAGCTTTTGTCTAACCTCAACTTGTAATTGGCTTAAGGTAGATTCACCTTTGGTTTAAAATCTCAATTCTAAACTCCTTGTCGTGTTCGTAAATACTAACTTTACTGTCTGAAGGTAGATTTAGATACGGACAGATATATATATCCGTTCTGATATCTGGCACTATCAAGTAAGCAATGATAGATGGAATGTTTTATACGACTAAAATGCTTAAAGAATGATAATTTCGCGACGCACCTTTTCTGCCATTGATGATTATTGGGTAATATTTATCTATCTTTAACATGGTGACCGGGTGCAGTAGAACTCCCTTGGATTAGGTAAAAATGCCTATCGATTGTAACTCTGGCCGGTTCAACCAAGTATTTATTTGTACGGTAGTTAGTTGCAGCCGTTAGTTCAGAACAGATGGCATTCCAAATTTGTAGCGTGAAAGAAAGATGGGGGATCATGTCACCCATGTCCATCTATCATCAGATTCCCACAGCTCGTGACCACTTGTCGTTAAGATTAAGACATTGGTATTATTTTTAATTTTTCTTTTGAAGATGGACATTAATGCTATATGTTTTTCCTAAGGAAGACGAGATAATAAAGGTGTTTCCCGTGCGAAAGTTTGGAATATAGAATAACCTTAAAAAATGAAAACAAAAGAGTTGGAGCAAAACTCTATGGGAGAAACAGTTCCAGAATTGAATTAGTTTCCCTCTCCATTTTCATTTCCCACACTAGTACAAATGTTGAATTTTACAAGCAAGATCAAAGATTTTCCCCTCCCCTTTTTCCTTTCACCCTGACGTTCATCCTTTTTGCCCTTCAAACACTTACCAAATCACATGGAAATAGCCGCAACGAAATCGAAGAGCCCGTAACATAACAAATCTCTCTATAAAAGGTAAGTACCAGCTTTATGTTCTGCTACCAGACATGCCATCGACGTCCATAGGCGAACGTGATTGCAACAAACAATGAGAAACTGATATTGTTATATACCTGAAAACAGCAGCAGCAAGCAGCATTGACAAATACTGTGCCTATATCACAATAAAATATGCAGTCAAAACTTGAATACACAAGACCCAGAATCGTACTGTACAAGGTACCCCTCAAAAACAAGATATGCGCTGTACACTCGTTTCCTGACTCTTCTCCTTTCATTCTACACCCCGCTTCTCCTTTTAACTTCTCTTACAATATATATACATGACAGCAGAACGGGGAAAATTATTTTGAAATTTGCGGCCGATGGTCCTACCAACATTATACACTACTAACAGAACATCATGTACTCTTTGATTCTAGCTCCTTGTCCTCGCATGCCTTCAAAGCAGAAAAAAAAAACAGAAGAAGAAGAAGAAAGAGTCTATTTATATAAGACATAAAAGAGACTATGCACAGCTGAAAATTAAAGCACATCTCATCACCTCACGTATTAAGTGATACTTTTGGATTGGTCATTATGAACAGCTTTACACACACCACCGTGATCAATTGCCTCTGTCTCAATCTCATAGGAAGAAAGCAACCTTCTCTGCATCAAAAAAACCATATAGCAAAAATAACAATCTTTTATAAATTATATAGGGAACAAATAGATTAAATAATTGACACAAAAAACCAAAGAAAAGACTCACATACAGAAAGCTAAAAAGAACTAAACTTTTTACCAAATGAGAAGTTGACAACACTGGAAGCAAAATCAGGGACAAGCTATGCTACCAAAGAAACACATGACACATGAGAAAAAAAAAAAGGGAACCCCATTCTTTTCATCCCTTGTATTTCCAGTCTAATTAGCCAATGCATGTTTGTCCTGAATTGCCATCTTCGTTTTGGAGAATGACAAAATATCACAGAACAACTTCCAACATGAAAAGTAGACCATGCAACAGAGCCAATTGCACCCAAGATTAGATCTATAATATCCTAGGAAATCATCATCATAATTGCCAAACTGTCATATTTCTAAATGCTGACTATAGAAAACTCATTGTGGTTTACATGGCAGAAAGCACAGTGCTGCAAACTGTTGAAACCAATGAATGATTGCCCTGATCATGTTAGGCTCATTTCAAATGATATATGCCAAGAGAAATTTTCTCTGTATTCAAGCACTTGACTCATGAAAATATAAAAAAATCAAAGACCAAAACTACTAATAGACCTACTAAAGCAAAGGGTGATAGCAATTACCAACATTACTACTTTTACTAGTCTACTTGCATCATCCACACCATGAAGGAACAAGTAACCCATAAGTAAGGGCTCAGAAAACTCACATGATCCTCAAAATCAGGACTTGTCAGATTGATGGAGAGGTTTCTCATCAGCAGCAGCACCTGAATAGGAGAAAGAAAGATAAGCAATCACATCTGTGGCAATATCATAAGCAATCACGTCTGAGGCAATATCAGGCAAAATTGTATAAAATGTTATATGTCAAAGAAACCATACCGTTTCAACATCTATAGGATCCATCTTTTTAAGTTTCTGCAGGTGACCACTAACATTTGGATCAAAGATGCTGCCAATGAAACTGTATACTTGTGCAAAGTCGGGCAACACTGCATCAAGCAAAAAGCCATTTTAAAGGGTTTAAGGATAAAATAGCATAAATGATTAAATATTTCCATTAGCACTAAGACAAACCCCTCAGAGCATGACCATGATTTCCCTGATCAGTCATTTCCCCAATTTGACGTGTCTTTGGGGTACTCTCAGTGCTACTACAAGAGTTATTGGCCAACCCAGGACCTATAAAGGCAAATATAAAATGGGAACAACACATAATCAAAATCTCAATTGTTGAAAGGGGTCACTGCTATCATAAATGAGTTCAATATTACAATACTAGAATTAGGAAGAATAAGATACCTTTTTTAGCTTGTGAGAAATTGATGGTCTGTGCATTGTTCGTCCAGGAAGAAGCAGCAGCACTAGTATTAGGGTTCATAAGCATCGATGAGGGATCAGTTCTTAGAACACATACAGTGTCAAGTAAAGCCGCTGATGACTGAAAAGATCCTGATACTTGTTGGTGCGGTTGAGCTGCCAACGTGACACACAGATACAGGATTATATTGCCAAGTTTGTGCCGTGATTACTACTCATACTTAAGATAAATTATCCTCACCATTTTTTGAGGCTTTCTGAGGATATGGATGAGCTGCTTTCCTTTTAGGTCGAGGTGGAGGTAGGTGTTCACTTGTTCCATTCTTCTGAACCTTTAGAAAGTACTTCTGGGCATGGCTACGGATCTAAAAAACAAAAACAAAAAAAAAAGGCACTTCATGTCAAATGTTTGTCACAGGCATTGGCATCTACATATAATTGTTAAAACAGAAAATCTCTAGTATGGGAACTACACCGGTTTTCACATCTTACTGAAACATTGGAAAGCAGTCTAAGATGCAAAGCAGAGATTACAAACATAAAGTTCTTCATTCCTCAACCATCCTGCCTCTTTGCTTTTATAAAACGAACCTTGCTTAAGGAAAAATGTTAGATACTTTTTAATTTACCTGGATAACAGTCTTTGACCCGACGAATGCTTCAATCTTTTTCCAGTCACGGTCAAAGCTGAACAGAATCAAGGGAAGGAAAACAACAACAACAAATGAGAGCAAGAAAACCTTTTGGAAACATACTCATGCAAAAAGCATGATTCAGCAAACAACTGATACAACAAGAAACTAGTATAACAACTCCACTAAGTTATAATCTCGAAATGGTCTTCGACAATAGATCCTTTGTTCCTCAATGAAAGGTCCACTATGACAAAATATTTAAAGATTATTCAAAATAGCAACAAAAGAAAAAACTCCTTTTACAGTGGTTATACATTACCATCAATATTCTACTACAGTTTTGTCATCATGTCTTCAAATATGCAAACAGGCTATTACAATTCAGTGTTTTTTCAGTTAGATATGAAGCCTAAAGCTAAATGAAAATAAGAAGGAACATATGCTTCACACGCAGAACAAGAACGTCCTGTCCTTTTCTTCCCACTCGTCCATTACTTATTACTCTCATCCTACTTTCAATAATACTTATAAAACTTATTTTTAACCAAAACCAATTTAAAAATTTTAATTAGCTACTTCTGAAAAAAAAAAAAAGACTTCGATTTCGAATTCAATTCAAAACCTCAAAATTGAACTGCAAAAAAAATCATAAACAATTTTTAAAAAACCCTAATTTGAAATGGAAGCAAAGTAATTTCATGGAATTAGAGAGAAAATGCTTGAGACTTTACAGCTGGAGAGCTTCAAGGAACTTGTCGTGTTCGGGTTCAGTCCAGCTCTCTCTGGACTTGGTGATGGTGTAAGGCTTTCGGATTTTCTTATTCGGATCCTCAGAAGATGACGCCGTGGAGGCGGCCGTAGCCGTCGTGGTGAAGGGTCCCAGGCCGGGCAACGCCATTCCAGTCGGATCCAGGTAAAATCCCTCAACCGGGTTCGGGTTTTTTGATACCATGTAAGATTTTTGGGAGGTTTTTTTTTTAAGCTTTGAAACAACGTATAAATGTGGCGTTTGAGGAAGGCGGTTTAGTTTGCATATAAAGGGCTCGGGATTTGGATCTGATGCTGCGTGGTTACACTGAGATTTAGAAATTACAAATAAGAATCTGCCACGTAGAAGGAAAGATTGTTTATCTACTGTCCACTGTCCATTTTGATGTTAAAAAATGATAATTATTACCTGCATATAACATGATCAGACGCCTTGTTTTCTAATTTCTATAGACAAAATGTTATATATTCTTAAACATAAATTTTGAGAATAATTATTTATTATTACCATTCTCAAATGGTAATTTCTCGCTAATTAAAGAAGTAATTAAAAGATTTACAATAAATCCAAGGATAACGTTTATGCTCTATAGAACACCTGAGCAATAACTGAATATTAAGTATAATTTTTAAGTTAAAGAAGACACTTTAACATGGGCATCTATTTTGTTGTAATAACTTTTAATTTTTTTATAAAAAAAATCAAACAATGAGTAAAGACGACAAGTAATTTATAAAAAAAACTTTTGTTAACTATTATTTTAATTATACATTTTAAATTTTACTATATTAAATGATATTATAGGATAAATTGTTAAGTATTATATTTGGTACAAAAATTGTCTTTGAACGAATCTTAATACTTATCTCTAAGATGCTCATTAATAAATATTTTATAATTTTAAAATATTATTTATAAAAAATATTAAATACTCTATTAGTATTGAATATGATGAATTTTCAATACATTGATAAAAATATTATTTAAAATAATATTAAAATATATCTTTCATTCACTGGTTAAAAAAATAACTCTTAAAAATTTTCAACCATATAATAAGAAAATTTGCACTAACTATATGTGAAAAATCCTGTTACCCTATGTGTAGTAGCATGATATAAGAGCAATGAATGGAATTGCCACGTTGCGAATCAATTGAAAATCAACATGTCAAAGTTTAATAGTAAATAAATCCTCTATTAGTCGTCGAATTAATAATTACTAATATCGTATAAGTAACTATTTTAATTTCATAGGAATAGAGGAACATTTGATTTGGGCATGGGTTACTCTGGTCCAGGAGCCATAGGAATTTTGTCTGCACACTAATCCTAGTGGAGGGAAGGGTCGGTCGAGAGGCGAAAAGGACAGGTAAGGGATAGAGCTGTTTTCACCGAAGGCCACGTGGCAGCAATAAGAAGCTAAGGAGCGGAGATGTGCGGTATTGTTGAATTCCAGTGTGCTAAGTGGCCAGCTACAAGGCCACATGACTTGCATGAGATATTTAGCAATGGGACCTGCTTAAGTTGCCCACCTCCCATGTTGCTTTTCTTCTCTTTCTTTTTTTCTTTCATCCTCGGATATTTTGGTTCACTCTTTTCTGTTTCCAGAATTGTGGCGTAGAGTACTGGTGCTGGTTTCATTTCACCAATATTACTTTCAATCAAAGCCGACAAGATTGCTTCGCATTTTGCTTTTATCCTCGACTCACGTTTGTGTCCAAGGCATATCCTATTTCAACTTGAGATGGACGTTAGTCACGAATCTTGATGGGGGTGCATTTCCCAACCATACATTCTATTTCTTTACAGCAATTGGGGGGATATAGCGTTATGTAAAATTTTAAGCGCTCCTACTAACAAAACTCGTGTTTCAAACTTTAGAGTTTCCCTTTAACTTTGTTTAAATATATAAAGAATTAAAAAAAATAAAGTGCTTTATTAATTATGAATTTTGTTCGATTTATCATCAATAATTCAAGTTTGACTTAATTATTGTCATTCCATGAATGGTTTTTCTATTTTTCATTTTACATCAAAAAATTACTACGACTCGAAACTAGAAACTTTACCCTAAGTTACCTCATTTTGACCCTTTGAACTAAGGCAAACTGCCTATTTGGTGGTTATTTATACTGTAGTTGCTATAATCTGATGTGGAGCAGGGAGTTGGCAATGCGGTGTCAGCTGGGGTCCCGGTCTTGCACTTACTACAAGTTTGTTTGGTAAGTTAACTCACAATGCCATGTGTGGCTTTTGCTTTTTTTCTGCTTTCTGTCCCTCAATTGTGGGGTTCAACAGATAAAGCAGGTGGCTAAGCAAATGAAGGAGCTAATAATTGTACGAAGTTTGACCCATCAATTGATTGAGGAAAGGTTATATATATTGCCCGTGTGCATGCATTGTCGAATTGCCTTGTGCATTGCAAAAGAATCAAGAAATATCAGCATTTTCTAGTGGTTGTCGCCTTCCAGTCTCTCTAGAAGTTACTCCATGAGAAGAGACATATAACCAAAGCCATTAACGTACATTCTCTACACATGGAAATGCCAGCAAAAACATCACTCCAAATGCTCTAAACATTTACTCTTCGTTAAGCCCTTTTGTTTTTTGTTTTTTGTAATTTTTTGCTTTTCGTCTCACTTCTCCATTCGAGTTATATATATAGCGCATTACCAGTCTTTTATTAATGCCTATAGAGTCGTATGTTCATCGTTGTTAAAACATAAACTTCTTTTTCCCCACAACTGTGTGTTTTGGTATTGCATTATGTAGCCATTTGGTTTCTACATCCCTTTTGGCACGAGCTTGTATTTGTGTGACCAGGGTTCTCGTGTCCTTTTTCGTATGAATGGGAGTTCATAATTATTCAAAATAAAAATGACTTACTGGGACACATATGATATATATACCTCTTGAAATTTGAATGAGAATAAACTAAAATTAAAGAGAGATTATATACTACCAACACTTATATAATTGGCTCAAAAATGAACTTGGGAAAGTTTTTAGGCAAAATTTTGGGTTTGGATCCGGAAGAAGCATATAAGAGACAGCCACAAAAAAGTATTAAACTAATTCTCATTGTCGACTGATAAATGGACTAGTTACTGACATTTGATGTATGGATTCGGTTTGAGTTCATCACATGATTGATGTAGCTCCTAAATTCAAGTTAGACTTTGAGCTAGTAAACTTTATGATTTCGCTATAGCTTTCCCAGAGAACAGGTCTAAGCAGGAAATGGAAGACACATGCTATGCGCACTTCACTATGCTTTATGCCCATGATAATTTTGCCCATCATCCTTTTTTTAAAAGAATAGTGGATTGGTGACCAACACAGCTGGTTGCCCCCCTCCGTCTTTGGTTCAAATTTCTGCACATAATTGGGCTTGGGAAGTGCATGTAAATTGAATTCTAATTTCATGTAATAGATTCTTTTGAGGCCAAGTGGGGATGAAGTAATAAGACTTGGGCCTAGCAAAACTTTTGCCTTGCAATAAACACCCAGTTTTAGGGACTTGGGTTCATGATCCTTAGTTGAAAGCCCATACTGGTGATCAGTAGTCTAGCTACCATATGCAAAAGAACACATCGTATTTAAGTCAAAAAAGTGGTAACTGCAGCATACCTAGTGAGCGAAGCCTGAAATTGGCAATTCACAGTACTTTTACACCCGGCACGGTCTCCTCCCACTACAATTGAATTCACAACATCAAACGTTATTTTTTTGTTGTAGATTTTATTCTTTGTCTTTTGCCCCTTTTATTGGAGCATAGGGCAGAAACAGAGAAAAGCAAAACACTCAACCAATAGCTAATAGATAGATCCATTGCTGATGGCCAGGGATCAATATATTTTACATGAATGCATTTTCATGATCGTATCAGATGAAAGAATTCAAGATTCAAGAGCGATCCCACATTTTTATGATTGTTTAAGAAATTATAGATGTATATTATATTGATTTATCTGCTTCGAACACTCTTTATACCCTTTTTTTTTACACACATCGTATATTCTAGAGGTGTTCATCACTTAACATTCACATCTTCTCTGATAGGTCGTACCATTATTGTTTTTTCTTAGTTTTGTCATCATCTGGAACTTGTTGCTTATGAAAGATTGGATAGAAAAAGGAAAAAAAGAAAAGAAAACAACTCCGAGTTGCAAAGTGTTGGATTTTACTTTTTGAACATAACATTTTAGTAGTTGTTGTCATTGGATGATGTTGGATTCAACAAGTCATGAACATTGACAGCCCGGTCAAAAAAAAAATACTACCAAAAGAATACTATATACTAAATATACAATACTCTGAACAGTCAAGTAACACTATAACATGGTTCAACTCACATAGATTGGGCATTAATGGAAGTTGCTGGAGCATCTTCCCATGAGCAAAATGAAAAAAAGAAAAGGTTTGAAAAACTAGCTGTCATGTGACTCGTGTCTCAGTCCCATGTGAAACAACATTTATAAAATCAGCCAGAAAAACAAAAAAAAAAAGGAATAAACGAAAAACGGCAAGGTGCCCTTCCAAGATCCATCATCCAGCCCTCCTGGCCAGAAGTGAGAACTGAATATTCATAAACACTTCATACCCAAGTAAAGTATACCAACAGGAAGCGTTTTTTACATTTCTTGTATTGACCACTTGACCAGACCAGATCTTCTTCACACTTCAGACACGTGATTAAGAAAGAAAGAAAGATGAGAATCCACGCAAGCCTTTTCTTCAAACAAATGACGAATTCATTTAAAAAAAAAAAACTGATATGATCAATTAATGTGACCTGAAGGCAAAAAAAATAGTAAACCTGGCGCTAGTGTCACGGCCACAGTCCAGACCCACCAGGAGGCCCAAGAGGTGACACAGTCCGGACCCGCCAAGAGGCCAAGAGGGTGCCAGCCCACTAGACCCATGTAGGGGAGGCTGCTGGAAATTCAAATTTTCCCTCCCAACCGAACTTCTAGAACCTCCCAAATGTTTTGGAGGGAAATCTTTTGGGGGAATACTTTGAATTGAAAACTTTGGAGGGAAATCTTTTGGGGGAATACTTTGAATTAAAAACTTTGGAGGGAAAAGTGGTGGGAACCTTGGCTATAAATAGCCCCATCCACCATTGTGTAAATCACCATTCTTGCATCCTTGTATTTCAATTCATTCAATATAAAGAGTTTAGTTTTTCTCTAGCATTCTCTTCCCATTTTTCCTTCCTTGTTTATGCAAGCTTGCTTGCCGGCTTAAAGCCATTGTGTGGGGTTGAGCGCTTCGGGTGAGTAAGGCTGACTTGGGTTCTACTGCCGAGCTAAGGCTGAATCCAAGGCCGCACGAAAGTGGTCTTAAGAAATCGACCCGTTGACACTAGGCTTGTCTCCAAGAGTCCAAGTTCATTCGCCCTCTGAGCGGGGTTGCCGACCCTCAAGGCTGGGTAGTGTCCCACCTCTGCAAATGCTTGGGCATAATTTAGAATAAAGAAATTAAGGACTGCATAAACAAATATAAGAAAAAAGGCAAAAAGACAGAAGCAATAAGTGAAGGAAGAGAAACAGACGAAGACTTCCGCACTTAAGAAGTGTCCCCAACCGAGTCCAAGGAAGGCTTATAGAAATTTCCTGGATAAACAATTTTAAGTGGATTGTTCTTTTCCCCTTCTTTCCTTTGAACGAAAATTAAAAGGGCCCCCTTTTTTGAAAAGTTTCTTTGGCTATAACGACGTCGTTTGCATCTTTTTGGTATCTTCCACGAACCTGAAGTAGGTGGCAAAATCGCATTTATTGACCAAACACGCAAAGACCCATCTGTATGAATTGACTTAGGTTGACTGGGCCAACGATAAATTCTGAAGCCTCAGCTTCTTACCATCAAAGGTGTTCAGAGTTCTTTGGCTTTCTATTCCTCCTTTCACCACCTTGTTGCTATCCTCCTTTTCTTGTTTTTATTCTCAAGTTTGCTACGCAAGTATTCTCAAAGCTTGAAATGAAGGTTTGATTTCCTTCTTTTGCATCTTGTTTTTATGCTCACACAAATACAGAAGCATGAAAACTGCTAAATGAAATTTGTTACTTACGTTTTGGTGAGAGGAAAAATGAACATGATTTAGTTTTAGCCTAAATAGCACGAGCGAAGTTTTCTTTTTGGATCTTTTGGTAGTTTTGGAGCCTTACTTTGATCTAAAAATATTAACAGTGATTGATTTTGTCTTTGACAGAAAGTTGTGTTGAAATTGGATTTACACGACAGCAAGTACAAATCCAAAGCCATGAAGACAGCTTCTGGCCTTTCAGGTATTGTACATATTTAGTTTTAGTTTCTTCTTTTGATTCTGTCTGTTGCTAACAAACTTGGGAATCGAAAGATCTATTACTTCAAGCAAATAATTACGAGATCTTTCTAGCACCTTACTAAAATCAAACAGAGAAAAGCCAGATCTTAAAGCAAGCCAAACTAACGTAAGTGACATTTTGCAGGGGTTGATTCAGTTTCACTGGACATGAAGGACCAAAAATTGACAGTGATAGGAGACATTGATCCAGTGGTCGTAGTGACGAAACTGAGGAAGCTGTGTCACACAGATATAGTTTCGGTTGGACCAGCAAAAGAGCCAGAGAAGAAGAAAGAAGAGCCCAAGAAAGAGGAGCCAAAGAAGCCAGCAGAAACTAAGAAAGATCCCCCAAAAGAACATATGCTTTACCCCTATGTATATCACCCTGCAATGCCCGCATATTATCCTCCAGTGCCTGACTATTACCCTTATGGTACTAAAATCGTTGAGGAAAATCCAGCTGCTTGCATTATCTGCTAATTTTTTTGTCCTTTTAGATATGAAGATTTATATACTAGTGCTTAAATAAGAAGAAGAAGAGAAGCATCTTTGGATTAGTTTTGTTTTCAATTTCGTTTTGTACAGAGTGGTGGCCTGCTGGGTTAATTATTTTAGCTTGAAACTTTGCTGTGAATTAATTGGGAATTTATCAAACATTTTGTCTACATATATATATTTTTTGAAGTAATGGATTCTATATTCCTATTAGTGCATGTGTTTTAAGATATTCTTTCTTTTTGGAAATCTGTTGTTGCGAATAATCTAAACTAAAACTTTCATTTTCACCAGGATTTTCAGTAAGCCATGCGTTTCTTTCTCTGAATTTATCCTTTACTTCCGTCACTTTCTGCTTACGTAACACGGAATATAAAGGAAAAATGTATTAATAATGAAAACGGCGACGCACCAACGTGATTTGATTGTGCCTCTGTTTTCGTTAGAAAAAAGGGGCGAATGGCATTCAAAGGCGTTAATTAACAATAGTATCAACTGTCAATTTATTGATTTCGTCATTCATGTGTTGATTGGTTCAGGCGTTGACAATTATGTAAGCAAACTCAACACGTCTCGTGTTTGAAAGGTAAAATTATATTGAGCGTTATCTCGTAAAAGAGGCTTCGAACAGCAGAGCTACTCAAGGCTTAAAGCTACAAAAGGTCAGACCGCCAAAACATCAGACGTATTTGATGTGCCAATTCGTTGAAAATAAACCTTCTACTCTCCACCCATTTTCATCCTTATCTTGACTCGTTTCCTCTTGTCTTGTCGCACAAGGTCGCGGCTCATCAAATCCGGAATGAGATGACGTGGATTTGTCAACAAGCCAGTCCTACTGTTTGTCGATCCAATAATTTTAATAGTGTTCAAATGAATTCAAACTTGAAAATTTGTTAAAGAATCTGATTGCAAATGTGATCAAATTCGAATTGATTAAAAAATTAAATATTAATTTTTGATATTTAAATTTAAAATAAATTAAATTAAAAAAAAAGAAATCTAACTTGAAACCATTTGAAATTGAAATTAATTTGATATAAAATCGTAATAATCTAAAATTAATATTAAAAATACAAATTTTAATTATTAATTTCATATTAACTTAAATTCAAATAAAAAATATATGAATTTAATGTGAGTCAAACCCAAAATGATTTAATTTGAAATAATTTGGGTAAATATCTAAAAAGTTTAATTTTTTACAAAAACATAATACTCAAATAAGCTCTTAAACTATTTAAAAAAATTTAGATAAATTTTTATTTTTTATTACATGCAATCAAAACCTTTATACTTTTATTTTTGATCAATAAGCATCTATAACTAATAATTGATTAATTGTTATTAATTTAAATGTTATTAATCATTGTATATTGATATAAAAATAAAAAATATTATATAATTATATTATTATATCAAATTAATATATCATGTCATCATCAATTATAATATATTAATATATAATATCATCATCAATTATAATATTTTAACATATCACTTTAATGTAATGAGATATAATTTTTTCACATCATTAATTATTAATTATAAAAATTTATTTAATTTAAAATAAAAATTATTTAAATTTATGAGTTTTTTTGATATTGTGCCTTCGAGTAAAAATACCTGGGTCCAAAATTTATATTAATAATTGTCATTATCCTTAGAAGGACTAAAATATAAAATTTCGGTTTCTCCTATCTTTGTATTTCGTACGTTGAGCCAAGAAAAGAAACATTCAATAATAAATTATCCTGAGAACAAAAAAACAACAAAGTGGTAGAAGTATTTCTTTATTGTTGGATAATGAAAACAATATATTGCAGTACTAGTTCAACTGTTTCTTTTTTTTCTTTTTTTTTCCCAAAAAAAAAGAGATTGAAGCCGAGACATGGGCTGTACATTAAAAAGCCGAAATTAGTACTCCTACTAGAGGTAAAAAAAGCGGTCCGATGTTGACCCAAACCTACTGGTGGATCCAAACGGCTGAGCTCAACCGCAATCACCATTCACCACTGCCCATCATTCTCCTCTTTCCACATCTCAACCCAATTGCGTTGAGCTTCTTCCAATCCCAGAATAGAACCCCTCCTCTCTGGGTCCCAACTCGCAGACAAAGTCCCATACGCTATCCCAAGAGTTGATGCCCCAAAAGTTATGAACGTAGTCAAGAATGGCAGCCATAGTGGCACATCCCACAAATTTTGCTCTTTAGCGATACCGAAAAGGTGCAGTAACGCGAGACCCGTGGCCAAAGGAACTCCCACAGAGACCAAAATTCTTGCTATCATCCTATCAAACACTACCTGGGGAACTGGCTCGTCATCGTTGTTATTGTTGTTGTTGGAGTCTTCATTGGCAGCCTTTTTTTTCACGGAAGCTGTTGGTGTGCTGGCAAAGCCTTTGGCATTGGCCTGCAGTTCCCACGTTGATGAGGATTGGATTTGGTTCTGGTTTTTGATGATTGTAGGGAGAATTGTTGGGGTTCTTGGACCCCATAAAGAAGGCTTTGGAAGGTAAAATTGTGGTGTTGCTAAAGAGAGTAGAGTCTTCATTGTTTCTTTGGGGTTCTTTTTCACGAAGCAATAGTTAATGATCTTATTGCTAGTTACCTTATCCGAAAACAATGAATGGCAGTGCTTTCTCGTATAAGAATTTGAGATATTTTGGTTTTATCTTAAGATATTTTGAGAAATAGATTTATTGGGGTTTTGTATATCAATTTGACATTGACAATAAGACCCCTCATATAATTAAGTCGTAACAGCAAGTCAGCTATCACTTGTCTTTTGCAGTGCAGCCGTGTCACTTCCCCCACTCTATTTTTAGAAGATAGTACAATCTATGAACTTCTAAGTTATCCTGATCCTTGTTTCTTTTTAATTCTTTCTAGAGCCGTTCTCTCTATTTTCTAGAGAACTATCAACTTGAACATTTCGGATCTCAACAATTTTCATATATTTAAACATTTGATTAAGATAATAATCAATTACCAGTTGATGAGATCGATCCGATGCATCTTACTTAATTGTTATATATTTATTTAATAATGTTTTATAATACAAGCTAAGTGTACAATGGATTGTGGATAGGTAGTGGATTAAGTGCATTAAAAAGAAGGAAACGACAAAGTGCATGAACAAAAATAGTACTTAAATCTCAACGAAAGGAGGCGGAAGGGCTGGGAGCCCTAATTTGCTAGTTCCTCAAAACACTTTTGTGGAGCCAAATTACAGTTTGTGGACCCACATATTATTCTATGGAATTAGAAATTCCCATCATATATATCAAACATTTGCATGCTTTATCTTCAGGAACTCTTACCATTGAAACCTAAGAACCAGGTCTCAGCCTCTCATATGATTTTCTAGATGCCTGCTAGAACCAATTCACAGAGAATTAGGTAAACTACCGATGAGAAAATATTTAATGTATGAATCATTGCAAATTAGAAGTTGACGTAGTGCAGTTTTTTATGTTCCTCGTACCTGATGTGGGGATGGCGAGTATTGGGCGGCGCCTGACACTTTAGATGGAGAATTTGTTATAGGTTTCCCGGGGGAGGCACAAAGAGTTGGCTTGGAGAGTGGTGACTGAACGTAGGGTGCAACTGGTGCAGGCGAGTGGGGCTTTGAAGATAGTGGACTTCCATGGCATGAAGAAATCGGTGATACCGTAGGGCTTCTCCAGTGAAGATGAGATGCTGTTGCTGCTCTGGGAGATCTTAATGGCGATCTTCGTGAAGGTTGCATGTTGATAGTAATTCTAAAGGGGGGAATATTAATGGAAGTGTGAAAACATCCTGGAAATTGCAATCGCAAGTTAATGTGTTCAAAATGAAAGAAGCTTACCTCGTGTGAACATCAACATAATCATCCGTTTCATCAAATATTTCCTCCTGCAAAAGCAAAAAGTTGGTTTTAGAATATATGTCTGCATCTCTAATCGATAATCTCTGGAGACAAAATACTCAAGAAAAACCTGCAGCAGTTCCTCCATTACATCCTCCAATGTTATGATACCAAGAACCTCCTCATCTAAATTAATTGGAAATGATTCCAAATCTCTATTTGAGAGGGTTGCCTGTTCCCGTTTCTTCATTTGCGGGCGTAATTTGCTGCCTAGCTCCATGATTAAAGTTGGACTTTGAATATCAATGATGGTAGAATTTGCAGAGGGTGAGCTTGAAGGAATACTAAGTTGCTCATTTCGACAGTATTGATGCTGATCAATACCTGGAAATAGGGTGATCATAAGCTCATCTCTATCGTATTGTTTTCCCTGTTACTAATCTCCATGATTGGAACTAATTTATTACCATCACGTGTGTGAAGGTTTACAAAAAATTCAGTTTCTCCTGATCTATGAAAATAATATTGTATACCTTTCGCCTCTGTCTGTCTCTTTTTCGACTTTGAGTGGATTTTTCTCTCGGGGATGCTAGATTTGGCTTTTGCACTTTGTGCATCCTCATTTATATTATCACTCTTGCACTTAACAACAACAGCCATGTGACTGTGGCCCTCTTGGAATTGATTCAATATATCATAGAGAGGTAAGCAATCATGAACCCTGTCAAAGATTTAAAAGTAATGGAATTAGTTCATAGTAATGCCTTCAGTTCTAACTTACAAAACATTATGAAAAACATAAACTGCAGACAGACTATCTCTTAGTTTTTTTAATATTATTGTTCAGAAATCGTAATTAACCGTACTTGAAGCAGCAGAAAAGGCAATAACATAATATAGAGCTCGGGAATTAGAAATCAAATGTAACCTAGGAATGCTCCTGATGGTAAGATCCCTAATAGGGGTTTCATCTTCCGGACGGCGCTTGATCAGATTTTTCACCAGTATAAGGCCAATGATATTTGCTGGGCTCCCAGAGTAGATAGGTACCCGACTATGCCCTTTGCTTATTATTATTCCCATTGTTTTCCTGTAGCATATCAATTTGTTAATGAGAAGGAAAAATAAATGGGATAGTTAGGCAGAGAGATGGAAGGTCATACTCGTCGAGTTTTGAATTTATATCAAGTGAAAAAATGTTAGATAGGGGAGTCATAGCATCTTTAGCGGTTTTTTGTGTCATATCCAGGGCTCCAGAGATGATGGTTGTTTCATCATGTGTCAGTTCTCCACCCTTCCCTGCCTACAATGAACATGAAATATTACCGATTTAGTTCTACTTTGGGTGGTTAAACCATGCTATAGTTAATCAGATAAAGTTTGTGATCAGTTGAGTTCTAGGAAGTTTTTATGGAAACTAATTACCTCATTCCCATGCATATCTACTAGTGTCTTGAGCTCAGCTCGTCGAAGGAGTGCAGAATGTCTTTTCCCTAGCAGCAAATCTAGCAGCTGCCAGAAGAGGAAGCCAAGATTTATTATTTTGATTAAAACACCTTCATTGATTTTCCTAGGGTTTGCTTAAATTACCTTGCTAATTGGATACGCTACAGGGAAGAGGATTATTACAATGAACCGAACTAAAACTGAGAGTTTTGCTCCAACACTCAGCCCATAGCGAGAACATACAGCTTGAGGAATGATCTGAACAAAATTCTAGTATTTTATGCAAAGCTAATCAACAAAATACATAATCACTTATATAGTGTGGAGTAGATGAGAGATTTTACCTCACCGAAAGCAAGTATGAGGGTAACTGATATCAATATTGCGCACCACTCGGATAGAAGGGAGTCAAGGAAGATCGGAAGGGCCTTATTCAAGTACACAGAGAATTCAGAATTAGTGTTTTCAAGGACTGCAGTAAATATAGGAGTACGTAGGTGTAAGCAAGATACCTCCATTGCCAGTGCATTGCCTATGAGGAGGGTGCATAAGAGTAGGTGCTGATTCTTAACGATGGGTAGGATCTTCTCTGCCATTTAAAAACACATCTTTGTGAGCAAACTGAGGATTTAGTACTTTATGAATTTAGGCGGTGGATGGAGATATAATTTGAGTAAAGAGTGGTTCAGTAATATTAACCTGCATTCATTCGGTCTTGGGGCTGACCAGCCTTGATGACAACCTCAAGATCAACAAGGCTGAGGGACATGAGCCCCAGCGTAAGGCCAGACATGAGGCCAGCAAATGATACAAGAGCCACACATATAACTAGATACACCCAGAACATAGACTCACAACATGGCACATCATTCGCCGCCATTGTGTCAGATATCTTGATAAATCAGAGAGTCCGATATATATATATATATATATATATATATATCAGGAAGAAGACTGTATTACGAATTGATTAGAAGAAGAAGGAAGAGAGCTTAATTATAACTAAAGCAGCCGGTACCAAACACAGTCGGAGGTCTCAATTTTGCTTAAATACAATGGAAAAGGCAGAAATGAAACCGACTGCAGCGTCATGAGCGCCAAAAGTGCACCGCCAACTGCCAAATTCAAGACGCGTACTCTACGCGATGAGTGAAAAGCAGCAATATATAATTAGTATTGCACGCTTAGTTAAAAAGATGATTAATATATATTAGAGGTTCTGTCTGCTACAATGTTAACGGTCATATCAATACCTTGAATAGAGTAGTTAACTAATTAAGCCCTCTCAGAAACCATAACAGCTAAAACTAAACAACTGATTAATAGAAATGTTATCTGCACCCAAAAACAATATTCTCCAAAATCCAAATTAATCTTGTGATCATCCTTATCTAGAAATGTTATGCAATAGTAAAACTGCCCCAGTTGCATATTTGCTGCAACAATGCTGTTATTTATTATCACCTAAACATGCTTTTCTGCCATTTTAATTTGCCGTGGCTTATGACGCCACAAGAACTTTCTCTGTCTGCAATTATTATTCTAAATGCAAATAAGGGTGTAAGGAGCAGGTGGAAAAACAGGTACAAACATAAAGAATCCAAAACCTGGTTAATGTTTATATTTTCTTTTACCCAAATGGATGATTTCATCGAATGAAGTGGCTCGTACTAACGCGTTCATTTGTAATGGAAACAGATGAGCAGTTGAAAACCAATGATAAAGAAATGAAAAGTTATGGCAATGAGAACCTCTTTAGTTTTTATAATTGACTACATTTTGACGTTTGCAATTCATAGGGCGTCATTTCCTTTGTGTTTTTGCCGTTTCCATTTAAGGAAGGACTGCCATTTATTGGATTGTGCAGGTCCTAAATTTGTTCACTTCTTGCTGCTTTTCTCGTAGCAAGAAGAAAATACGGCACAAACGAAGGAGCATGGAAGTTTCCAAGGAATTTGTGTGAAGTAGATAGTTCACAATGAAAGAGCATCACGCTTTACAAGAGTGAAGACAATTGTCAAAGTCCTAGACAAAGGATAAGTTACGTGGTATATTTTTTTTAGAAAATGACCCCTGAGGAATAAAATGGATTCAAATTTGATGAAGAAAAGAAAAATAAAATTTGTTTGGCATGTGTTAATGAATAAATTTTGTAAAATAAATAAATAAAATTTTCAATTTAAAGTAAAAATTTTAAAAAATAAAATTGACATAAAGAATATTAATAATATACACTAAATAAATACACGTGGAGGTAACATAATTAAAGTAATAAAACACACTAAATAAAGTTTTACGATATAGTTTATAGTAGTTTTAGTTATCTTAAAACAATCATTAAAAATTTAAAATTCAATGAATTAAAATTTTCCATATATTCATCTCTTAATTAAAAGGTCGTGCTATAAGATTTTTAGACTACAAAAATGCTCGGACAGGAACAAAATTCTTCAGAAAGTGAAAAAAAGACTGGAATTTTAAACCATCTTAACCATCGGAGTTCGCACTTCAAAGGTTAAAAAGTTAAAAGTATAGAGTAAAAAAAAAAAAAAAGAACGTTAGGGATTTATATATACAAAATGTCAAATTCGGCGGCCCCATTGAAAAATTTAATTCCCGCCCAGTGAGCGGTCGAGGGAAAACGAAAGTGGAAGAAATCGACAGAGAAACCAGCGAAGAGAATGGCGAAGAAGGGAAATGCGAGCACAGTGGATGACGTTGATCGATTGTTCGAATGCTTCAAGTGTGGCATCTCTCCTCCTCGTAAGCTCCTCTCCCTTTTCAATCTTTTTGTTAGTTAAAAAGACAGTGCTCGTCAATTACGCTGCAAAATCACTTCAAATTTTAATTTTTGATAATGATAATAGGGAATCGTAATTCTTCGTCAGATTCTTGATAGGGCTTTGATCACATTCCTCACAGAAATTCAAAATTTAGGAGTAAAACGTTTCAATTAGGGCAACATAATAAGTAAATTAAAACCTTGCCTTTTGCGATCTTCATCATCGAATATGAGTTGCTCAGTGCAGTACAATTTCACATGATATTGATGTGTCGTACAAATTTGTGGCAAGAAACAATGCACTGTATAATTAAAGAAAAAAGAGAGAATGATAGAGAGTCTTGTTTTGTTTTTCTAGAATCTGCTGTAAGGGAAAGAAAAAGACGTAAAAGCAAGCTGAATCAAGAAAATTCAGCAAGAAAGGTATCTGCATCACCTTGTACGCCGTCCTTAGAATCAGCCGAACAAGGAAAGGAAACTGGAAACAATGCACAACTCTCCGTTGAGAAGGTATGTAGTTGAAATTGCTTTTGTTTCCTTTAAGTTTATATCTGGCTGGTCGTGCATGGTATGCAGATGTGTGACATTGTTTTGGTTGAGCACCATAAGGAATTAAGATCTAGGCCACCTGAAAAGAGACTTTAGAAACATGGATTCACTTATTTGGACAAAGTTTGGCTTTGTTTGAGTTAATAGTGAAATTCTGAAAGTTAGCTTCTTTAATTTGTACTTTTTGATCATTGATTCATTATTTCTTCACTATCTTACAGTGGAGATTAATTAATTTTTATGTTTCCTTTAGTGTGTTTCAACAATGGTGAAGGTCGGAAAATTTAGCCGTGGGAAACAGATCTCACCAGTTATATTTTATGGGTCTCCACATGGCATCCCTCCAAAAAGGCCATTGAGTCTACTGCGTTTGTTACATGAAATTCGCATTGACCTCAGTGAACAAGAGGAATCCAATTTAAGGTACTTGTCAGCACTTTTTTGCTTAAAATTATATAAACTATTTTGACTTAAAACAAGTGGTTTACCCCTTTTTTACTCTCCTTTTTGATTGACTTTCCTCTTGTTACTCGTTTGTTAGAACAGAAGTATGGGTTACATTTCCAAGACAGGATGAAGCAGTAAAGTTTGCTAAAGGACATGCCAATGCACGTGTTTTTAGTTATCAAGACCACTATAGTGGGCAAAGAAGATATCTTGCTTCTACATATGAGGAGTTCTGGAAGAGGTCTCTTTACTATTGGTTCTTGTATGTTCACACTTCATACTTCAAGAGATGTTTTCTTTTTAAACTCTTTGCTTGTTGTGGTCATGTGATTGTAGGTACAAAATTATGGATTCAAAATTTCGCCATCACTATGAAGTGATTCAGGAGGTAGAAACTATGCATATCTTTCCACAATTGAATGTGCATGTGTAATATTATCTCTACTCCAGTTTTCTGTTCTAGCCAGTCTTTATTATGCCTTTTATCCGTGCTTGAGTAGTAAAACCTGAAACTGCCCATGAGGAAACATTTGACCTTTCTTTTTGTTGTTGTTATATTGTGATTGTGGCTGTTGGTTCTAGGGTTTTCCATGCCACCTGTACTTCGATTTGGAGTTCAATAAGAGAGACAATGTGGGAAGGGATGGAGACAAAATGGTTGATCTGTTGATTTTGGTCATTCTAGAAGCCTTACTTGAAAAATATTCTGTCAATGGAAATCAAGATTGGGTGGTGGAACTTGATTCATCTACTGAAGGTATGGTTTGTTCTAGGTGCACAAGACTGTTCTCCTTGCCATTTGGTAATATCTTTGAACATTTGACAGTAACAACTAACACCATAAAAATTTACACTAAATTATTGATTTTTAAGCAATATGCTTTGCTTTTCATATTGGGGTTTTTTTCTTACAATTTAATTGCTATCTGTATAAATACTGGAATGCAGAGAAGTTTTCCCGCCATTTGATCATGCGCATACCAAAGACAGCTTTTAAGGACAACTCACACGTGGGTGCATTTGTTGCAGAGGTACAACTTACTGAAAATTAACCATTTTCTTTAACGTAATGTATCATTGTTATGTTACCTCCAACAGGGGAAACCGTTATTTTCTATCTTCTTTCCTTTTGTTTTTTGCAATGCATCATAATGTTAACAGTTATTGCTCATTGATGACATATTTAGCAGATATGCTCACGTATAGCAAGTGCAAGGGAAAGGGATAAAAGGTTTGAAACATTATATGTGAAAAAGGCTTCGACCTCTGCTGAATCACCTGGCCAACTTTTTGTGGACAATGCTGTATATTCTAGAAATCGTTGCTTTCGTCTGGCTCTATCATCAAAGGCCGGAAAGGCTTCCTTCCTCTTACCTACAGGGCGATTCAAATGTAAGGAAATGGTATGGTAATTTACTTGCTTGAGCCTTACAACTTATATCGTAGCAGTTTTAAATTTGTGACAAATATTCTGCTTTGTAATATTAATTTTTTTCATCCTCATCGGAAAAGATGCTCCTGATACAACTGGCAATTTATTTGTATTATCCAAAAAATTTCTCAGGACCATGCATACAGCTGAAATGTGTGTGGGAGTGCATGTAAATTTTTTACGCTTGCATGTCAGTGGAATGGGCATAAATGCTTGGAAAGTTTTTAAAGAAAAAAAGAAGAGCTAGCATTTTATTGAAATATTTTGTTTTCTCATATCTTTATTATTATCTTTTTCCTAAAGATGATACTGTCCTATTAGTTAACCAAGGCTTAGATTTGTTGATTAAAGAGATATCCATTCTTTTTCCGTGTCCTCGCTATGTCTTCTATTTGCCCTTTATTATCTTTAATTTGAGTGTGTTCACTGCAAAAGTGTGCATTAGTGCACAAGTTTACTGCCATGGAAATGTTGAATGGACAGGTGAACACTGGTGCTGTAGGATGACATGCCACGAAGTATTGCTTAGGGTTTATCTTTTTCCTAAAGATGACATGGTCCAATTAGTTTACCAAGGCTTAGATTTGTTGATTAAAGAGATATCCATTCTTTTTTCGTGTCCTCACCTTGCCTTCTATTGGCCCTTGTTTATCTTTTATCTGAGTTTTCACTGCAAAAGTGTGCATTAGAGCACAATTTTACTACCTTGGAAATGTTGAATGGACAGGTGAACACTGGTGTTGTAGGATGACATGCCACGAAGTATTGCTAACCAAATATTCATGTCCTTATCAGAGCTCAATGCTAACCATTTAAGAAGTAAAGTTTCCTTCTGACAAAATTTTTGAAAGAAGATATTTTTTGAACAACAGGGTGAGGTGGACATGTTCATGGCATCCCTAATCTGCAACATGGATGTTGATTGTGAGAAACTTTTGGTGTGCAAAATGGAATTAGATTGTGTCAAGACTCTTCACTTTGAGACAGAGGTAGATTTGAACTCTGCCTTGGTTTTTCAGAACTGTACTACCTTTTAGTATATTTATGTGTATCAGTATATTTCTTACACTAGCTGTCAACACTTGCTAGCTTATTTATGCAACTTTCAATATTTTCGGATTTAAAACGAAGGTCAAACTTCATAGCAATAATGAGCATGGTAGTATGGTACTTAATTGTAAATATGGGGAATTAGTTATCATGTCTCACAATCCTGACATATGGACTGTTGTTATTTACAGTATATAGAAATTGCTACCTTCTCTTTCTCACTGAACAGAACAGGCTTCTACTTTTGTATTGTTTACAGGCAAGGGGCATGGTAGTATGGTACTTAATTGTAATTGGATATCATGCCTTAGGATCCTGACATCTGGACTATTGTTATTTAAACTGTATAGAAACTTCTACCTTCTCTTTCTCACTGAAAAAAACAGGCTTCTACTTTTGTATTATTTACAATCAAAATTCTTCTGTTTTGCAGGTAACGAGTAATTTTGGAAGATATTGCAGAGCTCCTCAAGAAAACACTTATATTAGTGATGTTTCTACAACATACTTAACGGGAAAGTCACCCTTCCCATCTTTGGATGAATTTATAGAATCAATTGCCTCCACCGGGAATGTATCAGGTAGTGTCATGTACTTTAACTTAAGTAGCAAATGACTAGCATGTTTCAGTTATCTGGAGGGAAATCTAAGCCCTATTATGTGATAACTAGCAGGATGAGTTAAGTTGTTCTGGTTGAAAGATTTTGTTATGTTTATTGTGGATGTCTGTAGATGTTTACTGTGGACTTGACTACATAGTTCAATATTATCTGGTTAGCTATACATTTCAATGCAGCATATATTGTTTCAAGTGTTGGGTTCTTTTTGATTTGAGGGAGTTTGGTCTGACATTTTTTATCTTGTTGTTTGTTTAGTTGTATTATGCTTCGCCAGAGAGATTTTGATGAGAGGAATTCTACTTGATTATTTTCCTTTGTTCATATAAGACAATAGTATTATCAATAATATCCAATTTTTTTACCTCTGCTCTCATAATGCTTAACAAAATTTCATGTTATTAATTTTCTTCATCTACTACTCACTTTCCTGATAATTTGCTGCGATTGTAGGGAAAATTCGAAGCTGGTATTGGTTCTCCGAGTATGGATTAATTGTTTACAGCATGTCAAGAAATAGATACTGTGAGCGAATTGGTAGAGAGCATAAGAGCAACCATGGTATGCTTATCAAAGTTTAATCTGTTAGCTGCAAGATGAGCACTTCATTGTCCTTATTAATTATGGTCATTAGGTTTATCATGTATACACATTGTATTTATCATACTTCTGCATGTTCTTGATACCTTTCTTAATTGAAGTTTTGACTTATCCAAACATGGCTTCAAATACTATAGAGGACCACCAAGCCACTAAGATGTATTTGGCTTGTACTGTTGATTCCTATTATTTTAATTTAATTATGTAGATGACAAAGAGCCTAACATGCATATCAAATGTTCTGCTTCAGTGATGTATGTTGTTGATATGAGAAGGGCAGCTTATTATCAGAAATGTTATGATCCAGATTGCAAAGGTGTGTGAAACTTTTTTTCTTTTCATTAGTTCACCTTCTATGAATGACTGACAATTTGCACTAATATTGCTGATTGTAGCAGGTTACCGATCTCCCTTGCGTCCAATCCCAGTGTACTGCATCCCTGATTCTTCATTTTTCTTTGATTCTAGACAGAGAGTTGATGACAATGGGTTAACAAGTAACGATCTTGAATATCAATTTGTCAACAATGACAATGGAAGGGTCTTGCTTTACAGCAATGAAAGTGATATAGATGACTGCACTAAAGATTCATGGTGGCTTGAAGCTATAAAAGTTGCAGACAATATTGACAACAAGCCAGAAGGATTGATGTTCAATGACATGGTTAGTTTAGTTAAACATTTCACTTTGTTCAGCCATCTCATTATCATCTGGCTTGCATACGGTTTGCTCATCTGCTTTATGAAACTGGAGGAATGTTAATAAGAATGTTATTTTCCTAAAACTACTTTACCATCAGGAAAACATGAATGATGAAGATGACGACTGGTGGATAGCAGTCGAAAGGACTGCA